TTAAAGTAAAAATACGTTAACTAAATATACCTATTATAAGCTACTTAATTCTATACTAGGTCGAAATAGACCCTTCCGAAGATACTATATATCTCTCCTATCTTCCGGCGAGAGATCTACTTCGGGGTATCTACTAATTAATAAGCTTTATATACCTACGTTTCGTTCTTACTAGGGTTGCTTTTAATAGTAATCCCCTTAGTTATCTCTACTAGCTTAGTAAGACGTTACTAACTAATATAGCCTAGGCGTCTATACTAAGTTTAGATTAAAGCTTTTAACTTTAGCTTACTTACTAACTTCTTTATAGCAAAGGCTAATCCTTCTCTAGTTAGTTATTTTAATTATATTAACTTCTAATCCTAATATACTTAGTATACCGGTTTCTTAGTTAATTTAATATAGTTCTTCCGGAAGTTTATTACTAGCCCCGCTTTTATTATTAACCTATTAGATATTAGATTACTATAGAAATTAGGCGAGTACTTAGTGTTATATAACTTTATTTAACTACTTTTCTATTAATAGGGCTAATACTATAGATTACTATAGTGCCTACCCTATTAATACTCGTTTCCGTATCTCCTACCCTAATACTACTCTATATATCTTCGAAAGTTTTAAATAACTCCCGATTATTATATATATATATCTACATTCCGGTGTCGACTACCTATCTCCGTCTAATTAGTTCGGCTTTATAGATTTAGGTAGATATAACGGTAGTAGAGGTTAGAATAGCTTACTTACTAGCCGCCGGCTTACTTGTCTAGGGCTTGCTTACCTAAGGCCCGCCGGCCTATAGCTTAGTTTCCTAAGGCTTACCTACCTTTAGTACGCCGGCCTATAGCTTAGTAGCTTATATAGAGAAGAACCTATATAATAAGTTATCTTCGTTATTAAGGGTAGTATTTACTTACTACGCTGCCTTTCCCTATAGGTTTTCTTAATATCTCTTATCAACCTAGGCCTTCTAAGTAGGGTTAGCCTTTATAGCTTTCTCCTATTTCTACTTAGCTTCTTTGTTTCTAGTATACCTAGAAGGTTTGTCCTTATTAAAGACGTCCTAATACTTCTAAGGTAGGTACTATCTATAGTTCTATCTATATAGATATAGCTTTAATTTAAACGGTAGTTCTTCTCTAGCTAATTTTATATTAGCTGACTTTATCTTAGCTAGCTTTACTTCTTCGTAGCCTTACTAAGTCGAAAAAGTAGCTTTAAAAATACCCCGTTGATTAGTAATTAGCTTACTATAAGTGATCTTCTAGTAAGCTCGATACCGGTTAAGAAGCTTAGTAAATCCGATATCTTCTTTATCTTATAGTCTTAGAGTCTATATCTCGTAGAATCTAGGTAATATTATTAAGATAGTATTAAGGAACTAAGTCGAAGTATTATTTACTTCTAGTATTCCTATTCTTTTATAGCTTAATTAAACTATCTCCTAGTTTAATAACTATTTGTTAATATTTATATTTTTATCTAACCCTTTATCTAGGCTTCTCTATTATTAATAGAGCCTAGTAGAATAGGTCGGATTATACTCCGAGGCGAACCTTTCTCGAAGGTTTCGGAGTAGACTATATAGAGTCTTATAGTCTATAATGAACGGCTAGAAGTTCACGTAAACGCTATTCCGGATTGCCGTTATAATTATACTTAACCCCTTCTTTTCCTAGGTATAGAGCGTGTTCTTTATCGACTAGTTCGATTAAATTACTTTATAAGTATCGACCTATTTATCGCTATACTTCTTCTCCGCTTCTTTAATCGATATAATCTCTACCGGAGCTTTCCGTATCTCCGGTTCTTATTCCTTACTAGGATCATATAGCTCCTAAACGTCAAATTGTACTACAATCGATTCGATATTAGCGATCTATATATCCTAAGTTTCGGTGTCCTTAAGGATAACGCGGGAGGATGGACCCGCGGAGAGATAATCGGCTATGATTGTTGTTGACAGATTTCCGATTCTTTCTTCGATTTAGGGGTTGCTTCGTCGCTAGGTAAATTACCTTAGTATCGATTGGAAGCAGGGTTGATCTTTGAATTGATGTTTAATGGAACAAAGCCGGGCTCATAACTGACAGAAATCTGACGTATTGAAATGTATGCACCTTAGGGCTGATATGGAGAACTCTGCATTTTCTACATAATAGAAACTGCTGTTTCTGTGCGGTTATTACTAAGCATGATTACATAATCTTCCATGGTATCATCCCATGTATGCAACCCTGCACTTTGACATAATTTTCAATTCTATAAAAATGCAGCTTTTGGATTTTCTTAAAATTGTTATATTATGTAAGGTTCAAAACCATTACTAATGGATATTGAGGGCAAAGAAATAAAACGTGGTTCAGATATAAGAGTTTGGAAAATATCGCATTTCGAATATCATAGGGCAATTATTGAAACCAGGAAAATCATAGGGCCGCCAATTGATGGATATTGAAATTACTAGTCAGTTTGTCTCAAGTGAACTTCTCTCGTGTGCCATTTAAGTTAGTCTCACATATCATTGATCTAGTTATACTAGTTATACATTGTTATACACTGAGATTTCCGTCGTAAATAATATATAGTAAAGACCATTTAAAGATAGGATTCATAGGAATGAACGGCCAAATGCAACGGTGAAATAATGCCCTGAAACAAAGGAACAGCTTACAAACTGTAGGCTTGCGCGAGGCTGACTTTAGGAGTTGACGCTGTTGTAGGTTGGCCTATCATAAGACCTGCATGTATTTGGTATTCAACACCTTCAAATCGATATCGAGTGATATGTTCCTAGTTGAATGGCGATAATTCCTGCTTAGTCCCCCTAACTGTGAACCATTACTGCTGCTCAAAGGGTCAAGAGTCTATCATCTGGCGCATTTGACAACATATATTGTAACTGTCAGCAGGTATGTTGCTGGATTCTTCTCACAAAAGCCGACGATGCGCTCTAATATTCGAGGGTTAATCGTTTGGGATGGAATGCCCGCCTTTTTAAATCACCATTAACCCCCGGACATATGCATACGAAAGCTTCTAGACAAGTTGGACTGGAAGGGTTGCAGAATGGCGAACAAGAACAGCGAGGGAGAGACAGGGAGAAGACAGGTATCTTGTAAGTGCTCGATCAGACCGGTCGTAAAGGGAGGGAATTTGAATTCGGCTGCAGAGAGCCATTCTTGGCATCGTTTTGGTCGCCAGTGAAAACGGAGGGAACAAGCGTTGAAGTAAGGAAGAACCCACATCTAGTTAGCCCTACATCTCGATAGGGCTGGATGATGACTAATAATGTGGGTGCATCTAGGCAGAATAGTGGTGGTACATACAGGGAGGCGGTCAAGGTGGGGGCTCGCTCCTCGAAGTTATAGGAAAGGCGACCGTTTCTGGCTTCATTTTTCACTGGTGCCCATACTCTATTTGTAAATTGCGCACATCCAAGATTGGCTAGCGTTTCAATAGTGAGCAATCAGGCATGATGATAAGTGGCGTTATTGTCGCCTAAACATGCCCTTAGAACGGGCATATCTCCGAGGCACACATGGGTACCTTGCATAAACCGGGAATTAAAAGTGAAAATATAACGTGGAAGTTTGGAGGCCGTGGGCTAGAACGTGTCCAACGCACTGTACTCCGTATCTTGCACAGAGTTACATCTCTCAAGATGAGTTTAGGTCACCAAACTAAGGGGGACTTGAGGCGCTCAATTTGAAATGAAATGAGACACCAATCTTAAAGTGCCATGAGTGCCGTGATTGCTGTGATTGTTGTCATTGCTGTGATTGCCGTAAGCAAATAGAAATGGTGATCCGGCTTCTTCCCGGATCGGCACCCATGATTGGCGTACCTGGAACTGGTCTGCCCCACTCTGTAACCCTCGAGGGTTTAGCGTTGGCTTATTAAGTTTTTTAGTCTCGGGCAGTCTGTGAACTCCTTGATTTGGAAGACATTCACAACACTTCAACCCATATTCTTCTAACCTGTTACACTCATCTGTACATTCTAACTATTCTACTAGTTGATGCAAACACTTGTGACTTGTCAAATGAATATTCTTTTGTTCTACCCTCCTACCTTCCCGCGTCAATATGTTGTCCATCTCTCGGATTTAGCGGACAATATACACTGGTCGGTGGGCCCCGAGGTATCCCTGCTCTAGTGCCTAAGCGATAGGCTATGATTGGATTTTGTGTATCAAGCCAACTCCCCCTCTCCAGTCATGACCCCATGCTAATGCGGCTAGAGTCAGTTAGGGTCTTTTAGCCTCTTTTATGCGGCTCTTGCAATTTTACTGCGCCGAGATAGGCCGGAATAGGCACGGGGCCAGCACATACCCCTCTCCAAACAAAGCCTGTTATGGCTGATGGCTGATTCATTTCTTACTCGGATGTGACTCTTTTACGCCACTGGCTGCATGGTCTTATTATACCTGCGTCTGGCCTGTCACCAGTCTACAGTGGAAAAGCTGGTCCACACCACTTTCACGTTGCGTTGCCATGGATTTAGCATCATCGCTGGTGTGAATAGATTTGGTTCGCCCCAGGGTCTAGCGTTCACACTATCCAGATTTGAATCCACCTTGCAACTCTGTGTTGGGGTTGCCCTGCACCGGTGGAGTGCCTTCGGAGTGGCATTGACCTATGAGTCGTGGAATCATCCGGATATCATGCGCTCTCATTTCCACGCTTTGATAGCTCTATTCTCCTTTCTGATTAGTGTGCACCATGTCGGAGGTCGGCATCTGCTCCAGGGGGCGGAGATGAATATCCCCCAGCTGGCGCTCGATGTATTTCAGTCTCTTTTCCCCCGGAGACTTGTTGCATTTTCTTTCGACCATCAACACTCTCATTTTGAGCTCTTTGGAAAACTTTCCAAGCAGATATTTGTCTGCGTCCTCTCGTTGTTCGCGAGCTAACCTGCCATTCCTTTTATCGGGTTAACCAGAGATTTGTGTTGCATCTAATTATTGCATATAATTACTACATTCATTTCTAGCTATGACGTTCAAGTCTCTTGCCGCCGTGTCGGCCCTGTCACTCTTTGCATCGTCTGCTATTGCTGTCGATGCCAGTCTGAAGAATAATGTTGCTGTCTACTATGGACAAGGTAATAACCAGCCCCGGCTCAAGCATTTCTGTGAACAGACCACTTCGGACATCATCAACATCGGGTTCATTAATCAGTTCCCCCAACATGTGGGCGACTTCCCTGGTTCCAACTTTGCCAATCAGTGTGATGGCGCCTTTTTCCCCGGTACCGAACTGCTTAGTGGCTGCCACCAGATCTGGCAGGATATCCCCAGCTGCAAGGCTGCCGGCAAGACAGTCCTGCTGTCCATCGGGGGTGGTAGTGCCACATCCCAGTCTCTCCCAGACGATGCCACCGGTGAATGGTTTGCGGATTTCCTGTGGTACTCCTTCGGTCCTTACAATTCAGTTCTTTCTTCATTGGGTTGGACCGATACCATGCTTGGCCTACTTTACCCTCGTCCATTCCTCACCGCCTCAGTTGATGGATTTGACTTTGATATCGAGTACAACGGAGGAGTTGGTATGTTCCCATAACCCTCTAACTTCCTCATCATACTATCTCTAACACCGCGATCTAGGATACGCTGCCATGATCAATCGTCTGCGGGAGCATTACGCCACGAGCACCGAGCAAACATACTACATCTCCGGTGCTCCCCAGTGCCCCATCCCCGATGCTCAGCTCAGCGACGCCATTGCCAATTCGTACTTTGATTTCCTCTGGGTTCAGTTTTACAATACCCAGGGTTGTTCTGCTGCGGACTATGTCCATGGGACCGGCAAGTTCAACTTCGATGACTGGGTTGGTGTCATCGAGAAGAGCGCCAACCCCAATACTAAGCTGTTCATCGGTCTTCCCGCTTCCGAGGCTGCCGCTAACGCTGGATTCTACCTGACCCCCGACGAGGTGAAGCCCCTCGTCAAGACCTACATGGACAAGCACCCCAAGCACTTCGGTGGTATTATGCTTTGGGAGGCCACCGCCGGTGACAACAATGTCATCGATGGAGAAACATACAGTGAGCACATCAAGGAGATTCTGTACGATTGCGCTCCTCTCCCTGTCACATCTACGACCGTTACCCCAACCCATTCCTCAACTGTGCCTCCTGTTTCGTCTTCGACTGTCCCACCTTCCACCACTTCCACCGCGGTCGCTTCTTCCACCTCGGTTGCTTCTTCCACGTCGGTTGCTTCTTCCAGCACCGCCGCTCCTTCCAGCTCCGTTGCTTCGTCCACCTCTGTCTCCGCTTCTTCCACCTCGGTTGCTTCTTCCACGTCGGTTGCTTCTTCCACCTCGGTTGCTTCTTCCACCTCGGTTGCTTCTTCCACCTCGGTTGCTTCTTCCACGTCGGTTGCTTCTTCCACGTCGGTTGCTTCTTCCACGTCGGTTGCTTCTTCCACGTCGGTTGCTTCTTCCAGCACCGCCGCTCCTTCCAGCGAGTCTCCTTCCAGCGTCCCTATCAGCTCTGTGACTGCTAGTCCTTCCGCTTCATCTGGACACCCCTCCGCCACTGGAAAGCCCACCCACAGCTCGCATGGCCACGGACACGGACATGGACACGGCTCCCACACACACACCCACGCCCATACCGTCACTGTTCCAAGCTCCACTCCCCTCACCTCGGGCCACTCCTCTAGCACCGCCACTGTCTCTTCTGCGATCGAGTCTGGCGCCTCTTCTTCCACTAGCGAAGGCACCATCTCGACCGGTGTCCCGTCTTCCAGCGACGAGACTACTGGAAGCTCCAAGCCTACCGGTGACAACACCACAGGCGGCTCTAAGCCTACTGGCGACAACACTACCGGAGGCTCCAAGTCTACTGGCAGTGAGACCACCACGGCCCCCGCTGGTATCACCGCCACTCCCTCCGTCACTGGCTCGCCTTCCTCTTTGGCTCCGGGTACCACCACAACCATCATCGTGACCTCCTACGTTGATATTTGCCCAACTGGCTTCACCACCATCACCACCACCATTACCAAGACCTGGTGTCCTGGTGACTCACCCGCCACTCCCACCGCCACTGGCACCGCCGGGATCACCGCCCCTACTTCCGGCCCTGCCACTTCCACTGCCGACATCCCTGAAGGCTGGACTACTACCGTCACTGTCTGCACCCACTGCGCCGCTACCCCTACTACCGTGACCCTCACCAAGCCCGTTGCTACTGCTACCACTACTACCGAGGCTGTGTCGCAGCACACTGCCCCTTCGGTGCCTGAGGGATACACCACCACTGACGCCTTCTGCAAGTACTGTGGCCCTACCGGTAGCACCGTAACCCTGACCATCCCGGCCCCCACCGCTACTGCCATTGTTCCTGGTGCTGGCTCCGGCTCTGGCTCCGGTTCCTCTGGAAACGGTGAGGGCTCTGGCGCTGGCTCTACCCCTGGCTTTGGTCCCGGCTCCTCTGGAAACAGTGAAGGCTCAGGCTCAGGCTCTGGATCTACCGGCGAGGCTACAGTGCCTGGCGTCGCCCCCGTGGTGCCATCTCCTTCCTCCAAGCCCGTCCCCAACAATGGAGCCGGAGGCTTCCACGCTGGCAGACCGTCGTCCAGCATCGTGTTCCACCCCTCGCCCTCGCGCACTGCCGTCACAACCACCGTCACGGGTACAACCGCAGAGCCCACCAGCAACCCCGTGGGCGTCTCCCCGGTCTACCCCGGTGCGGCCTCACGCTCCAACGTGGCCGGCCTCTTCGGTGGCGTCCTCGCCGTCGCCCTTTCGATGTTCATGATTCTGTGAAGCTGCCCACTTGGCTGGACAGCATGATCTCATAATCTACGCGATATGATTGATCTCACGATGCTGATCTCAAGAACCGGTCCTTCCTAGCGACTGGTTGCTTTTTCTTTCTTTACGATAGTGTCTTTATTATATATTCTCTTTTATCCGATCTCCAGTCTCTGGAGTGATTCAATACCTCTTGGCCTTATATTTTGTGATTTACTCTGGTCAGTAGTGGTGAGACCCTCGCATCTTCGAATAGAAGTTTTGCGAGCGGTCGATTCCGTTTTTCTCAATCTCCTAATGATATCCATTTCAAGGTGTCGCTGTCGAATCTGACCTCTTTTTCATTTATTTTTGCTTGTTTTACTATCTACAATATGCAGATATGCTCTTTGTATAAAAATACCATATTAACTTATATTTTTCTACGACCTTGCAACCCTTCGATGCTATTCACTTCTAAGGTTATTTATACCGGTGGTCCTGCTGGCAGTAGCGAACCTCGGAAACATGCATACCTATGTATCGGATAATGCCTGGCACTTGAGACCTTTCTCCTTCCATTTTAGTGCTCACCTCTTGCCGCTTTTTGATCTCTGCCCTTTCTACTCTTTCTACGGAGTATCGGACCTTCTTGACTAAATTCCTGCCCGAAGCGAATCCGTCTGATCCTCCCATTTGGATCCACGTGGTGCCAATCCGCCACAAATCGCGACAACGCAATCCCCACTACTCCCGGCTGCCCAAGATCATAACCCAGGTCAGGAGGAACAAGCTACCAGCCTGGTGGGCCATCTTAACTCGCATCCGGCCCGGATTTGCTTCTGCTAAGCTCAGCAAAATATCACCTGTATGCGTATCCACCCCCGGTGGTCGCTTACGGGTAGCTAGTAGCCATATAGGTTGAATACATGGGACTAAATTAAATTAGGCTTAAATTATGCAGGTCTCTACACCGCTACTTTAGGGGTATTTGTGAATCTTTATAGGGTAGGCTGTTGTAGTTATAACTAACTAGTTACTAACTATCAAACTACCTAGGTACCTTCCTGTAAGGTCCTACCACAAAGTTTGACGATTTCCTACGTGTTGCTCAAAAGCGGTTGAATTAATCATTATTCAATCGTCAAAAGGCATCGACGGATTCTTAATGAACAGAAACGATACCAGTTTAGCTAGATGGCGGCTTAGTCTGGGTTATTACATCTCTCAGCAACTTCAACGCTTCCCTCGCAAACGCAACCATATTCTCTGATCGATCGTTACTTCCCGTCTCGATCTCTCGTGTATAATTTCCCTGTGCGGTCGATACAGCCACAGCTACGTAGCCACTGCAAAGTCTTAGATAAATAGAGCCCATAGAAAGACGTTTACTTACGGAGTCCGATTTCTCTCCGTCCCGCCCGTCGGCCCAGCTGTGCCGCTTTCACACACTGCGTAAGTCGAGTTTAGGGTGCACCGGGTATGATCAGCCATATTAGCGACAATCTCCGTCGTGGGTCCGGCGTAGGTTTCTAGTTCTGCTGGTGTCCAGCCTGCAAACGCAAGGCGGGATTCTAAGGTATAGACAACAAGTCCACCTTTATATATGGCTGATGCGCCGGGAGTGGAGAGGAGTAACGCGGAGATGAGACCACCTGCAGCCTGTTATGGAGATATCAGAAACATTTATATCAGTCCAAAGAGGCATAGAGAATGATAGGAAGGATCCACGTACGGTCTCAGCAACAGAAACGCTTTCATTCCGGACTCTTAAGAGGCTGAAGATCTCTAGAATGAGCGGTTTGAGGCTGGCTGGGGGGAATTCTGTCATTGTGGTGTCTTCTTCTGAGAGTTGGCGATGATGTGAAACTGCCCATGTGGGTTGAGTTGGTTGATTTTCATGGCCATGGTTTAGTTAACTAGTTATTGATTGGTTGCTTGGTAAGCGGCGGATCCTATAAGTACCTAGGTATGTCAACGTCATTTACATGGTATTATACCATGAAGATCCTGTGATTTCGAGTACCAGGCATACCATTTATTACGTTTAGTCATCATTACCGCTCAGATTGTTGAAACAGCGGGTCTTGTCATTTCAGTTGATTACACTGCAATACAGACAGATTTCTGTCATAGACGAGACCATTACGTCACATGATACACTGACCACTTTTCCCCGGTCATCCATCAATCGCATTCAATCCTATGCGGCCGAAGCCGAAATATCCACGGCCGAAGTTTGATGCATGCAGGCAAGGCCCAAGCGAGCCCTCGGATAACCACCTGTGTCTACCTCTCCGATCGATAAGCTGTAAAAAAGCACTACTGCCATCTCCCATGATAAGTAAGCCCGAGGTCGATACTGCATACTATTTAGAGGTTTTCCATACCTTCAAATTGCCTCATCTTAACCTATATCCCAGCGTATATTGTTGGAAGGTAGGCATTCTCTGTAATTGTAATTTTGGTATCTTGATTTTCCTGCCATACCAGACCAGATTAAGGCATTAAGGCACCATTGTATGTATTAAATCAGAAAGTAACCCTGGCCCCTATGCCGCTGCAGAATCAAATTAGAGATGTCTTTATATCTCTTTTTCCAGCACATTTTATCAATTATTTTCGAGCTCAAATGATCAAATGCCAAAATAATGAATAGTATGAAGTGCATAGTTGTGCCAGTGTGCAACAATTTCCCCGCATTCTGATATCGGACCTCGGATGCGGAGAATTATTTAACAGCCCTGGAGGTACCTCACCTTGGAACTTCATTGTCTCCATATGCAATGCAAAGAATGTCACCATTGAAGGGAATCAAAGTCATTGAGCTAGCAGGCCTAGCTCCTGGTACGCAATTAACCCCAGAAAACACAACAATCACAATTAACAACCACTCCCAGGCCCATTCGCAGGCCTCCTCCTAGCCGACTTCGGCGCCTCAGTCCTCCGCATAGACCGACCCAACTCCATAAGCGGTGACCAACTAACCCGCAATAAAACCTCCATAACCCTCGACTTACGCTCCCAAACCTCCCTAAATATCCTCCTCCGCCTCCTCACAACAGCCGACATCTTAATCGACCCTTTCCGCCCCGGCGTCCTCGAACGCCTCGGCCTCTCCCCAACAGAAGTCCTTCTAAAACACAACCCCCCGCCTAATTGTCGCCCGAATGACCGGCTTCCGCCGCGACGGGAAATACAAAGACATGGCCGGCCACGACATAAACTACCTCGCCGTCTCGGGAGTGCTGTCGATGCTCGGCCGCGCAGCAGAAAAGCCCCACGCCCCAGGTAACATCCTCGGTGATTTCGCCGGCGGCGGCGCTGTCTGTTTCCAGGGGATCTTGCTTGCACTTATCTCCCGCTCCCATACAGGACGCGGCCAGGTCGTCGAGGCGAATATGGTTGATGGCTCGGCGTATCTTGCTACGTTCCCGCGACTCGGGAGGAATACTCCTGCGTGGGCGGAGCCGCGTGGAGAGAATTTGCTCGATGGGGGGTGTCCGTATTATGATACGTACGAGACTAAGGATGCTAGGCGGTACTTTGCGGTCGGGGCTTTGGAGCCGCAGTTTTATGTGGCGTTGGTGCGGGGATTGGGGTTTGAGATTGGGGAGTTGCCGAAGAGGGAGGATAGGAAGGAGTGGCCAGTGTTGAGGGAGATCTTCACCAGGAAATTTAAAGAGAAGACGCGCGCAGAATGGGAGGCTGTTTTTGATGGTACGGATGCTTGTGCTACGCCTGTTTTGGAGCAGCGTGAGCTTCAGGAGGATGGGTATGAGCAGCGGCCTGTGGTACATCTGGTTAGTACACCTGCGGTCCCGATTCAGGCGGATAACGGTGGGTGGACGGGTGGTGGAATGTTACCTGGAGATGGGGGTGTTAATACGCTTAGGGAGTGGGTTGGGTGGGAGCGTGGTAAGGATTTTGAGGTTAGGGAGGATGGGACCTTTGTGGTTGTGAATAGCAAGTCAAAGATTTGAGGTCTTTGCATGACATACATGGAAAGCCTTGATATTATAGCTGTTGCACAGGTCAGATGTATATGTTCACATGATTTAGACTATGTAACAGACTCTAAAGAGGCAGGTATCTAAATTATAAAGAAACACTTCCAGTTCCCCTTTTCCCGAGATACTCCAACACATTGCAGACATTAAACTTCATAAATGCCAATGCCGGATTCCAACCAGCACGGATTATCATTACTATTACCATCAAACACAAACACCAGCTTAGAGATAGAGGCCGTAGCCAACAACAGCATGTACAGAAACAAGAAGAGAGGTCCACGCAGGCGAGAAAGCAACGCCGCCATGACCAGCGGGACTGCCATTGCTCTTCGCAGTACCACTCTTCTTCGCGGTAGCCGCGGTGCTGGAAGGTGTAGAAGTCGACCCATTGAAAGCCGACTCGGGCTTGGTTGGCAAGTTGTAGTATTCGCGAATGATATCGCTCGCTTGCTCAGCGACACCGTATGTCGAGGACATCAAGTGTGTAGACAAGGCGATAGGGATGACACTGGCATCTGCAACACGCACATTTGAAAGGCCGTATACGAGCAGGTTGGCGTCGACCACACCACCCTGTTCCTCTGGCAGCATTGCGCATGACGAGGACGGGTGGAACTCCGTGCCGGCTGACTTGCGTAGCCATTCTATCCAGTCGTCGTCGCTCTGCACGCTTGAGCCCGGGGTGGTTTCTTTTGTGAGGACTTTGCTCATCGGGCTGGTTTGGCCTAGTTGACGGGCGAGCTTAATGCCGGCGAGGAGGATCTCGGCGTCTGCGTTATTGTCAGCATTGGAGAGTTTTGATTGGAGGTCGGTTGCAGGGGGTACACACCAGCTGGGTTGCCCAGGTAATTCGGGTCGATGACGGGGAAGTCCATCGGGTTCGAAGAGTTGATGTAGATACGACCGTGGCTGAATGGGTGTTGGAGGGCAGCTGTGATGCCGATATCGCCGTTTGCATCGCTGTTCATGAACAGAAGCTCGATTTGACCCGTTGGAGTTTCGAAGATCTTCGACGTTGTGTCACAGATTGCCTTGTAGCCGACGAGCACGCCATCGTCGTAAGTCGTGTTTGGCGCATACTGATCGATTGAAGCGAGGAATTTCGACTCATACTCATCAACCTTACTGCCGTACATATCGGTGGCGTTCACGTAGGCAACAGCGGAATCGATATAAGTGAGGAACTTGGAATCATTCTGCGGGAATTAGCGTACGGACTCGGTGGACGAAGGATACGCAGGACACACCTTATCTTTGCCGTTGTTATAAAAGATGGAACCTGCGGTGTCCACATTCGTGCTCCATTTCACTGTGGCACTCTGTGCAATGAAGTCAGTTACATGCTCATCTTATGGATAAGAAGCGCACTCACGAAATGGTCTTGAAGGTGTTGACCGACGCCGGGAAGTTCCGATACAAGGTCAACACCAGCGTCAGAGAGGACGTCTTTGGGGCCGACACCGCTATGGAGCAATACAGCCGGGCTGCCGATAGTGCCACCCGCAAGGATGACTTCCTTGTTAACCTTAACCTTCAGTTTCGTTGATCCGCTATCAGTTGTGTATTCAACAGCACCTGCTGTTTTCTTGCCGGAAGATGTAGAGTTGTCAAAAACAAGGCGAGTCACATGCGCATTCGCCAATACATCGTAGTTGCCCCGGTCTGCAAGCGGATCGAGATAACCAGAACGACTATAGGACCGCGTCCAATTTGATGGGTTGATGCAGGATGTTGAGACGTCAGCGCCCAAGTTTTCACCTCCGTACATATTGGCGGAAATATGAATTCCCATGGCCTGGAGTGACGTTAACCAGTCGCCCACTTCGGGGAATGTACTAGGAATGTGTTAGCCTTATCGGTCAATTCTAGAGAACAGGCTTCGGCATACTAGTCGGGGTATGATGTATGGATCGGCCCGTTAGTGCCGTGATTTGACGCATTCCAGACGATTCCAGCCTCGTCAATCACATCATCAACGGGAGGAGTGAAACTCTCGCTTTTCTTCATAGCAGCGAAGAATGAGTCCCACGACCAGTTATCCGCACCATCCATGTCTCCGAGTATATCTTTCCAGGCATTGATCTCATCTTCACCCGGACGGGTCATATATAGTCCATTGATGGCGGAACTGCCTATATCTCGGAGTCAATTTTCTGTTTCGCGTTCTTTCGAATATGAAGTCTGTACAAACCTCCAAGGACCTTGCCACGAGGCCAATTAATCATGCGATCGCCTGCATTAGGTTGCGCAACAGTGTAGAAATCCCAATTCAAGGGCGTTGTCCATAAAGAGTCGAAATAAGAGTATGCCGGGGTATCTGTGTTTCCGTCAGGAATGTCGCATGACTCGTCGGGATCGAATAATTGAACGCACCTATGCGTTTGCGATAATCGTCTCCATTCTCGCCCGACTCAAGAACGAGTACAGTGTGATTTTTATCCTCCGAAAGACGAGCGCCCAACACGAGTCCAGCTTGACCTCCTCCCACGATCACAAAGTCATAAGCATCGTCGATTTTCGTCCGCGGTAATAAGGCGTTCGCAAATTGGTTCGCGACTAGGCTGGCGCCTACGATCTGGGTAACGGACAGGCTAGGTCGCATTGTGAGGGTGTGCGTCGCAGATTGTCGAGAGGTGGAAAGGTGGATCTCATATACCAAAATGCCATTATAAGAAACAGGCTTAGGCTAAGCCTATGGAGTAAGACCTTTGAAAAACCTTGTTATGAGCTTTAGCGATTCTCAATTCTACGCACGATGATCCTAGATAAGCACATCCTGAAGCATGCATCGCGTTAGACGAGTGGGTCAATATTGGGCTTCTGCAAATGAGATCTTGGTTCCTCTTTGGTCCACATGGCTATTTCCAATAAATCAACTTTGTTTGCTTGGGACTAGCCTTTCTACCCGTCCCCCGTTCCATGTTTCTTATCGCGTGTTCCTGGAACTGTCCAAGACAATCAGATTTTTCTTGCAATTCAACCATATTTGATCACCGATCCACCTATGGTTTCGCTCGTTTCAAACCCAGTATGAATAAATAGCTATGATTACGTTGCCACAGACAAGACAACACATCAATCCTGTGATGGCATGGCTCCAACGAGGTGTTGACCGCATGGTTGCTATGCACCGATCAAAGGTCCCGAGCCAATGATTGACCGGGATTTTCTCCACTCACAAAGGGTTATTAAAGGTGGGTCTTGTCAAAGGTTCTGATAGGCTGCCGGTTAGATGATCGCAATTAGAACCCGCCCAGTCGCCAGCCACAAAAAGGTACGGAGTACGTACGGAGTACTCCGTATGTATCTAAAATTCTAGAACAAAGCCCACTAAAAGTGTCTGGATTTCCATGGGCGTGAAGTGAAACATTCATATAACTAAGACAGGGATCGATTATGTTCCCACATTGTATGCTATCTATCCATTGACAGTTATCTTGTACTCGGTAATATTGATTCAGAATGATCTCAGAGAGTGGAGGTATTAGGGTTAATCTTGTCAGCTGCAATCTATTTAATTGCTAAACCGATCTCACTAAGTCCCGCCTTGTGATTAGTCACCTCGGCAAAATGAGACACCTTTGCGAAGAGTTTGTTTGGTTCGATCCATTCGAAGAGACTCGTCGATTTTCACTATTGTGGCAAAACTATCGAAGTTATACTTTGGTCGTAGGAAAATTTCAATACCTCAATTCCTCGATCCAATGTCAAAATATGGAATAGAAACACTAGTTAGTTATGTAGATAACTACAAGGTCATCCAGTATAGTTCGCCGCTTATACGGCCTTATCATCATTTCCATAGTCTCTTTAGGTGTCTTTTTCAAGTATGATTGGAAAAGGTAAACCTACCGCTAACCATCATTTCTTCATTACACAGGCATCGTCCCAGGGGTCGTTGCAAATGCCTCCTTCAGTATGTCCAAACCATCAACAAGCTGGTCCTCGGTGATAGTTATTGGTGGGGCTATGCGAAAGGCACCCCCAAAGCTAGGATGGCTACTGAGATTGGCCCACAAGCCTAAATCGTAAGCCCGATCCCCGATCGCCTTACCCAAAGCCAGCGCAGACGTCTTGGTCTCCCGATCCTTAACAATCTCAACCCTAGCCATCAGTCCGCGGCCACGGACATCTCCGATACAGCTATACTTCTCCTTAAGTGCATTCAGCCGGCCATAGAGTACTTTACCCATAGCACGAGAGTGCTCAACTAGCCTATCACGAACCACGATCTCAAGCACTTTATCGCCTACGGCAGTAGGCAGCGGATCATTAATATAAGTCGTATAGAAGCAGAAGTCCCGCTTAATATATACGTGTTCTATCTTATCACTCGTTAGAACAGCGCCGAGCGGTAGGCTATTCCCTAGAGTTTTGCTGAGGGTGAGGATATCGGGAACGACGTCTTCGTTTTCGTAAGTAAAAGCTATTAGATCGCTGTACCGACCGATACCCGTCTGCGCTTCGTTAACGATTAGAAGCATTCCGCGCTTTTCGTACTCCTACTTTAGAGCTACGAGATATCCCGGCGGTAGGACGTATATACTAGCCGATGACTAGATACACTCTATAATACAAGCGGCTAGCGATCCGTACGATTGTATATCGACTATACGCTAGCCGTATTCTATCTCTATCTCCTAGTCGTAGGATCCGTCTAGACGGCGGAAGATAGAGCGGTATATATTCGGCGACGGTAGTATTAGTATGCCCGGTATTACTAGGCCTTAGCCTTTACGACTAAAGTGGTATTGCGCGCCTAGTGCCTACGCTATTACGCTATGCTAGCTGCCGCCTAGTCCGACGATCTACCTTAGCTATCTTTATCGCTGCTTCGTTGCTCTCGCCGCCGGTGGAGAGGAAGAAGGCTTTGTCGAGGCCGATTAGCAGAAGATCGCAGAGACGTTCGCCTAGGCTGACCACTAGGGGCGATACCATACCCGAGAAGAGGTGGTCCAGGGAGGCTGCGTAGTCGGTGATTGTCTACACAATCTCTAGGTGCCCGTGGCCGAGTAAGTAGGACATTTGTCCGGACGTGAAGTCTAACACTTTGTGTCCGGAGGCTATGTATATATAGAGCCCTCTACTGCCATAGATCACGTCTCTGTTGAATTTAGTGCCATAGTTAAGGAGGTACTTCGATGTTTTGGCCTGAAGCTCTTCTGTGTTGACATCGGTATATAAGATAGGATTATCGTTATTCTATTGGGACATAATTGCGTCTGGGGATTCTCCTGTGGTGAGTGCGGGGGCCATGCTAGGGTCTGCGGATGATGGATAGGATGATTGTGTCTGAGTACTTCTAATATATTTCTGAGGAGTCACAGCCTTTTTAAGCTTGTTATTGTTGTCTTTATTCCCCTCATTAATGGGTTAGTTATAGGGACGTGCTTTCTCCTTCTTGTTATCTTGGCCGCGGCTTCGCGGCCAACAGGAATCCTTGCGCATCACAACGTCTATCTTCCCACTGGAGTCGTTTTCCGAGATAGCTTCAAAACACTAGTTCAACCTAAACCCCTCTTCGTCTATGTTTATTTGCTCCAGGGGCCGAAATGGACGTACTCCAGGAGTTTTCGTATTACAGATGAGTCAGAATACCTCTGGACTGGCGTCGTAACACGATAGGAATGGCCCCCAGGATCTGGTTGTGTTTCAACTGTGGGATTAGGCACTGTCCAGCTCACCATGGGTTGAGGGCCACTGAATTCTCTTCATCCGCCTACACAAAATTACATACTGGAGGGTTTGGACCTACAATGTTTCAGACGCGGCTGATTCTTGTACGTTCTAAGCTCCATAAGCGGCATATGTCTGTCCTGCTGATAGAAGTGTTGCAAAATGAGTACACGAATACTCCGTACGTTCGTCACTCCATGATTTGGAGTATATCCCAAGTACTCGGGAACATATCATCAACAAAGGCCATATCTGGCACGAAATGCTGACGCAGTTCAACATCCGTCTCCCCTGAGTTCTCCGCCGGTGGCTCTGACTTCAACAGTTTATCAATGACATCTGAATGCTGCGCAAGGCAAATATCACCCAGATCCCACCCAAAATGCTTGTGGTGCGACCGCAACGAATCCAAAAGGTCACTGGCCATTCGCAGAGAACCACTTTGTGCAAGACCCGCCACCTGCTCTGTCTCCAGTGCACACCGAATCAAAAACGTCACCGTTGCTGAAAATGTGAATGCTACGACAGGTAGCCAGTAATCACCCAATTGTGTTTCTCCGAGTTCCTGCACCAGAACCACAATGTCCTCCGCGGTTCTGCGTGCCTCCATAACTCGGTTTGCCATCTGCTCGGCATTCGAATCTTGTGCTTGCCGCTCGCGATCTAAGTCGATGCGCCGCAGGAGGAGTTTTGTAGCCAGATATGCCAGACGGAGGTTGGAAGCGCCAGGGATATTCAGGTTTGAGCCGCGGATGATGATTTTGCGGATGTCGCCTGTGAGTGAATCCACCCATTTGTTTAACTCTAATTCAAGATTCCTGTTTGATCCTTGGGTCTCGGTGCGGATGGTGTATACTTGCTCCAGACAGTGGTCTAGCACGTCGGTCAAATTCATGAGCTCGATGAAAACTGCGTTTGCTTCGTGATCTCGTTCCCAATCTGATAGGTATTCAGATATTGGCAATGGTACGTCATATTGCGATCTTCTGATATGAGGTGGCGTTCCGTAAGCAAGGCTTGACCTGTTGGATGACTAGTTCTTAGAATGTCCCATTGTTTACACGGTTGGCTAGAAACATACCAGCGATCATGGAGTAATATGGACCACCATATCTTCATTCTTAAATGCTTCTCCTCCTGGGGAATATCCCAAGGTAGTGGGTTTCGATTTAACCCTAGGGAATGGCACAATGCAACAACCGAACCGAGTCTTACTCCATTGCCTGTCATAGATGTGGTTGGACGGCCGCCAACATCTAGCAGGATGGCTTTTATTGTGGATATCCCAGCTGATGCGTGCAACTCGGAATACGAGGCTTCAATAGCAAGGTTCCAGACGAAACGAACATCTGGACACCGTTCTTTCGATAGAAGGGGATCGTGTTGCCATTGGGTAAGCACGTGGGCATACAGGCACGCCAGAAGTGCAGGAGAAATACGATGCCTAGCATTTGTGTATTGCGCTCGAAAGGACCTTTCTTCAAGTAATGGGAGGCAAGGGTTGATCTTTCTCAGATATCTATTCGCAGGAATTAGTTTCCGGGGGTTCTGTCGAATGCCCAATATAAATTAAGTGTTACCCACATGTCTATCAGATGTGGTCCCCATGGCTCTACAAGCTTTTCAATAGTCTGCAGCTTATGCAAGGCCGGACTAGAGTTCACCATGAGCCCCAGCGGCCTTTTCTGCACTTTCGTGAATATAACTGGGGACGAGGAAGTACCCGGCTCAACGGGACGAATTTCACGTATTCCTTGACCACCCGAAATATTAGACAGATAGTCGGCCAAGACATGATTATCCCCAGTCACTGCCGGACCAAGGATATGGGGGTTGTCATCCTCGGCCTCAAGAGATAGCGGTGTATCCTGATCGTTCTGAGCTTGTGTGACAATCGAGAATTGCGGCGACGTAGCTACCACAGCCGGTCGACTAAGTGACTGGGCAGCTACAATTGGTGTTCGTAATGTTGGGTGTGGTAGTCGTGGGCACGTTTCTGTGGAATATCTCTTCTGTGGTGTTGAATTTGCTCTCGCGTTGGGAAATGTACATTCTGTGCCGTGCGCACGACACATCAAACAGGCCGGGGTATGGGGCTCTAGTTTGCATCGTGATTTCCTCCGCCGACACGGTACACATGCTGGCTTAGTGTGAGACCGATATGGTCGCTCGTCTCCACTTTCCATCTTGTTTGTCAATGCTTCTTGGGTGGAAGGAAATTCCCGCGGTGGGTTCCCCTCGGCGAGGCCTGGCAGATGTGTGGCAAAGTCGAGGGTTTCCTCTACCTATGATTGCACGGAATAATAGCTGGAAGATCAGGTCTTCCTAGCAAGGTACTTTGTCTAAGGTGATCCGTCCTTCAATCCGCTGCTATTCGACAGTCACCGGAAGAACAGTTGTTGGATACGGGCGACTAAATATGCCACCCGACACATAACTCTCTGATTGGTTTATATTGCCAGGCGATAATTTAGATCCACTCTCACTTCACAAGTACTATTGTTAACTTGAATCTATAGTTACGTAGTTACTTTATATAGTATTTTTATAAATGAATACTGTTGAGCAACCTGTTACTATGTGAGGAGAAAGCAGAGGAAGTTAATTGATTAAACTAGAAACGTAGGGGGTTATATACCCTGCTACAACCATCTAAACTCTGCTCGATTATAGTAAACAAGCTAACAAATAGTAAATAACGAACAAATAGTGCTTAGTATGTAGCAAACATATATATATATATATATATATATATATATATAGGAGATTGTTTAACGAATACGATATTAATTTTTTAACACCGAGCTCTTTATACTCCTAAGTCTTAAGTCTCGATTTCTTACTAGTTATTAGACCTCAGGATAGCCAACAGACCCCATAGCCCAGACCAACCCAACCCACCAAATGGTCTGCTTTTTGGGCCTATGCCTCGGCCCATCGGTGGATTATAGGCCCGGAGCATAGGACCATAGAAATAATGGGGGCCTATGATAGGGGCCAATTTATCGTAGCTACATAATTAATGCATTTTTCCCTGGTTTTTTGGGTATTCAAATTACCGCCTAAGCTATATATGAAGCTATATAGAAATTTTCTCTCTCTTCTAACTAATTATAATCAAGTTTGAATTTTATAAAACTTTAATTTTTATAAGAGGTACTTATTTTTAGTAGGAGTTTATATAGTAAATAGAGGTACCAAAAGTGTTACTATAGAGAAAGCGATAATTATATCTTTATGCGGATACTTAGTAATCCTCCTCGGTGCGAATTCGTGGTCTACGGGTCAAATTGGATCTTTTTGGAGTGATTTTGTATGAAATCTAGTACCATAATACTAGAATCAGTATAATATCTACTTAATTGCCACTTCTTACTATGATAATATAATAATATATGTACTGAATATATAGGTTAGTACATACGCAAAATACAGCCATTAATCAGCTACTTTATACGTGCCAAGACTATATTTGTGCACAGAAATGGGCATTGATGGGGGCCTATGAGGCCCCCATCAATGGTCTGGGGGTTGGTCGGGCTTCGAAGCCATAACCAATAACCCATTGCGGGTTGGTCTATGGGCTGGGGGCTTGGGCCCATTGATGGGCTATCCAGAGGTCTACTAGTTATCTTACTATCTTACTAACTGAATCTGAACTGAATCTGAACTGAATCTGAATTGAATCTGTAAAGTGTATAGTATACAAATAAAACAGTAATGAACTAGGTGGTGAGGTAATAACCAATGAGAGAGTTATGTGTCGGATGGCATATTTAGTCGCCCGTACATACGTCTGGGACAGTCATTTGTGGGGTGGAGATTGCCTGAAAATCAGCAAATCGGATTGACGCCATACCTGGCACCAATTCGAGGGCTTTGATAACTGGGTCGCAGACATTGCGGACAAACCTCCCGGTTAAACCAAGCTCATTACCGACTGTGTAAAGTTCCGTCTCATCGTTCAGTGGAACTTCATAGGCTATGCCAGCTTGTAGGAACACTCGGCAAGCGTCCGTTGGGAATGTACTCCATAGAGACATATAGGCGACTGACAGACGGTCGGAATGGATTGATAGGTTCAATGTTCCTCCGTTCTAGCTTATAGCTGGAGTAGCTCTAGCCTCTAGCCAACTGCGTCTGGGCTGGTTCCATGTTTTGGGAGATGGAATAACCGTTGGAATGACAAAAAACGTTCTGGGACCCTAAGCCGAGGGCCTTACTGTTATCGATAGAAGTAGGGGAAATTAAAAGACGATCCTCAGCGAGGACGCAAAATATAAGACGAGAAGAATTCACGAACCTCAGAGAGGACGCAACAAATGACGCGGGTCAGGATATCCCGATCTAAGAGAGGTCTAAGGTTTAAGTTACTTAAATTACTTAGATAACGATTCTTTATCCCTAGGTAGCTATTTTTCTGGTAACCTCGGAAACGGATTCAATCACGTGTTACTTATCTTATCTCCATGTTCTTGGAATTTCAAAAATTCCAATACATCATCCCCACCAATCACACTTCATTCATCAATACTATACCACAGCTACCCATCTCCGTTTGCCAAAAATCAATCACCAGGTTGACCAGATTCTCGCACAAGCCAAAGCCACCATAGTTCCTCCAATCGACTACTCGAAATGGGACAACATTGACACGGATTCAGACCCGGAGCCAGAGACAAGCTCAATGCCGCGTCCTCAAGTGTCCAAGCCCACCGTGCCTTCTCCTACTGTCCCATCTACAGCTACCCAGGCCACACCCTCCAACCAAACCCCCTCCTCTCCAGGAGACACGATCAAAGCGGTGACAGTCCGATGCCAGGGCGACAAAGGTTTCCCATGGTCGGCAACTACCATCCCCTCGAACCACCCTATCTTCAGCAATAGTGTCCCACCAGTGCCGGCTTTGCTGGACTTCTTCATCGTCGTCCACCGCGTGGGAACTGTGGGCAATGGAACAACTGGTTACCTCGATAACCAGGCTATCACATACATCCATATAGACCCGAACACCGGGTTTGCGCCCCCTCGGTGGCAGAGTGGGATCGGTACTGTGATTGTCGCACGCAAAGACAAGAAGGATCTCTCTCCAGAGCACTACGAGGCAATCTGGATGTACTGCGATCGTATTCTCGATTACTTTGGGGAAGGAGAAGGAGCACCTGAGCGTTTGTTCAGCCGACAAGCATTCGAGCGATGGTTCGTGGGTTACCAAAAAGAGCAAGTGGGCATTGGACGTAAGGAATGGACGTCGGTATCGCCGTTGTACGAAGAGTGAACTGTCACTCCATTAAGTTGCGTAAAGGGTGCCGACTGATATTTCACAAGGAACCCCCAACCTAGTCTACGTTATCAAAATGCAATTCTCTCCAGCCAAATGCCATAAGAGTAAACTAAGCTCATTATCTAACTATCTAGATAGTTATCTATCTCCTCTTTGATCCTAGTTTTTATGTAGCCGTCTTACCAGCCCACCCCTACCCAGGGTAGGTCTGTCCCACTAAAGAGAAATTTACCACAAAACGGAAGAATTTAAAAATCACCATATATTCAAAACCACCTACCTATATACTCCAGTAGTATCTATGTACCAATTTGCACCACCACTATCTCTTGCTGCTAATCTAGCTTCATGCTCATTTTCAGCAGCATCCCTAGCCAATTGAGCCCGTTGTTCCAATTCCAATTCCTTGGGATGGGCGAGCCCAACCTGGATACGGAGTAGGGTGAGAATGCGGTTGAAGATCACCCTTGGTCAACCGCACTGACCCCGAAGTAATGCATTATTGGACAATGGCTTCTTCCTAACACACTAACACCCTTGGAATCTGCACACAGCCACAATCTGCCATGCACGTGAGACTGCAAGTGACCCAGAAACGACACCGTCAGAGTCGAAGGTTTTGTCAATTGTTTTGTGGGTTTCCGCAACTACACCTTGCCCGTTAGCAACATCTTGAACCACGCGGGTACGCTTGATAAGTCTGCGGTATACTAGATCATACGGGATATTCACGAGCAGACAAGCAACCAACGGATTTACAGTCTGATTCTCGTAAGCAAGTCGTGCCTGCCCAGGTGAACTTTTGCTTTCAACATCACGAAAACGCCAGTCGCACCCTAACAATTTCCAAATTGTGCTGTGCCCAATGGACCTCTTCGAGGCTGTAAAGTCGGGACAGGAAGATACTGTGAAAGTGCTTCTTGATAATGGTGCGGATCCCAACACTCAAGTAGACGGATTTGGAACTATTCTCCATGCGGCCGTATTTGAGGGAGATATAGCGATCGTACAACTGCTTCTCGAGAGAGGTGCAGATGTCAACCCCCAAGGCGGCGAGTATGGAACTGCTCTCCAGACAGCGGCCGCATTTGGAGTAGGGACAGCGATCGTACGTCTGCTTATCGAGAGAGGTGCACATATCAAAGCTCAAGGGGGCGAGTATGGCACTGCTCTTCAAGCAGCGGCCGCATCTAGGGAAGACATATCGACAGTGCAACTACTTATTGAGAAAGGCGCGGATATCAACGCCGAATCAGGTAGATTTCACACTGCTCTCCAAGCAGCGGCATTTAAGGGAAATATAGCGGTCGCACGACTGCTTCTTGAGAAAGGTGCAGATATCAACGCTCAAGGCGGCGAGTATGGAACTGCTCTCCAAGCGGCGGCCGCATCTAAGGGAAATATATCGACAGTGCAGCTACTTCTCGATGCAGGCGCGGATGTTGACATCCAAGGAGGGAGACTTGGAACGGCCCTGCAGGCCGCCGCATCTGAGGGAGATATAACGATCGTTCGCATTCTTCTTGATCACAGCGCGAATGTTGATGCCCAAGGCGGCGAGTATGGAACTAGTCTCCAGGCTGCCATGTCTAGAGGACACGTAGCGGTTGTGCGATTACTTCTTGAGCAAGGCGCGGATGTCAACGCTCAAGGTGGCGAATATGGAACTCCTCTCCAGGCCGCTATATCTAGGGGAATTATATCGACAGTGCAACTACTTCTGGATGCAGGCGCGGATGCTAACTCCCGAGGAGGCAGATTTGGAAGTGCTCTCCAGGCGGCCATATTCATGGCAGATACAGCGATCGTACACCTCCTTCTTGACAGACAAAGAAACGAAATACCAATCACCGAGAGGATTCTTAAGGAAGTCTTGAAATCCTGGAATGCGGTCCAGTTGATGAATATATTGCTCGATAAAACAGAAGGGAAAATCTTCATCACAGAAGAGATTCTCGTTACAGCTGCCCAAAACGAGAGTGGATATCAGTTGATGGCCTGTCTTCTAGAGAGCAGTGTCAAGATATCAGATGATCACATGTGGGTACGAGGGCTGGCAAAAGTGGGATATAGTTACCAAGAGATCATTAACCTTCTTTTGGAGAAGACAAATGATTCCCCTTGGGTTTTCTTTGAGCCAGTCAGCTTTCCTCACTTTGAAATGAAGCCTGATCGACATATTCGGGGATGTTGCCACTCCGTTTCGCCACCTGAATTATATCTAATAACGAACTCCAACGCCATTGCGGAACGACATCCAATGACTCTTGATAATCAAGGGATAATCGATCGGATTGAAGAGGCTTGTGGTTTTGCTGGGATCAAGCCCACCACACGAACGGTAGCTGACTGGGCTGGATGCATCGAGTTCAATGATATTGATTCGATACTTTCCGTGTCATATGTATTACCCACTGATACAAGAAACTTGGTCGATATTGGAATATTTTGGTCTCGTATCTCTCAGGGCTTGGAAGGGTTCTGTCAGGCTGCTGCTCTATTACAAGCAAATGATCTTTGTTGCGATTCCTTTACAGTTCTTAAATCGGAATTGAAAGGCCACGACTCGTCATCGTCACCTCTAGGGGAAATGGTTTCTGTTTCCTTCAAATCAGTTCTCAGTCTTCGTGAGGAGCTGCGGAATGTTACAAATGCAGCTCCCGGTTACTCTGACCTTGAAAAGCTTTTATCTGCATCCACGGGGGTCCTCAGCCTTATATGGCCAGACATACCGGAGGTTTCAAGCGAATCAAGCATTCAGTGGTGTCTTCACCTCTGTGCGCTGGCAGTCCAATTTCTCTGTCTTAGCTTCCCTTCATACTGCCAGGCCCATATTGGTCCTGTTAAACCCTTTTTCTTGAACTTTTCTGCACGAAAGGTGACACTGATGGGACTTCAAACAAAACAATCTTTTCCATTCTTGGTAGCAGAACTTGTCAATCTCACTTGTCTAGGTAATATGACCCGTGGGCAAGTCTTGTTGTTCCGTGCTAGTGAAGCTTCGCCGGATAAGGAAATGTTGGAAATGCAAATCCAACGACTAGGGCAAAATCATGATGTTCTTGGACGTGCCGAAGATATACTCGATATATGGGGCCCTGGAAATCTAATACTTCGAGAAGATGGTAGTGGTGCTCCTGTCGCTATAAAAATCGGAGACGGCTTTGTTTTCGCTCGCGAAAGTGGAAAGTTCCATTGGGCCCAGAATATACCAGATATCGAAGCTTTGACCTCGATTGACATTGAACTACCGCTTTTGATCGGCTCGTTGGTCGCAATAAACTCTGCTTGCAAACATACCGAAGTCGAGTCCCGCCTTACAGCGGCAAACTTCCTCGAAGAACTGGGAACAAGCCGCTCGTCATGGAAAAGGTCACAACGACAACTGGCCATTCAAGGGGGGCAGTATGTCGTTGGTCAAGCTACAGAGACTTGGAATAAACAAACAGGCATCTCGGTGAAAGACCAAGCGCTCGCTTATCCGCCCCAAATCCTCATTCAATACATGGATTCACATTGGGGAGTCCAAGTCAGCTACTGCACTGGAGTGGCTAAAAGAGTCCGTCTAAGAAAGCTGGTAGTAGACTTATTGCCGCACTTTACTCCTAGATCTCCATTTGATTATGGTGATCTCGAGGCCAAACTGAAGGATGAGACGTTGCGACCAAAGGACCTTCAGGTCTGGCTAAGCGACCTAAGTCCAGACCTACGCCTGGAAATCTTGACTATTATCTGTGATATCCTGGACACCCTTCGGCACACTGGATTAGACAGCACAGATACTTACTTTTGCGTTGCCTGGCCATTTGAGGGTAACGTCACTCAGTGCTTTAAAATACCTCTGGAGCAGGATAGCTCATGGGCCAGATTTCTGGCGGATTCTCATGATTGTGCAACCTTTGCGTACATCACAATGGAATGTTTTGAGACAACTGAATTCAGATGCAGCAATATTCCTAAGCCCTGCCTCGACATACGCCTACTAGAGACTTCTGTTTCTCGCAGCAGAAAAGAAAACGTCTTCACGGAGTCGCGCTTACAGCATGAGGAAGTTTGCTATTTTTCCAAGCAGGATACCATGTTCTGGGTCAAAGTACTGAAGAAGCATGCAGATCAACCAGCAAGTCTTGTTGACCTGATGGCTATTCAGTCTTTACCACATAGCATCCGACAGAGGTTGCACTTGACCGAGCGAAGGAAGCAGCGGAGTCGTCTGCGGGAGTGCGCTACAATATGGACTCAAGGGGAAGTTGTTTCGGTGTCCTCGGCACGAAGATCGAGTAAATGAAACTAGGGCTATGGTCCAAATTTTGCCTCCAGCCCTTTTTGGAACATTTTCTACATTTAGGGTGTTTTATGGATAAAGCACTGCTATATTGTATCTCCCAGTGTATCTCCTTTTCATATCTTCAACGCATTGTTCTAATGTATTTAGGTTTTCTAGACAGTACTAAGACGGTAAAAGTTCTAAATTTGTCTCGATTATAGCGTAAATATATTTAACTATAGGGTAGTCTTAGAGGCTAGCACTGTTATATTCTAGTTTATAAATATCCTTAAAATATCGATAGGCTATATAAAAGCTAGCGAGGATAAGGTTAAATAGTCGAGGGGGATCCGTCCCCGTTTACTAATACGAGAATAACTCTCGCCGCCGTTTATCGTCCTATATCGTACTAGCAAAGCGGTCTATTTAGAGCTCGGTAGCAATCGGTCGACCGAGAACGACAGCTATATAGACGTCCTAAATATATAAGATCACCTAAATTCTATAACCGACGAGACTAATATTTTCTCTCTCGCGTATAGGCCTAACTAATATAATCTATCCGGTATATAGGCCAATTTCCTATATATCACGGATTACTACCCTAAGAGTATACTAGGCTTTAACAACTTTACCACTACTTTTTAGAAATACGGTATATAGTATACCTACTTAGACCGTAACGATTATAATACCCTTCTTCCTAATAACTACGAGTAACTTAGTACCCCTATCGCTATATTTAGCCCTAAGATTATAGAAGGTCATATTAGCTATAGTAATAAGGGAATTTATCATATAATTATAAGGAGAGTGAAAAAGAAGCGCTTATACGAGGACTTAAAATAGCAATACTAGAAATAGAATAGTGCCTAGCGCCAATCTTCCTAAGCCCGCTTAAAGGTCGGAGTATAAGATATTTCCCTATACTTATAAGTCTTCTTTAAATAATTCCTTATTAAGTAGGCTATACTACCAATTGAAGTCGGAGAAGAACGTTTAGACTAAGATATCGATATTGGCCTTCTGTAATGGATAAGTCCATACAACCCACAAAGTGGAGAATATCTCGGTCGCATGGCATGCGCAGGTATAGTGGAAACTCTGGTATGATAACCTGTTCGGTTATCATAAGTGGTCTTTTTGGTTAACGCCTGCATTTTCCATTAAGAGTATTCCTTGTGGAGAATATTGGTCCAGAGCCCAATTTCCCTTACACCTTCGAAGGCAGCTAGCGGACTAATTCCCTATACTTACGATCTAAATCGCTTAGAAAATAGGGTTAGTTTATAGTAGAGGAGCTGACTGAGCTTGTATCTTAACCTCTATAGAGCTCTACTATGCGTAATAAGCTTATAGAGTTGTGATTGCCGTGGCTGGAGTATCTAAAGTCTCTGATCTTGTCCTGCGACTCGCTAGTCTACCTAGGGCCCGGTCCAGCAGGTAGGTACAAATGTATCATATTGCTACTAGAGCTCATTTCCGAGGGGCCTCTCACACTAGAACTACTTTCGGTGGGTTGGCAGCCCTTCGGTAAAGCATCATAATAGTAAAGATCCTGCGGTGGCTAATCAGACTAATAGTAATATTTTATCTAGAAGTATAAATACCTGCGTTCCCCGCTTGATGCAGTTGCAGCACGGATACTGGCGGTCACACTATTCAATCTTTAGTGGCTTTCTTTTTCTTGTTTATGTGCTTTCGTGGATGTCCCCCGTAGAAATTAGTACCAGAGAGTTGTGATCAAAACAACATGCCTGTGAGAAAGTATCAGTAAGGGAGGGGAAGGACACGTCAGCGGTTCAGGGGCGTGCAGGATATTCAGGTGGAAAATAGTGGTGTTCAGGGCCTTCAGGTGAATGGGCTGAATGGGCTGAAGAGTAGGGCGGCAAGAAGGGATTTCCTAACGAATCAAAAAAAAAAACGGGGGAACACTGACATACAACAGTGAGGATTCGCTGGTTACTAACTCACCGGCGTGTGGCTTGAGTACGGCTGAGCGGACGGGAAGCCCTATTTTCCACACCCTATGGTCGTATGTAATTGTTCGGACTATAAGGGGACATATGTAGTGTAGGATAACCGGGGTACAAACGGCCCGGACTGCAATAGAGGGAGGTCCTATGAGTTTCAAGGGAATAGCCGTTGGTTGTTGGGCGCCTGACACAGCTATCTATCGGAAATAGACTCAATATAATAACAAAAATAAACAAAAATAAAAACATACAACAGTGAGGATTCGCTGGTGGTCACCCACCCAACTACTAACTCACCGGCGTGTGGCTTAAGTACGGCTGAGCGGACGGGAAGCCCTGTTTTCCACACCCTGTGGTCGTATGTGTTATGATATGTGTAGAGGTGGATCACATAGTGAAAGAGTAATAGGGGCTGTAGGTGGTCGGTGATGATGAGAAGGGAGGCAGTATAGATGGGGTGAGATTCCGTGAGAATTAGGGTGAAAACCACCAAAGTTGGTGTTAAGATCTATGAGCTCATAGATGAGATGAAGATCACAATATGTTGTATTGTGTGTTGTATGGAGAAGTTATGGAGGAAAGAGAGAGAGAATTAGTCTACAGGTATTGGGGGACATGTGATGATCAGGTGACATGTGGGATAATTCAACAGTTGGGCCTTTCAGCTGAACATGAGCGGGGAGTTGTCTTTTTCCGAGATCAGGATCTTACTACTGAGAAACAGGTTGAATTGTTTCAGCATTATGGTAAGTCTACATGGGGGTCTGAATGAGGCACTCGGTATTAATTTGATCTTACAGGCATTTTGGACAAACATCCTGCTCAAAAGGCAACCTGAAACACAAGCGTTTTGCAAATTTCAAGCAGATTTAAGTACGCTGACAATTATTAGGATCAAAAATAGTATACCCTGGCGAAATTTGCCACTAAACCCACCAAGAAAGCCAGGACGATGAAGGTGTTTTCGTTGTTTGAAGATAAGTAAAGAAAGTAGCATTATTCACAGACTCGAGGCATCTCATTGATTCATAAATTAAATATTCTTCAAATGGTGAGGGGGCTTTTGCAGACTTCAAACCCCGGTCGTAGATATATTATATTTTGCAGAACAATTGGTCAACTGCAACTTATTTCGAAGCAACTCCCTCGGCAACAACAAACGTCTCCTTATCAGAGAGACTAACTTTGTTCTGCTCCTCGTCTTGGGCCCGAGGCAACTCGGAAACCTCCTTTGAATGCTCGATAGGAACGTGGGACCTGACAACGAGCCAAGTAGGCCAGATCGAAAGAACTGAAATGAAAAGTTAGCGTCGCTTGTTTCCAATCATTTCTTAAATATATCACTTACCGAGAATGATCGTATTGACAATAAGTGGCACTCTTCCTCCGTGCCATTTTTTCGAGTTGAGGCCGTAGGAGACAGCCTGCGAGAAGCTCTCTTGGCCGCGAAGAATACCGGACAACCGGGCTATATCGCATTAGTAAGGTGTAGGTAGGACACTGAGTTCAAATCCGACTTACAGAGTTCAGAGATATTGTCAGTCATGGTGGAGAGAAGGTAGTAAAGGAAGTTCTGCAGCGATTGCTGAGCAAATTCTGATGGGAGAAATGTCAGCGCACGTTCGGGATATTAACTCATTTATGACTTACCCCAAAGCAGGACAACGAAGAATCCTTCAACGAAGCCTTTGTCGGCCCAGTCAAGGGTTTGTGGGTTCTTTGTGTACTTTTCTTGGATAACCCAGCAGTACACCCAGGCAACTATGTGAACGACGATCACATAGAAGAAGCTGTAGCTTTGATTAGTCTTGGTTCCAAATCCGATAGTAAATATAGAGATTCTATACCTGTACTTAATTCTGTTTCTGATCGAGAGACCGCGGTAGTCCAGGAACCTACTAATGAGTGTCGAAGCAAGAAGAGTGGCGAAGTAGGCTTTGGTCTATGTTAGCACTGGTGCAGAAGTGTGCGTAAACAATGTGAGTGTGTAAACATACTGACGAATCCCATCAGAGCGCGAGCGCGCACGCCGAAGTAGTACGTTTTGAAATCTAGACCAGCTAATCAGCAATTGCGAACGTTGTAGAGGAAACAACCAATCCATACTCCCGGTGTACATATTGAAGTATGCGGCCCAGAAAACAGGCAATAGCAAGAGAATCTAGGGAGGTGAGTCACATGTGGTACATAAGCATGATTGAATCAATGATGTTAAACATACCTCCTTCCGCTGGCAGACCTTCCAGAGCTCTTTCATTTCATCACGCCACGAGTCCTGTAGGATAATCCTTACTTTACTTCCATCGGTGCGTTGCACCTTGTCGGGTGACGTGAGGAAGAAGGCTATGGGCACAGCAGTACATTGGAGCGCGATGAAGATGAGATATGTATCTGTAGTGTGTTAGCGATTGTTCAGGGTGTCTAATCTAGCTTTGATTGTCTTACCAGGTCCAACTTTCCCTCTGGCGTGGGCATCGGCAGCACTTTTCATTCGTTAGGCCCGTGACATGAATTCGGGTGTAGACATACTGGTTGAGCCCAAGGACAATAGCACCTCCCACCAATGGGCCACCTGTACGGAACCAAAGCCAGATACTGTTGAAGTCAGTCATTTTGTCACTTTACAATATTTTGGAACATCTCACTTCATGTATCGGCCTCGCTTTGCGGGCTCGGGATAACCCAGTGCCACGGCACCTTCAGAGGCCCAGAAGAGACCAGCACTATAAAGGTCGGTCAATGCTCTTATTTCATCTAATCAGTATAAGATACTCACGATAAACCACAGAATACTGATCCAACCAGCACAAACCATATATTTCCCTAGATAGGGGTTAGTCTTGTTCCTCGAGTTGTACAGGTAGTTCCAATGTTGATGAAGAACTCACAAAACGGTTATTTGTGTATAAGGCAGCACTGTATATTAAAGTCAGTCCCGAGATAACACAATTTCATATTCCATTCTAGATATACGTACGAATACACTGGGTATCCCACTGCGCCGAGCATCAGAGTCCATCTCAAGCCAATCCGGTTGGCGATAGGGCCACCAAACAGACACAAAATTCCCACTAGCAAACAAGTTAGAACGAATCCCAATTCAAGATTCCATTTGATTGCAGCAATTTAGCACATACTGAGACCAAAAACAAGGGCATTGGCAGCATTAATCAAAAAGGGTTCCTGAGCACCACCAGCACCCAAAGCATTCATGGCATTCCATAGGCCCGGGGCCGTGAATCCGACACCTCCAATAATACAGGCATTGAAGAGTGTTCCACGGTACCATACTCGCTTTTCAATTGGCGTATCGGACGTGGCCGAAATTGAACCTTGTTCAGCCATTGGCGTATGCTTTAAGCTTAAACGATAGTAAGCACCTTGTAATTCCCTAAATGCTAAATGGGAAACACGGCATATATAGATTTTTTTCTGCCCTGACGAAATCGACTACCGATCTGAAGGTTTTATTATTGTATTAGGCCTATTCTCATCCCTCTGCGTGATTGCGTGCTTTGGAGCTCCTGTGCTCTAGTGCCCCTTTTGGACTAGCGTAGGCTGCCAAGACAGACTTTGGAGAGTCCGACCAACCAACGGTCAGGGCGGCATATAAATGTGGAGAATATAGTGCGGAGACCCTGTTAAGTCAAAATATCGCTTCAATTGCCGCGATATCGGGTTGGGAAGGCGGGTAGAAGTTGGGGGCCCTCAGGTCTTGGCTTTGATAACGAAGAGGGAATTGAGCAAGATATTACCGACAAAAGGGGCCTAGACAAATGGAAAAATATTTTTATTAATTACATGAAAAGGTTGTTACGTTATGGACATTGGGAAGTTTAGTTTCCAGACACCTCCTTAACCGCCGCGATGATATCGCTCGGCCCAAGGCCCTGAGCATTGACTTGCTCGTACAGACCACCACAGCCCTCCTTAATAGCACCCATGGCCTTGAACTTGGGCGTGAATTTACGCTCAAGGAGGTGAGTACCCAGGCGAGAGCCGAGACCAGTCTTCTGCGCAATCGACTCAACAACCAGGACGAATGGTGAGGATCCATAGACCTTGATGGTCTCCTCGTCGACCACGTTAAGAGTAGGCTTGTTAATAAGACCGATATCGAGGCCTTCCGCACGCAGGTTCTCGACAGCATCAAGCGAGCGGTAGATCATGTCACCGTATGAGACGATGTACCCAGCAGAGCCCTTACGGATGACTTCTTCCTTGCCAGGAACGAACTTGTAGCCCTCACCGAAGAGCTTCTGGTCGGTACCCTCCTTCAGGATGTAAGGGACCTTAGCACGAGTGGAGAAGATGAAGCGCAGACCCTTATTCCAGAACACCTCGTTGACTACTGCCTTCATTTGCTCGCCATCGGCAGGGAAGTATAGCGCAGTGCTCGCGGCATCCATGAGACCATTGTCGGCGAAGAAGTGGTTCAGACCGAAATGGCAAGTGTTGTCGGCCATCTCGTCGACACCGCTGTGAGAGAAGTGTGACAAAACGGTGCAGTCATTCAGACGGGCCATGGTGATCTCAGAAATACACATCTCCAAGAAGGCGGAGAAGGTAGAGAAAACACCTTGGCGCTCTCCGTTGCTGCCAAATCCGAAACCAGCAGCAGCAGAGAAATTGCCGCGCTCCATGACACCAGATGCGACAAAGGACTCGGGGTGCTTAGCGCCGATAGCCTTCAGACCGGTGGAGCCAGCCAAATCGGAGTCGATAACCATGACGCGACGCTGAGCCTCCTCCTTGCTCAGTTTGTCAAGAATATCATTCACGGCATCGCCGAAAATAGTGCGGTTCCCACCCTTGTCCTTGCTAGAACCCTTGTATGTGTGGGGGGTTTGAGCCAGGCTTGATATCGTCGTAGAAAGCAAGTTGTTCTTTGCTGTATCCGCGCTTTGTGAGGTATTTGCGAGCGATTTCGACAGGAATGACATCATGCGCGTGTGTTTCTCCCTCAATGTCCTCAATACCAGGGGCCATCCTGCGGTCGACGACAACAGCGGCGGGGCCATCGTGGTTGATGACTTCGCACATAGCACCGTATAGGGAGTCGAGATTCTCACCCTGGGCACGGAGGACTTTCAGGCCATGTCCATCAAGGGTCCGAGCAACCTCATAACCCTTGAGGTATTCTGAAGGGTGTCCGGCAATTGTGACATCGTTGTTATCGACGAAGAGCTTAACGTTCAGATTTCTGCCTACGGCAAGGCGTGCAGCCTCAGCGTCATTTCCTTCTTGCTGGGATCCATCAGATCCCAACAGAATCACATTCTTATCCTTGTTGGCCATAGCAATTCCGTTGACCATACCCCACATGTGACCCAGGCGACCGGAGCTGAACTTGACACCGGGCGTGAAACCGAGCTCGGGGTGGCCGGGGAGATGGGAGTCGGCAGCGCGATAGTTCAGGAGGTGATCGGGCTCAATCTTGCCGTCCATTGCGGCCAGTAGGTATTGTGTGGCGACACGGTGACCAGCCTCGTCGTACAGGGCATCAACCCATTTGTTAGGGTTGGCGTTTATGAAAGCAAGCAGGATGCAGACTTCTGGGGCTGTATCGAAGGGACCTCCAGTGTGACCTGCAACGCCACGGGCGGCACCCGTTGCTGTGAAGGCAATGATGGCATCTCTAAAAATGTCGATGTTGTGTTGCAAATCGCTCTTCTGTTGGGCTGATAGCTGTGGGGTCTTCGGGTCAAGCTTAAGCTGCTTGAACTGCTTGAGATCGACGGGGAATTTATAACCGCTCATGATGTATTTTAAGCTTGAAGACAATGTCCAGTAGGAGATGTTTGAAGGAGCAAGATTAGTAGGAATGGGTTCTCACCGTTATAACTTTTGTGAAACACCCTGTTCCCAGAATATTGACGTCATAAGCACAGTGTATCTGGAGGTGACCTGTTTTCGGCACCGCACAACCTGCATTCTTCGCATTCCTCAACATTCCTTTAATAAAGTTCCACTTATTCCACTTATTCCACTTATTGTTAAAGGCCGTTCCAATGATCTGCAGATTCTCTCACAAAATGTGTTAAAACGTTCCGTTTAACCCATCCGAGCCCTACACGTGGCTGCCTTTTAGGGCTGGTGATCTCCCCTAAATTTTCCCTAACCTAGCTCATTGATCGACTAGTATATGTACTATGTATACTATGAATGGCATCAAGCGTGAAGAACTGGATCGACGAAGAAAATTTGTCTCCTTTTTGATCTCCTTCCCTCTCGTTTGTCGAGTGTTGGACAGCAAAAGATTTTTTTTCTTTTCAAATTTATACACTCCGATCTAAACTTCTGACATCGACTTCCTAAGTGTCGGCTTGATTGTTGTCACTTCAATCCTCTCATTCCTGTAAATCAACTTCTACAACGCCCTTTGGAGCCGCTTTCACCCCACTACACTAGGTAATATTGATGCATACATATTGAGGTGTGTGCTGCCAGTATGCAATTTGGCAGACCTCTCTTTGCCTCCTTTGTAGCTTTAGCCCTTCATCTCTTTCTCTCCATGAATCCATTTACATATATTCATTGTAGTAGCTAGATCATCCTCAGGACCTATCTTCGTTATCACTTCTGTTGGTCACCTCCTCTTTCTTCTTGCTACTCAATTACGTAGTGATTTACGTGCATGAAATATCAATTAAGAGAATCATAGCATACTAAAGGTAGATGTAACTGTGCTTCATCTACGTGGTTAAGCTCACTCTTCGCCAAGAGATTGACATCTCTTGGCGTCACTTTGACCTCTGTGATGCCCGTAGTTGTGCAAATTGTGCGGGGGCTAAATCAGCCCATCTGAAACAACCCCCGTGTCATTATACAAGGCCATGATAGGCCCAACCCCCTCACATCACCCCTACAAGGGCCGTTCCGAGCGATGTCTTTTTTTTTCTTCTTCTTATCAGCCAACTAAACTATCTACATTGACCACGCGACATATTCCATTTTGTTTTTTACCCTAAAATGGCCACACAGTCCACCATGACAGAACAAGTTGACAATCCCCCGGATTATGATAGCCTTCCACCCCGCAGGCCTGACATCGAACGCATACGGACCCCATCAGCCCCAGAACGTAAGCAGATCCCCCGCAGGTCTCCATGGGTTTTGCCCGTGACTAATGCGACTTTCCACAGCACCAAGCGGCTCTGTAAGACGAATTCTTCCAGGTCTTATTTCACTCATCCTAACCACTCATGATAGTCCCAGGCATTCAAGGTCAACGGAACGATCTATGTAGCAGCACAGATAGCGAATATGCCTCGTGCGGCGCATCTTAACGAATCCCTTGCAAGTGCGGAAAAGATGATCCGTAATATAGAGGCGATTCTGAAGGCGGCGGGGTCTGGTTTGGACAGGATTATTAAAACTACGGTAGGGTCTGATAATTCGTGGCTTTTGGATCGCTTGGGGCTAAATGTAAATGTCTTTCATAGGTGTATTTTACGGAGAACTTGTGGGTTCATTTAATAGAGGGCTTCGATGCCCTCTACAAACGGATCCTTCCGTTTGCACCGCCGCGGACGACTGTTTTTGTTCCGAGGATGGGACATAAAGGTAATAGACAAGAGATACAAATGGAGGTCATAGCAGTGGAGTGACTCTTTATCCCTCATTTGCATGTTACATTATTTCAGCACTCTCTTTCTCTGTTTATTTTACTTGTGGTAGGTACACTTATCACCTTGCATCTCTCTTCTCACTACGGAGTCCAGAGTAGCGTGTCAGGGATGTAAATACCAGTCAATATTATACCTGGCCTAGACCACGATGGATGGCTACCCCGTACATCACAGGTACTTACTAGGTTGCGTGCAGATCGGACTATTTCAGTAACGCTCTACTCCGTACAAGAACGGGGTAATCTCTACTTTTGGGTCTCTAGGTACTTTTGGGGACTCTCTATCAATTTTATAGGAATAATAGATGCAGATCTCTGTATAATTGCCTCACTACAAACGACGCCGCATATGCAGACATCCGTTGTTGACGTTTGCTGTCTCCACATGGCCGACGTCAAGTTGAGCCTGGTTTCGTGTCAACCCGTGTATCAAGAGCTTCTATTGGATGCATGCAGAGGCTTCGGTCTTACCCTCAGCCCTAGAGCCCCTGTCCGTTGCTTTTTTTCTGCAGATCGCTCGTGTTAAGGCAGCTGTGGCTTTTCATTTTAACAACATATTGTTGCAACACCGGCAATCATCGGAACGGCTATACATAGCTTGCTCAATCTTGAGTTCAAGAAGCAGGCTCTTCTTTTGGATAGTTCAAATCACTTTCTTGTAATGTATTGAGTCCTTAAATCATCCATTTTGTGTGAGGAGTTTGTGTTCTTGGGAGTTCTGAATATCTGACAAGGGATCAGTTGCCAATCATTCTAAGGGGTCTAAGGGGACGTTGCATCACAAGACCAGCCTGATTTTAATTTCAGACGGACCCCAGTGGACCCAGGATAGATCAGAATCCTTTAGTCAGAGATAACAGGGAACAGCGAGAGTGCCATGCACAGTATAGCCAATGAAACAGAAAGTGTGCTATTCAGAAAAAGCAAAAGGCCTGCCAAGTACCGAGTTAGGCTTACGAGTTGCCAATCCCCGGATATTCCCCCGTCTACTTCAGAGTCTGAGGCTCTTGGGTCTACCGGTATCATACAATGCCCAATTCTACCCAGAATCGCCAAGGCAGACATATACGTAATGCGTCGAAGGATTGCATTGCCAGGAGCCTTAGCTGAAGTATTGCATATTGAGCTTGCCAACAGACGGGAGCAAACATATGTTGGACCAACCACTTCAAGATATAAAAAGGTCCAGGTCACCATCAACCTCAGTCGTACAAGCCTACCTCAATTCCATACCTCACCGAAGAAGCCCAATACATCCCTTTGTCTTCAATTCAAACCATCAAATTCTTTCCAAAATGAGACTCTTCCTCCAAGGCACTGCAGTCCTCGCTCTTCTTGTTTCCAACGCATCAGCTGTAAAGAGCGGCGTTTTTGCCGCTAACGGCGTGGAGCTCGAACTTTACCAGTCTGGCGAGGATTTCATCTACGGAGAGCCAGTGAGTACCTCATCCCTTGAACCCTCCTATACACGATAACTGACTCCACATAGCAAAGCTTGGTCCAGGTACATTGCCGCTTCATCCCCATTGTGAAGAATGGTGGTTTTCTAACACATTCATTTTAGGCAAGAGATCTTGAGGGCCGAGCAACTAACGCGTGCACCAAGTGTGTGGGTCATCATGGAAGCTGTGTTGTAGGAGAGGGCAACTGCTATGCTCCTGATACGTGTGGATTCTGTGGAGGTTGTTCTGTCAACCAGGCCCGTTGCCAGAACCCCGCCAAGGAAGGCTGCCAGTGCTATAAATGATTTCTTGGAGATATCAAAGCAGGTAGTTGACAGATTCAGCATTTTTGCTTTCCCTGGGCTTAATGCTGTTTAGATTCTTCTATAGTAGCAAAGTGTCCTATAGTGGTAAATAACTCCTACAGTCCTTCTATGTCCTCGTCAATGTATTTACTTATGCCAGATTACTTCATATTTCAGATCTCGTCTACTATGTATTCTCCAGTAAAATACAAACAAGTGTAAAGAAGTTGATTCCGTGAGGAAGGAGGTATCTTATCCAATTTACGCCGAAGAACTCAACTCTCAAACCCAGATCAAACAATGAAAACCTTCACCCAAATATATACTCCCACCACCCCTTCTTCCACGTCCGCCCAAACCGATGATTGACACATGCGTCGGGATGATTAAATCCTCCCGCCTGACTATGTCTCTGTCCATTCCCCCAAACACTGATTGGCAATACGCATAGTCCGCCCATAGACTTATCCGCGACAGCTTCATCAGCCTGAACGCAGACAGGGTCACGGAGTCTATGAAACGGAGCCCACGTTACCCGTTCCTTCAAGTCCCCAAGTTCTGGAGAGAGAAGGTCCCCTATATCCTCATCTGCGTCGACAGATTGCTGAACGAGCGGATGTGTCGAAGGCAGCGAAGAGGAAAGTGTGTCAAGAATAGCATCCGTAAACACATCAGGTCCCGTAACTCCTAATATAGTCTTTTCATCATACGTCAGACTGGGGAGGAAGCTGCTATGTTGACTGTTGTATTGTCTGGTATGTGACAAGACCCGCACGATAGTTTCGCGGAGAAGCGGACTGAAACGTCGCGGTGCATACATGGTATACTGGATGAGTCCGTAACTCCTTGTCCAGTGCCAGTCGCGCATGAATTGTTGCGAAGCGTATGGCTCGTCGACTTCAATTCCAATAACGAGCGATACATCGGTATCAGTGCTTTCTGTGGATTCGTCGGCGGGTGTAAAGAAGGGCTCTAGCGCTGGACAGGTGTTGATCGTCCGAGCGGGGAAGACATCGATGTCAGCGTAGAAGCCTCCAAAGTACCAGAGAAGGAGGTATCTGAGGAGGTCTGCTCGGAGCACATTGCGAGGGTAGGATTTGTATATGGTCGCAATTTCGGGGATATCTGATAGTTCGTTGGTCACGAACTCCATGGCCTTTTTATCACTGACTAACTTTGGGGTTTTAGTGGAAATCAACCAAATTATGTATGATCCGATCAGAGTACTTACAGTGTATTTCCACTCTTTATGCTTTCCCTCAAATACTATTGAGTCGTCCCCTCTGTGCTTTTCATTTTTGGCTATCTGCCAGATTCTATCTTCAGATATATTGCTTTCCCCACTTGCCAATACGGCCTCTTCGATCTCGGCCAGGGAATTTGATAGCCGATTTTCATATTCAAGATCTGGATTGTTTCGAAAGGGTGAGCGGTAAAGAAATCGTGGCTTATCCTCTACTTGGTGCTCTGGGGGTGGTCGGTCTGCGCGGGTATTGTTCTGGGTGGAAGGAGGATCTGGAAGATGATAAAAGAGGAACCATATGAAGATAATAAATGTTATACAAGCTCCCCGACGAGTAAAGAAGACTCTAGGCGCCCGCACCCAAATTCTATTAAGGCTCATAGTGGTAGTAGTAAAAGGAAGCCGGATAGAACGGTGACTTGAAGGCTGATTCAAGGACTATTGGCAAAAATCACTGTCGACTCTCATTTTATGAAAGAATGACACATAGAAGGAAGCTCAAAGATTCATCAGGTTGTATGTTTGAAGTGACAGAAATGAAATATGACAAACGAGAGAAATAAGAGAGAGAGAGAGAGAGAGAGAGAAACAGTGGATTCAGAATAGCAAACAAAAGTCTGCATCAGACCAAGGATTGGGTATATGACCAAACCCCCTGGGTTTTCATGCAGCCTCTTTGACACAAACGAACAAAAGCCTCGAAGTTGGCCCCCAATTTTAAAAATACCACTTGCCGGTCCAGTTCTTTGTTTGACATCCACTTCGGGACGATCCTCCAACTACAGACAAGGGTATTCCCGGTTGGGATCCAATACCCCCCTCCGTAAGAAGCCTGTCAATGTAGATCCTGTCGATCTTTTGGAACTAGTAATTTTGATATTTTATTTCATCCGAATACTGTACTTTTCCTACTAAATAACTTACAGATTGGTGTAGATGGTATATTCAATACACTGAGCTTGCAAGGATTAGCCTGTTCTTGGCGGAGCCACATTTTCAGCCTTCTTACGGGGGGTGGTAGTTCATATTTCCCATAATATGACAGAGGACTTCCTCATTTTTGGGTCGGATCAAGATATTACGGAGGTGGAAGAAAATACCACTGCACGAAGTCAAAGTATGCTGAGATAGTACCGGATGAGATCATGACTAGTAAAGTCGATCCCTATGAGTTCTTGTAGTTGTGTTCTACAGTCTTCACCTATAACCAGCTAAGTCTAGAACTAGTTGATACTCAATATACCCCTTGTATAAGAAAATATTTACTATGATCCGAAGAAGAAGAAGAAGAAGAAGAAGAAGAAGTACCTTTATTGGTGAAGCTCAGGGAAGAACAGGATCTTTCTTGGTCGGAGAGGTGACGATACTGTTTGCACAAATTCGGGAGTAAAGGGTCTAAACTGGTGTACTGGAGCACGACGTTCAAAAAGCAGCGGCGAGATTTAGCAGATGCCATGTAGGTAAATAAACTGAGGGCTATGAATTGCCTTTGAACTACTCCGTGCTACTATCTATATTGTACGGTTGATTACGCTGTTACGGCAACAGCCAAGGAGCTGTTCAGACGTAGAGGAGCCAACCAAGTTCCCAGAAGCTACGAACCCAAGGCTGGCAGGATTTACTTAGGAACTGCCTAGCCAGGCAGAAACAAACATCAGGTCATCACATCCCAATGTCGAAAAGCTAACGTAAGGGTAGGACCTGGGCTTAGACTAGACACTAGAGACAGTGACCAGATGGCTTTTTGATTACTTATCCCTGGTTTCTATCTACCTAGGTAGCATCAAATGACCACATCTTGTCCGCCTTTGCTACTGTCATGAATTCGCCACGGGACTCGGCTTCTTTGGCAGTCTATATCTATCTATTGTACGCTGTGCGATGAGCAACCCTCGCAGCGTCTCATGCTTCATTCGAGACCCACCTGTCAGAATTTGTATCAAGGTTGTCTCTTAGCGATAGCTTAAGTGCTTCAACAGCCTCAAAATCGTTATAGTCTTAAACATACTGTTTCAATCCCGCTTCTATAGGAGTATATGGGCATGAGCCCTCTAGCCCTAGTTCCGTCCGCCCAGCAAGCTAAAAAGCTTAATTAACTCTTGGCGGACAGCGACAGCGGAGTCTCTCCAAGTTGTGTGACAGTAGCAGAAGAGTCGAAAAAGAGTCGGATCAAGTAATCTTGCAGGACTAAACTTAGGAACAAGGGCTGTCATGACCACATCATATGTTTGATAACACTCGGATGCATCTTTTAAATCTCGTTGCTTTTGCCCAGGAAGTTCCGTTTCACTTTATTCGTTCTGAATTATAATCCTCGGGGACCCTTGGAGCGCAGCGAAATCATGTGTCTCGTTGGCATAAATAAACGCGGGCTCAATGCTGGTTGATTGCACCCTTCAACTATACAGGTTCTAATATTAGTAAATAAAAGCTCAGGGTGGCGGCTCGTTTACCGATTTGAAATCACTTAGCGGGCCAAATCTTTATCCCTGGCCCCCGATTTTCATTCGTGGCCCCTAAATAGGAAATACCCCGCCCTCACTATACATATACGAGGCGCCAAGAGGTTTCCCTTATGCACGGCCTGTGGTGAGCCTGACTTGGACGATCTCAATCAGGGGAACATGGGAGCCTCCTGGTTATGTCTTGTCGGAGAACGTATTTTCATATGTTGTGCCATAGTATCCTAATAATATGTAGTGCCTCCTTATTGGGAGTGAAGACAACATACCTACTCTGGAGGCATTTAGTGTCCAATGTCCCATCTTAGGATGCTGCTGCCAAGTCTGAAGTGCATCGGATCCATCACCCCGTATCTAGCTCCAATCATAAACTGGAACCCTCGCCAATCGCAAACGAGGCAGACTCGGGGCTGTAGTGGAGAATAAGATGAGTTTTAACCCTGCATTTAAGACTGTAGAGTTTCGCAGTGCGAACATTTGACTTCTTTTCTTTTTCTTTTCTTCTTTTTTGCTTTATTCAGCATGTTTCTCTGCGCGGTAGGGCTGCTTGCCCTTTCGTTGCTTCAACTAGTACACGGCATCAGCTTCTTGAGATTAACACCGACACCGACACCCACACCAACACTCACCTTGCCCGATGGACCGCACTTAGATGGCCCCCAGATAACGCCGGGCGTGGATCTCCGACAATGGGCGATCATGCGACGGGACGATGACTTGATTACCTCGTCGTATCCGAGGGTCAATAGTTTGTGTGGATGGCATGATGCTAGTTTTGCAGACGATTGTGAGTTCTATTAGATGCCACATCCCTGAAACGCTCCATTTTCCGATTAAATGATAACAGTGTTTAATTAGATGACCGGTGCGGGAAGGGTTTAACCTGCGCACATCATGCATCCAACTCTAACTGGCCAGGCATGATTGGTTGTTGCGAAAGCTCGAATTGCGCCTTTCTGACAGCCTGCTACGGCGCCAATGAGCTTTCTATATCGCCAGAGCTAGGTACAACCACGGACCGCTTTACCCTACTTTGCACACTGCTTCATTCTGCAGCCTGTGTCACTTATAGTTACGGGGATTTCGACGCCGCGCACTATGGATGTGGAACAACCAGTGCCAATAGGGAAATGTTCACCTTTGCGATTGATAATCCCACTGGCACTATCTCCATTCGATACGATCATACAATTTCGACGGTCGACGACGACATCGTGAGCAGCTATGCTTCTCGGTTTCAATCAACCCCAACCTCCCAGGTGGGAGACGCCACCACGACTAGCAGTAGCGAGCCATCTGACAGTAGCGAGTCATCTGAGGCAACGCCGACATCCGAACCAAGCTCCCCACCCTCGGAGAAGTCCACAACCACCTCAGCCGGCGCAATTGCTGGTGGTGTTGTCGGCGGCGTGGCCGGGGGCGCAGCAATCGCACTTGCGGGCGTCTTTCTCTGCTTGAGAAGGAAGAAGAGGAGAAATCCACCCGAGGCGGATGGTGGTTCTGGATACGGTGGTGGACCCCAAAGCATGTCGGAGAGCCAGCCGAGTAATTTGACCATGGGAATGCAGCCGCCCGCCGAAATGGAATCTCGCGAATCGCCGTATCAGTTCTCCCAATCGCAGGACACCGCGTCTGCAAACACGGCACACGAGATGCAAGGCGATACCCATCGTGTGGTAGAAGCCGACTCCAACTACGCTTCCCACTCTAAGGATAATGCAGCCGAGTTGCCGGCTGAGTCCAGGTATATCAGACCGTGAGGGGATGCCAAAGCTTTCTTATGACTTTTTGAATTTTCCGTCTACTATGTAAAATATCTTAGTATATATCCTACTTATATATCAATAATAAGAAATAAAGTATATAATCTAATAGATTCCATTTCAGTATTAATTTGAACTATTAAAACTGATCGACCCCGCTATCTCTCGGGTCTTAGTCTCTCAATCGCAGGGCATGCATTTTATTGCCTCTCTCCAGTGTCTTAACTAACTCATGATTCTGTCGAGTTAAATAATCACATGAACTTTCCATTGGGGACGCATAGAATGGCCCAAAAGAATAATAAACTAATTAATCTGTTCATATTTAATCTAAACATAGTGAAAGAAGTAAAGTGTCCATTAAATATTGTTGGCCTGGATTCATTTGCCCAGCAGTTTGAGATCACGTATATGCACTATACAGCAAGGAGATTGTAGGAACGGAGGTACGGAGTACTCTGTTGTAAGCCGGCGATGTGAAGCCCGAGAGACCGAGCCAATCAGCGGTACGCTCAACACTATATGGCAAAAAGCCGCGATAGAAGCTGGGGCCTGGAAGGAGGGAGCTTGGGATTGGTAACGGACATATAAGTAATGCGTGGCATCTTCTCTAGTCCTCAATTTCCTGCATCTTAGACCATCGGGCTTCTACAATTCACGAAAGTCCAATGCCTAAGAGCGACAAGGATAGTCATATCTTTCCCCGTTTACTACCTCCATCATAGATAGATTAACCCAATCCACCTAACTATCCATAATTAATAATAAAATAAAATAAAATAAGCGAACTTGACAAAATCAGCTGACACCACAGTACACCCCGCACTCGCGGGCCAAGTGGATATTCAGTCGGGCCGAAGACCCCTATTCCTGAACACGTGATTGGCAAGCTATTTTGCGGGGAAACAAGCTTGGAAGAATACAATATAGAATACAATATAGAATTCTAAGCGTGCAGTAGTTACTCCATAGGTACGAGTAGCAAGGGGGAAAAAATAGGATTCAAAAGAGTTAAGCTACGTGCCTGTCGATCCTAAATAAGCAATTGAAATTAAAGAAAAAAAAGCAAAAAAAATAATAATCAAAAATCCGGAATGCATATCGGCGCGCTATAGGCCGAGATCGGGCTTCAATCGAGGGATGAATCACCTTTTATAATTCGAATCCTCCAAGTCGCCAAGATTATCCATTTTTACTCTTTCAGCCTCGATTTTCCTCGGAACTTGCGGAAGTTACCCCACGTTTTGAGGCCCGCCGGCATCGAGCGTAGCACCTCGGTAACATCCCTATATCGGAGAACCTGTGCAGGCTGTGCTGGACTCAAAAAAGTCAAACTCCCCCTTTCTTTCCTTTCTTCCCTATTATTATTGTCCTTCCAAGCAATTGCGCAGTATCCCAGTGCAATTCACATCCTATCATGGGTGTCTCAGGTATGTCTGATCCTATACATGTACCCAGGGTTTCTTTCTTTCGTCCTTTTTGGGGTTTAGTAACTCAACGCGCGCCAGCGCATCGTCGCCTTGGAATTCATGCTGACCGTTTGGTTCTTTCTTACGCAGAATTGCCCGCCTATAACGGACAACCCTCCGACAAGGGCGAAAGTCAGGTCTGTTCCGACACGGACTTCGACCTGCCTCCTCTCACGACTACCACCGCGCGCAAGTTGCAAGCCAAAGTCGATTGGCACATCCTACCCTGTCTATGCATTTTGTATTTACTTGCCTTTTTGGATCGGTAAGCGTACCACAGGGTCGTGTGACCAGACATTGCTTGTCCACGGATATGATATCTGACATCATTATCGACCTGCAGAGTTAATATTAGCAATGCCGCTATTCTCGGACTTAAAGAGGATTTGAACATCACCGATGGAACAAAATACAACACCGCGCTCACGATTTTCTTCGTTCCATACATTATCTTCGAGATTCCGTCAAATATTCTACTTAAGAAGTTGAAGCCTCATGTCTGGCGTAAGTTTTTTGCTCCTTTTGCGCCCCGTTAATCGCACGGGGCCCAATTTTGGTAAAGGGCAGCTTGTTAATTCGAATTTAGTGTCGGGATGCATGTTCATGTTTGGCTTAGTCCTGCTCTTCCAGGGTCTGGTACAGAACTGGGGTGGACTAATGGCCACTCGATTCTTTTTGGGTGTCTTTGAGACAGGCATGTTCCCTGGATGTAAGTGCAAATACCGACAAGAGCTCTTAAGGCAGGTGTTAATTGCGATCGACAGGTTTCTATTTGCTGGGCATGTGGTACACGCGCTCTGAGGCTCAAAAGCGTTTCAGTTTCTTCTTTAGCTCCACATCCCTGGCCGGCGCCTTCGGTGGTCTGCTTGCCAGTGGAATCGCAAAGATGGATGGCATGCGCGGCTACAGTGGCTGGCGGTGGGTGTTCATTATCGAGGGCATTTTGACCAGTGTGGTCGCGATCATCCTATTCTTCTTCATTGCCGATTTCCCCGAGGATGTTAAGTGGCTGAATGAGGAAGAGCGCACATACATGCGTGCAAAGTTGGCCAAGGATGTTGGCAAGGCTGCTCACAACGTTCACTTGGGCAAGCGCGAGGTTCTGGGTGTGTTCAAGGACTGTAAGTATAGCTGGAATACTCCCTTTGCATTCGATTGCAGTGCGCTGACTGTTCCCAGACAAGGTCTTTATCGGAGGGTTTATGTACTTTGGCTTGATTGTCCCAGCTTATGGTAAGTAAATCACGTCTTTGTTACCCTCTGAGTTATCGCTCACTCTCGTGCAGGATATGCATACTTCGCGCCGTCGATTATCCAGACCTACGGCTACAGTGCGATCAAGACCCAGCTATACTCCATTCCTCCGTGGGCTGCAGCATTCGGCTTCTCAATGGTAATCGCCTTCTGCTCTGACCGACTGCGACACCGATTCGTTTTCACATTGATTCCAATGGCGATTGCCCTTATCGGGTTTATCATGCTCCTGACAATCCATAACAATAATAGCGCGCAATATGGCGCTCTTTTCATGGTTACCAGTGGCTGTTACAGCGCCATGCCCGTCATTGTATGCTGGTTCTCCATGAATTTGGGTGGGCATCATCGACGCAGCGTGGGAACGGCATGGCAGATTGGCTTCGGCAATATTGGCGGAATCATCGCTACGTATTCTTTTGTAGTAAAGAATGGCGTCACGGATTTCCGAACCGGGTATATCATTTGTCTCTCGTTCATTTGTCTCGCAGGTCTGGCATGCTCAGTCTACATGACAGCCCTATGGTTTGAAAACAAGAAACGTGACCGCGCTCCTGTTGATCCTGCTATGATCTCCGAGGATGAAGAGGAATATCTGGGCGATTTGGCACCCACGTATAGGTACACTTACTGAGAAAATGTCCGGGTTGAATACATACTTTTGGATGACGGACATTTTCTCATTTTACTTTTGTGGATCTCCTCTTGCAGATTTTGCGAAGCTCTATGAGTGATGAAGCCTTGGGTATATTTTTCATATTTCTCTAATTAACATACGGCTGGCTATACCCAAGCGGAAACATTCCATTGGCATCGAAAGTCCCGCGGTCTCTATTTCGGAGCTATATTATACAAGATATGTTATTCAATAATAGATATGGCATTGTTCTCCTCGTGGATGTTAAATTGTACTAACGTCATTACCCTACAATCTCCACTCGTACTTCGTATGTTACATAAATTATTTTTCAAATAGTTTGCAAGCCAAACACGTCTACGGAGTGAAACCCTATCAAATTTCCTAATCTGGCATAGTCATGTGTCGTCACAGATGGAAGCTTTGATGTGTCACGTGTGGGGCCTAAGCGAGGGTGGCTGAGTCAGCCGCACTGTACGTAAATGCATTTCAGGTCGCCCCCTCACTTCGTCTTTCTTTCTACTATCTCTGTTTTTCATCCTCGAAATCGTGAGTAGCTTTCCCAAAGCTTAAGATAACCTCGGGAGCAATGCACTAACCCAATCAACAGTTTGAAGATGAGAGATAAGTGGAGAAAGAAGCGCACTCGCCGTCTCAAGCGCAAGCGCAGAAAGATGCGCGCCAGATCGTAAGTCATTTCCATTGTGCGCCGATGGTCTTGCGAAAGGCCGTTGAGCTTCAAATCGTCGAAACCGAAATACTAATTCTCAAACCAGCAAATAAACTACTCGCCCCCTCCATCTCAGCTCTCCTTGCCGGAGCTCATGTTTGAACGCTGAACACGACAATTGACGACCCGACGTTTCGACTTTCGTTTCTTCGGACACGCCCCTCATTCTCACGAGTTACCTGCACGGACAAGATTTCCGACCTATCTTCAGAAGAAATCACAGATCGCATTGACGGAATCCGCTGTTACAACAACAGTCTACCCACATTCCAACACCTCGGATTCATTCACGTCTACGATCTGATATCATGCATGGTTATTACTCGGAGGGGCTCCTGTGTTTAGGTGGATGTTGGAGGATCGTTGCAACCCATCGGTCTTTGAGCACGGCATCGGGATGACTGGTCAATTTTCATTATCTTTACGGCCTTCCTTCGGGCTGGTCAAAAGTTGTGGAGAGGTTTTTTTTCCGGGAGTTTATCAAAAATCCATGGAATAACTCGGAGGTCTTCGTTTAGCTACTGCAGATGAATCGATGACTTGATGAGTGCAAATATTTATCTTATTCATTGTAAACGTAAACCTGTAATTGGATCATCACCGCCACCCTAGTAGCTTCAGCTGCCTTCAAATATTCGTAGCTATCTGCATATCCCATCGACACCAGGTTGACGCTCCATGTACATCAATATTCTTTTGTGCGGAATGCCTTAAACTCACCGCTTTCTTGGTCTCCGCTCGTAAAATTTTCTGCCAGACAAGTCCAGACATTTTATTTCACCGCGCTAAAGCCGATTCTCGAGAGCTACGATCTTTTGTTTCTCGTTTTTTAACGCCATAATGCCGTCCAATAAAACAGAACATAAGCGCAAGCGCTCATCGGACAATGGTCGTCCAAGCAAAAAGGCTGCGCTGCACCAGTTGCCCGCGCTGGCCGCCAGCGTTGTTGAAGATAAGAGCGAGCTGGCACCGATAATTGGTGAGTTGAAGGCTTTTTCTCCAGACCGTGAACGTTGTCTAATTGCATTTTTGCGTTATAGCCGACACACCCGGACTCCAAAGCTCGAAATCCCTCCGCTGGGACCCATATATCAGAAGCCGCGCCAATGTCTCCAAGTCTGCGGCGTCAACTCGGAACCCAGGCATCGTCTCTTCAGAGATACTGCTGCAGTCCTCGGACCACGCCAAGCTGGACTTTGTCGGCCGTGAAGGCACAGGAGACGACACCGACTCGCATGTGAAGCACTATGTCGCAGTCATAGACCCAGAGCACAAGACATGGAAGGTCGTGGAGGTACGACGAGCGACACTGCGAGGAGCAGTGAGAAGCCGTAGGTCCGAGGAAGACTCAGACGAAGAGATGGTATATCCCCCAATCGACAATTACATACATCAACATCCAACTAACAAACACCACCAGAACACCATGCGTGCCCAACGCACAGCGCTAACCAACACCTTCGGAACCAAACAATCCCGCAAGGCCGTGCAATCCATGGCCGAGAACGCCCAGCTCTCCAATGCCCCCACCGGCGCCGTCCCGCAAGCCGGCGCAGCCCCTCATCTCCTCGCTACCGGCAAACACAGCCTCCGGCCACGCCAAGGCTCTCGCCATGCAAGCCGAAGTGCAAGCCGCCAAACCCCTCCCAACGCCGAACCTCGCGGTCTCTCATCCCTCCGACGTCTACACAATCGAGACTCTCGTCCCAGGAAGCCACTCAACCCTCAGCCAACTAAACGGCGTAGACGAGTGGAAGACGCAAGTGGAAGCCGGACTCGGCGTGACGACCGTCTCCCGCTACGTCTCGAACCGTGTGGGCGCAGTCGTCAACTCCGACAACACAACCCATCTCCAAGTCCTCCGCTTCATCCAGCTACTCATCGAGTTCGGACGCTCTCTCAAAAACGCAGGCGCGAATGCCAAGGGCGGTGGTCCGGGCAGCAAGCGTCTCCCGCCCCGCGAAGACCTCCGTCGCATCCTATCAAACACCACCGGCTCCTCCGTCACGAAGCCCAAGCCCGGCGCCGCTGCAGAGCCTGCTTCCACGGATCTCCTCCCGGAGTCTGTTATCGATGCTGTTCGTCGTCGTTTCGCGCCTAGCGGTGGCTACGTCTCCAAGAACGACTTCACGCTCTTGCACACTACTATCTGTGCGCTCTCGCTGCATATCCCGCCCCAGCCGGCGCGCGATGGTGGCTCCAGCTCGCTTGGTGGTAATGCGCCCAATGAGCTTGCTACGGATCCTTCTGATCTGCGTGATGATCTGCGTCTTGACCCCAATACTATTCACCAATACTTCCGTGAGCTTGGTTGTCGTATTGATAAGCCTCGTGAGACCGAGTTCGCGAAGTGGAATATCAAGGGTGGCCGTGCCGAGGCGCATGCCCGTCGTGTTGCTCGCTTGCGTGTTCCCGTTGAGTTCCCTAAGGTTAGCCGCGGTGGTCGCAAGTAGGGGGGGCTGGTTTGTGGTTTGGTGGTTTGGTGGTCTTGGGTTGTCAAGCTTCCTTGGAATATATGGCGCTTTGTGTGTTTCCAAAATTGTTACTTTTACCTGTCTCTATATCAATAAGACATTGTTACATAGCCAAAGGAATTTACTTGGTCGTTTTTTTCTTTGAATTTTGATTTTATGTAGACTTGGACCTGTCTGTCTGATGGTCAGGGTTTATACAGATCGCTAGGAAAGCATATCACTATTAGCTTTCATCGTAAACCAGACAGTTAAATCGCCCTTTTTCTCATTTAGTTTTGATCTACCAGTACTTTCTTATCAATTTCAACGGGTACACCATTTGAAATAGCTCTTTGCAATTAGAGTGGATGCTGTTCGAACCCAGTGGTTGTATATATATCAATGCCCTAAATATAAATAGGGAAAGGAATAAGCATTTCTACACTACAAAAAGCCGAAGCCACATGAAATACAATGTCACTTCACCTCTGTTCATTTCAACCTCGTCTACTTGAGCCCAATAAATGACACACAATCGATGTGATACAAGCAGTATATCCGACATTAGTCTTGGTCTTTGAAACCAAATCAATGGCATACATCGACAAACACACAATTCACGGCTAATACAAGCCGGAAGATGACTACATCATTTAAACAAAAGCAGAGAGGGAGGGAGTTATGAGAAAAATATGTGGGAAGGTATGATTGAAGACAGATGCATATGTCAATGTATGTCCGCACAATATAATATTATAGTAAATGAATGGACGGGAATAATGCGACAGGAATTACCCCAAAAACCGAGAAGCGTAAAAGACAGAACTCGTCTGCTCTAGGCGACCACACCAACAGGGGTGGAGTTCATTCCCGAGTAAGCCTTCTCGGTCAGAGGGGTAGCAGTCTTCAGGGATGACACGATGACCTGGGCAGCTGCGTCGTTGAATTCACGAGCAACAGCACCCTCGATAGTCTCGCCAGCCTGCAGGCCAAGCTGAGCGTCCTCCCAAATGGGCAGGTTGGCGGCCTCGGCGCCGTCAACGCCAACGCCGACGAAACCGCCCTGGCTCTTCCAATCGCTGGTGCGCTTGAGGCCGAGGTCGTTCCAAACGGTCTGAACGGCCTGCACAAGGTGCTCGCGCAGGGGCTTCACGTGGCCTGGGGTGGGGGTGATGCGCAGACGCTCTTCGCCGCGGGGAACGGTAGGGTAGTTGATGGCCTGCACGTAAATACCGTGCTCCTCGAGAAGTTTATCGGAAGCCTGCTTAGCCAGCTCGGCAGAGCCGACTAGGAGGGGCACGATGTGTGAGGGGTTGGGGATGACGGGGATATCCAAATCATTGAAGGCAGACTTAACTGCACGGGTGTGGAGTTGCTGGAGGACTCGGTCCCGGGGTTGCTGGGACTGGTATTGGATGGCGGCATCCGCACCAGCCATGGTTGCTGGGGGGAGGGAAGTGGTGAAGATAAAACCGGGGGCAAGGGAGCGGATGGTATCCACCATGGCTGCCGAGCCTGCAATATATCCACCAACGCAGCCGTAGGCCTTGCCCAAGGTACCGGTGATAATGTCAATTCGGTCCTGAACTGTGCCCTTGATGCTTTTAGGGGAAGTTGTATCCTGCGATGCGTAGGCATCGTAATCGAGATGCTCAGCAACTCCAGCTCCGTGGGGGCCGTACATTCCTACGGCATGGACTTCATCCAAGAAAGTGATGGCACCGTATTTGTCGGAGAGATCACAAATCTTTTCAATGGGCGCAATTGATCCGCACATACTGTAGACGGATTCAAATGCAATAATCTTGGGGGTACCAAGTGGCAATGAGGCCAATTTGGCTTCAAGGTCTTCCATATCGTTGTGTTTGAAGACCATCTTCTTCGCGCCAGAGTGGCGAATACCCTGAATCATCGAAGCATGGTTGAGGCTGTCCGAGAGAATGACACAATCGGGCATCTTACTGCCGAGTGTTGCCAGGGTCGCATCATTAGCCACGTAGCAGGAGCTGAAGACCAATGCGGCCTCCTTGCCATGTAACTTGGCCAGTGTATCCTCCAGGGCGACGGCATGCTGGTTATGACCGGAGATATTGCGGGTACCACCTGCACCGGCTCCATAGGTGTCCAAAGTCTTGTGCATGGAGTCCAAGACTTGCGGGTTACGACCCATGCCGAGGTAGTCATTTGAGCACCAGACAGTCACACGCTCCTCGGCAGAGGAAGTGTGGGCCCGAGGGAACTCCTTGGCGAGACGATTGATGTTGTTGAAGTAGCGGTAGGACTTGTCCTTGTGCTTCTTCTCCAATTCCACGTTGTAGAAGTCATTATAGTTGAACCTCTTGTTGGTTGGGGCTTCCGGGCGGGGACCGCGAACTGCGGCGTCGGCGGCAGCGGTAGGGGACGAGCGAAGCGGATTGGTCAAGTTAGGGTTTCCTGTAGTCAGATTAGAAAAAGCTCCAAGGCCAAGCTTTAGAAACTCAATTTACCTCGCTCGTTCTTCTCGTATCCTCCGGAGGCGATACTGGCGGGGTGACCACCAGTGGTGTGCAACGCCCGCTTGCCAGTCGGAACCCGCATAGACTGGATTCCAGAGACCCCGGCGGCGCGCGAGGTGAAGCGCTTGGTGCCACTTAGACGGGCACTCTGTACAGCCAGAGCCTTGCTCATGACAGGGCAGCGACGACCCAGGACCTGCAGGTTGGACATGGTTCCGCCTCCCGGGCTCGTGCTAGGACGAGTAGCGGTTGAGAGAGTGCGGAGGGTGGTGGGGGATGTGCGCTTGAGGAAAGGGCACATTGTGCGAGACTGCTGCAAAAGAGCCTCCATGATTGAATTGAGCCAAGTGTATGAGAGGGGGGAAAAAAAGAAGAAACCAAAACCAAATATCCCCTTCGATTCAGGAGATTATACAAAGTAACAGATCACAAAACCAGCGGAAACCAAAGGGAAAATCAATTGGGGGTGGGGGGCTGCTGACTGATCTCAAGGGCTTACATATATCAACCTCTGATTGGTCAGGCCAAATCCCGAGGTACGGATATTCCTTCCCGATGTGCCTCTTAACCGCGGGCTTTTGCCACTTGGGGACAACGACAACATACTCAACATACTCCGTAGACAAACCCCGTTAAAATCCACTCCACTTTCTTTTTTTTTGTAAATAATTTAGACGAATTTGGCTTGGAGAGATTGTTTTGACTTAAGATCATGCCATACTCATACTTAATAGGTGGAGTCAAGCATACCTAATTAGGTCTAGTCTCTATTCGATATTACAAATTTCCCTTTTTGAAATTACTTCGGGATTTACCGCCCATCTGTCTTCTACCACATTATTGGTTCTGCTTTTGATCCCGCTTTTTTATTCCGAATTCTGCCGGATTTAAACATAATACGCTTATGTAATACATGTAAATGCCGGGACCAACTTCAGACGCCATTTGCTCTCCGAGGATTCTTCGATTTTAACGGGATTTGACTACAAAGTACAACATATATTCTCCTTAAGCTATCCCACATTCGGTTCCTTCAATCAATATTATAATCAGTGACCTGAGCTGTAATCAAGATCATATCGGCTCTAGAACCAACACTTTTTCCCACTATTGATCACCATGCCTATGTGGTTCGAGCCATTTCGACTATTGAAAAAGTGAGTCTTTTCCAACAGACTCAAGGTTATCGCTTAGACACCGGTAATTGCCATTTGTGATTCCTCATTCTAGGAAGATACTGCGTCTTCAACTTCTCTGTAGTCGGGTTAATCATTTCACACAAGCTCAGCAATTGACGTTGATGGGTAGTAAGTACTTCAGCATAGTTCAACCATTTGAGCAATTTCTACCAAAATGCGACATGGAGTCTGCTGTGTCCAACTCTCCGGCAGCGTCATGGCGCTTTCAAGCTCACACATGACGGCGTTGATTATAAGTATATAAAACGGATCAGGGCGGCGTATTCCGCGGTCATTCCATTTTCGATTGCCATTCTCTCTTGAAGACCATGGGTGATCATATAATATATATGTAATGTTGCAAATAATTTGGCACGGATCTATATATTTGGCTAGCGCTGACGCCTTGATGAAGGTTAGTTATGCCGAGGAAGTGACAGTCAGAAATGACTGACCTATAAGTGAGGGAATTGTGATGAAGGGGGCCATGGATGAATTCATCAATGAAACTCATAGAATGTGCGAGTGCGAGAATACCCCTTGCTATCTTCCATATGACAGGGAGATATTCCTTTCTGACCTACCCGTCGCCTCGGCTTTTGATGCACATAGTTCTGGTGAAGCTACTGGGTGCCAGAGAGAGAGAGAAGAAAGATTGATTCCTACAAACATCCGGAGAGAGCTACTTATATAGGTGGCCAGCCTAACATCACGGCCTGATCAATCAGGTGTCTACCACAGCACACCCCCTTAGGCTGGATAAATCATTATCATCCACGAAAGTCATATCCTCTGTTTCCTGCAAATGCACCCACCCCCTGAATTCCAGTGTCATCCTCCATAACCGCTGTCTTTTGAATCTCTTCGCCAGTGACCTATCTACCTGGACCGCAACAAAGACCGAGAATCTACTATCTGGTCCGACGCAGAAGATAGACTCAATCGCATCCCCATACAGCAGAAAAGAATGACTCCCCAGTTCGTGTGATCCATGTTGACGATTTCATTATTGCTGCACCTACCAACCCTGAGATTGAGAAAGTGGTTGAACAACTACGCCAATTTTACGACATGAAATGTCTTGGTGAGCCGACACAGTATCTCAACTGTGCTCTCCGTCGTGACTACGCCAGCCGAACGATCACTATGACCCAGTCAGCATACGTGCAGAAGGTGCTACATGTGGCAGATGTGGCAGGTTTTAAGGACATACCCTTGCCTGTTAGCTGGAAAGAGGATAACGCTAATGTCTCGACTGTGCTTGATGATGAAGGATATGAATTCTACCAAAAGGTTGGTTGGCATGCTAAACTGGCTAGCTATCAAAACAAGACCTGACATTCGTTCTGCTATCACCAGGCTACAGCCCATGATTGCTATACCGACACTCCATGACATGGAAGCAATGCAGCACGTTGTCAAATACCTACGGGGCAATGAACATGGTCTCATCTTTGGACGATCACATGAATTGAAGTCCTCAGCATATGCAGATGCTTCACATGCTGACTAGCAGGACAGCAAGTCGATCACCAGTTGCACAGTCCACTAAGAAGCAATCAATTACCGCGAACTCTACACCTATTGCTGAATGGTGGATGACCAACCGGATTTGAGCTGGGTGGAAATTCTGCAAGGGCCCACAGCTACATTACCCTTGTCGACTAGGTATGATCAGCTTGGGTTTTATCATTGAATATGCCCATACAGTTCCAACTTTGTGAATTAGGCTGATCCTATCACATAAACGTTCTCGGTTTGTGCTTTTCGTTACTTGCCTCTCGGTCTCTCTGTTATGTCCAACTAGCTTGGGCATCAGCAAGAATAGTGTATCTAAACCAATGATCCTCAGCGTTTATCAACATCTCGAATTCATTTGCTGAGGTTTTCTTTACACGACTCCCATTGAATGGCCATGTGGTTGAACAAAATAACCGACTCTCTGCAACTGCCGAGGCCAGATGCCACTACCATCTACACTAACAACATCAATTCACAACTGCTTCTGTCAAAGAAGGGCGGTAAATCGACTAATTGCTGGTTGACATTGAGATATCTCTTCGTGAGAGGTGCTGTTGCCCAAGGCCATGTCAACATTCACCGGGTTGATACCAAGAAGAATCAAGCACTTACCAAGGATCTGTTGTGGTGGTGGCCTCAGACATCAACCCTCGTTAGGTAGATAGTCGGCAGATCCTGCCATTGGAGCAATCAACTCTCTCCCTCCTTACTTTCTGGCCCTACAACTCCGTAGCCGCCGCAACAGGATCAATTCAAAATGTTCATTGAGCTGCTTGGAATGATCTAATTCGACAAAGGGAAAACAGGGGGATGTTGGGTGCCTTATTCTGCCTGAGGCAGCAGCCCACATAGTAGTAGTTAGATAACTAGTTCTTCTCTTCCTCTTCTTCCTCTCTTCTCCCGTCCGTCCCTTTGCTCCCATACGAATCCTACTGTATTGTTTCTCCATATCTGAATCTCTACTCCGTAGGATCTCAGTCACCTTTCCCTCCTTTATGCTTTGAAGGTTTCTGTATAGCTTTATAACTATATCCACAGTAGTAGTCTAGTACTCTCCTTTCCTCCATTGCCTTTACATACAACTACCACAATATGTTACATTGTGTGTCTTCATGGTATCATCTACCCTGTATACTCTAATGCATAGAAACTTCAGATGCGGTCTGGGAGTTCCATACTGGGATGTTCTGGCTGCGCAGAGGGTCTGGCACCCATTTTAGACGCAAACCCAGTTCGATCAGAAGATGGCCCGACTATATCCGACATTGTAGGAAATTCAATGCGTATGCTTGGTCTAGTGTTTCAGTATTATTGTTTCCATTGTAAGTGCTGTATGTGGCAGGGTTTGAGGATGTAGATTGACTTGGAGAAGGAGTCTATAGTAGTAGTTGATATCTAATGGGCGAGAGAACACAGGGACATTGTGCAAGACTAGCAAGTAACTAAGTAGAGCCTTTGGGTTTAGGATATGAGAGACAAGGTTGGAAATCTATAAACCCCAACTTGGCCATCGAATATCATCAACCATCACTATTCATAACATAACCCTAACCTAAGAAACACATTAGCTACATCCCAATACAACGACATCTAATACTACGATTTCAACAGTCCAAAATCCAAGGGCATAAGAGTCCATCAAACCATACATTGACACTCATAACCAAACTAAAACAGTCGCGCCCTTTTTGAACATTGAACATACAAGCGAGTCAAAAAGCCAAAAATAAAGAACAAGGTGTGGAAAGAGAACAATGTAGAATGGGGAAAAGAGAGAAGAAAGAAGAACAATTCACAAGTTCACACCGAAACTATCACAACCACCCATGAACCGCAATCCAAAGCCAGGATCAAGTCTGTCGGAGGAAAGAAACACATCTTTTCATCATTGCATCAACCACCTTGAGCCACCAGACTTTGGGAAATGTCCATACTGAACCCACATCGCCGTTCCAGAACATAGTCAAGGTTTTGTATGATAATACAGAGCAGTTCACATGTATCTGCCGTTTGAGAAGATAAGAAGAAAAGGGGGAAGGGAAGGTGGAAGATAAGGGGAAATGGGAATAACCAAACACAAAAGAAAATAGGAAGAAAAGAGAATAAGATTTGCATTAAACGCCGTTCCGAATTGCATTAGTTGACAAGTCATAGGATTAATCAAGGCCGCCGTCACCGTCGATCAGACGGAGACGCTCTTTCATGGTCTTAGCTCGTTTCGACGTGCCTTTGCCGGGGCCACGTCCGCGCCCGCGCTTTGCAGGCGTTGCTGAAGGTGTCTCGACAGGCTCCTCGGCAGGCGTAGCAGCCCCTGAGGGTTTGGCGCTGGCGTCGTCAAAGTTACCCTCGCCTATATAATCGATCAGTATGGATGTCAATCGCAGTAATGGAGTGGAGTGTTCTCACCTTCATGATACATGTCATCCAGCGTAAGATCCCGCTTGCGCTTCTGAGCGGCGGCCTTCTTCCCGCCTTTAGCGCCAAGGGCCTCACCGCGTTCGATCGCTTCCTTCTCCTTTTGCTCGATGAGTTCGGCCTCGTCGTCGTCGGCAAGCCACAGGGCAATGTCCTTGGTGCGGTTCTCGCGAGCACGGGTGTTGAAGTCAACACCACCAGAAGCACCACCGGTAATGACAACGCGCTGCACCTCTTCTTTCTGCAAGGCACGCTTGCGGATACGTTCTTCGATGGTGCCGCGGGTGATAAGACGGTAGACAGTGACCTGGCGAGTTTGGCCCAAACGATGGGCACGATCCATAGCCTGGGAATCGATGGTAGGATTCCAATCGGAGTCGTAGAAGATGACAGTGTCGGCTGCCGTCAAGTTGATACCGAGACCACCGGCACGAGTCGAAAGCAAAAAGACGAAGATCTCCGGGTTGGACTGGAAGTCTGCGACAGTGTCGCGGCGGTCTTCCAGCTTGGTACTTCCGTCCAGACGGCAGTACTTGAAGTTCCGGTACGTCAAGTACTCCTCCATCAGATCGATCATGCGTGTCATCTGGAAGTAGAGGAGCACGCGGTGGCCACCGGGCTTGAGCTCCCGCAGCAGCTGGTCCAATTTGGCCAGCTTGCCTGAATCTGTCACGAAACGACGCATCGATGGTACCTCGATGTGGCTGTAGCGGCCCTTGAGTGAGCCCGGTGGCGGCAACATAGGAGCGTGAGAGTAAGGCGCAGGATCGAGCTTATTGGCGAGGATTTGCTCCTCAAGTTGCCTGCTGCAGTATCCAGATAGTGCTTGGCGAACAGACGGATTGAACAAAGCACGATTGGATTCCCGTAATACCTGTTGACCGGAAGAGGACATGGTGATGGGGGGCGCTGAAGCTTTGGGCCCAGCGCAAGGCTCAATCAGGTGAAGGCCTTGATCTTCGAACGAGGAGCGCGAAACAGTCATGAGATTCTTCATTCGGCCCTCAGCGGCGATATCTCGAACAGCCTGGCGATCATTGCGATCGACAATGTTCAACATCGAATGAGATAAAACAGAGTTCTTTGAATCGTCGCTCTCATCATAAATGACATTCAAAGCGGAAAGCCTATTTGGCTTGCTGCGACGACGCTCGGCGCGCTCGTAGACGCCGAGTCGTGCCATCTCGCTTGCTTCTCCTGCAGAAGTGTCGACAAAACGCAAGAAAGAGAACGCACCGTTGTCACGTGCGCTCTTCTGAATGTTTTCTGGTGTCCAGACGTTCATCAGCTGAGACAGGTACTTGGTTTGGAAGCCCACGCGAGGATTATCAGAACCAGGAAGATCAAGTCGTCCTGTAGAGCTGCACAGTAAGCGTGGCAACTCGTATTCGATCAAATTCTGGGTCGAATAGCGAACATCGACAAAGTTTCCTTCACGAACGAAGGAAGCAGTTTCCGCAAAGAATGCAGCGGAGAAGGGGGATTTTGTTTCGGCACGTTCGAAGAGATCGGGGTGGTTACAGACTTTGCGGAATTGCATAACCAAGTTCATCAGTGTGCTGCTATCAGTGTCGTCGCCAGTGGCAGCCTTTTCGATGAGGTCGATGATGCTGACACGGTTACGCAGATTGGAGTACAAGGCACGTTGGCGGTAGGTCAAGTCGCAGAAGATGTCCTTCTCAACCTTGTCTCCTAGTTCTTGCTGGACGTTCTTCTTGACACGACGCAACATGAACGGTTTCAAGATCATGTGAAGACGCTTAAGTTGATCCTCGTTGAGTTTGGTATTACTCTGGGCGTGCGACTCGATGTCTTTGGAGAACCACTCGCTGAATTCGTCATGGGAGTCGAATAGAGTTGGCATAATGAAGTGAAGCAGGGCCCACAGTTCTTGCATGTTATTTTGGATTGGCGTACCCGTCAACAGAAGACGATTGCGGCAGCTGAATCCCAGCAGGTTCTTCCATCGCGAACTTGAAGAGGACTTGATAGCTTGAGCTTCATCAAGAATCATGTACTGCCACTTCACCTTCTGGAAGTACTGTGCATCCAGAACGACAAGCTGGTACGAGGTGACTAGAACATGGAATTCCGAGTCGCGGTTATAGGTGATGTGCTTCCGATCCCAGAACTTTCGCAGGATCTTGCGGTCCTTGGCATTGCCCCAGTAGGGAAGCACCTTGATGTTCGGAACGAACCTCGTAATCTCCTGCTGCCAGTTGTGCAGTGTGGATGCTGGCGCAATGACCAGGAAAGGTCCCCAGATGTTATGCACCTCGGCCAAGTAAGCCATGACGGAAATGGACTGAATGGTTTTACCCAGACCCATCTCATCTGCCAGGATACCGTTGATGCCCTGCTCGTACAAATTGACGAGCCAGTTAAGACCCTTAAGCTGATACTCTTTGAGCTGAGCATTTAACATGGTCGGCTGCGAAATCTCAATGTCACCCAGACTAGTCGGGTTCTGGAAATTCATCTCTCCGTCGTCGAATGCAGCCATATTATCACCCTCTGCTTGGTTGTTGAAGGCACGGGCCCGGTCCTGGGCCTCCTGCACAGCGTTTTGCGCATTAGCCATGGCAGCTTGTTGCAGCACGGTTTCATCTTCAGCGTCGAAGTCAAGATCCTCAAATGCAGTGGTCTTGGTGTTGGGGTTGGCCACACTGTCTGGAAGATTGACTGTGTGGGCGTTTGGTTTGCCTGGTTGAACGGTCTCCCCGGTGGCAGCAACAGCGCCGTCTCCCTGGGCTTCGTCGGTCTTGATCTTGCGCCCGATGAAGTGAGAGTACAGTTCTGTTTGCGAAATAAGGAAGTTGAGCTTGCGCTTCTGTCGGTTGGCCTCGCGGTCCGCCTCAGCCTTCTTAGCTGATTCAAGCTCTTGCTTCTCTGCCACACGGCGCAAGTCGCGTTCCTCGCGCTCGTTGCGCTTCCAGAAGGACATCATTTCACGCATCGTCCGCTTGGCACGAGCTTGAGTATCCTTGGTGCTCTTGTTCGTGCGCTCTTGCCACTTGCGAGACTGCTTGCTGGCCAGCTGAGCCGTCTTACGCAAATTCTCCTGACGGGTGGATAGAGAGGTGGCTTTGATGCGGTAGACCTTTGGAATATCCTTGCGCGCGATATCGCGCCAGATCTGCTCGTAGATCTGGTTGTAACCCTTGCTGTCGTAGTGTAGCTGCGACATGGGAGTACCCTCCTTTGAACGTCGGGCATCCTTTCTCGTACTTGGGGTGAGATACAGGTCGTCGTCCAACCCAGCATTCCAAGCGGCCTCAGCGAGATCTTTCTCGGCCTGCTTCTGCTCCTTGGACTTCTTGGGACGAGTGACGGGACCGGCACGGCCCGACCTGCGTCGGCTAGGCGAGGAGCGGCCGATATGGAATTGACTCGTCGTCCCGCCTTCGAGGTTGGGAGCAAGTGGCGTGACCTCACCGAGCTCATCCTGGCCATCACCACCCTCCAGAGCGCGCTTGGTGGTGCGGATTTTCTTCTGAGCGCGCTCAGCTTCGCGAAGGAACTTGGCCTTTTCTCCGGGTTCCTGGGCCTTGCTTGCCTTGCGCTCGGCCTCCAGCTTCTTTTGCATTTCTTGGCGCACGGTGTTCTCGCGACGGCGCTTGCGCTGCATGTCCTTCTTCCGTTCCTTTTCATCCTGAATCTCCTTTTGTTGAACTTCGGCCATAACAGCACCCTCGTTGAGGACTCGGAATCTCTCGGTGCCAAGAATGGCTTGTCTTTCGAAGGATCTACCTAGATCGATGAGGAATTCGTTGCGGCGACGCTAAGAATTTGTTAGTATGGGCGATTGGCTCGACATGAAATGACTCTCAGACAACCTACCTTTCGTCGCACTTCCTCTGCGCGGCTGCTTTCCACCGAACGTTTGTAACCTTTCTCCCGATACCGTTCTTGTTCCGCCTCGAAGCCAGGATCTTCAACATCGCTCTTCTCGGCGTGATCGATCTCGGCCGCGGCCCGGTTGACCTGTTCCAGGTCCACGCCGGGCGGGAAGGGTTTCCGGAGTGGTGCACGAGGAACGGGCGCAGGGTATTCGACATCGGGCTTAGCGAACCCATTGGTGGCCTGCGGCGGTCTCGGGGCATCGATGCGTTTCTCAATGTCCGAACGGTGAATGACTTTGTGATGCATGTCTGTGGGTGTAGAGCTGTGATCCAGGTGCCGTTGTGTAAAGACGGGGGGAGCATGCGGCGTGTGGACGGAGATGGGGGGGCCGGGAGAGGTGATGGCTTTCTCGCAGGCTGCTCGTCTGACGGGCCTGAAAGAATACTGGCAAACGACATGGGGTCTGCGGCTCGGGCGGGCTTCTGCGAGGCAAGGATTGGTTAGTTAGATGGTAAGATAGTAAAGGGTCCGGGTAATGCCTACGGCTTCATGCGGCGAGGCCGGTCTCGGCTCCCGCATCATCGGAGGTCCATATCCAGCACCATTGCCTCGCATCCGATATGGTGATTCGGACTCCCTAGTAGGAGATTGCGAATGACCTTCTGGGTGGCTGGGCGGGTGGCCATGAGGTGTGGCAGAGCCATACGGCGAGGCACCGTTGCCCGTGATCACGGAGCTGGAGTAAGGGCGTGGAAGTGGTAGCTGAGAGCCAGCCGAATGTCCCTGGTATTGCGAAGTCTCTGGGTGAGACGGGTGAGGCGGCGCACTCCCATTTAACGGCGGCGGCAATGTCGATGGCATCGGGGACGCGTGTGAAAAGTGCGGGCTTCGCGCGACGGAGGATGGGCCAAATGCGGGTGGCGTCTGGGGAGGGTGCTGGTGGTATTGCTGTGGTTGTGGTTGTTCATTGCTTGGGTAATACGGGTGGTTCTTATTCGGAGAGGTGTAGGCCGGATACCGCTGCTGCTGAGTCGGGGACTGGGCGTTGTATGGCGGAGGGCCCGTCATGATGGCCGCGGTCCCCGGTTACGGGTCGAGCGCGTCGAAGATTGGTCACTCGGGTCGAGCTAGAGTCTGGGGGTGTGAATTGATGAAGTAGAGTCCAAGACCTCTGCTCAGAGACACCTGTCAAGGGGTTCCGTCAGTCTAGTGACGCGGCGTCAGTTGTTGGTTTCAGGTTATGTGTTTCGGAGTGAAGAGGGATGAAAGAGAGAGATGGAGAAAGAAAGCAAGACATAAATACCTGGTGGAGGGATGGATTCGTTTGTGGTGGGAAGATGCAGGAAGAAGGGAAGTTTCCGTGGAGCCCAAGAAAGAGAATGCGCGGGCCTAGGCGAGTTGATGCAGGGGCGATTTGGGGGGGGAGAAGGATGAGAAGGGAGAGATGGGGGGAATGGGGGAATTACTGGGGAAGAAGAAAGTTGACGGTGGAAAAGACGGGAAAAGACAAACTCGTCGAGGTAAAAAGGGAAAAACTGACGAGAGTTGGCATTTCTCGTGAATCTCTTCTTTCGTCTGGGGTATTTCACCTCCGGCATCCCGGGGGTAAAATCCGAACAGGTTGTTTATAGTGCAAGGAGTTGATTCTTCTATTCTAGATGAACTATTTCAATTGTTTTATATTATTCTATCTCATTTTCCATTTCTGGCTGATCGATAATCTCAAGGTTGTGCCCCGATCTCATTCAAAGTTCATACGAACACCTCGTGGAGCCCATGAGGTGGTTGAGGATGACCATCATCAACAGATGAATTTTTTTTTTTTTTTTTTGTTTCTTTTTTTAATTCAACTGATTTCGAATGTGTTCAAATATTCCGAGTTCTCAGTTCTGGAAATAAAACATCTTTACCGAGTCCTTCGTGAGCTCGCCTTATCCGCCCTTTCTTGTTGTAGGGAGGCTGAATTCATCTGCCTCGTTTACTATTTTGGGATTTCATACCTTGGTGGAATCAGACATTGATATTGATGAGATCTTCTATACATTCTATACATCTTCCATATATCTTCTATACATCTTCTATACATCTTCTATACATATTACTGGCGTTACTAATTAAGGTAAAGTCTCATATATATGAGGTCTCCTGTAGGTGTATCTTATAAGGACCAACCTTCTGATTGGAATATAACCCACTTAATCAAATAACTAATAATTATAGCTACTAACCGCCAAAATATCTCAATATCTTAATCTCCCAACCTCCCAACCTCTCAAACGCCCTATTGCCTGATCCTGGCGATGACGTCCTCCACTCCCAATCTTTATAAGGTGGACATATGGTGGACATATAGTGGGCATATAACCCTGGAATGGTACAATTGCCTCTTGATATTTGCTGTCGTCACTATACTAATCCCACATGTCAATTTCCAATTATGATTCTATCGTTCTTTTGTCCAAATGAGGGGGATGGGTTCGTGTTGCCTGCATATACAACATAAGCTGATATGGAGGGGTTAACCCCTCCCATTCCCCAAATCATATTAGGGATCTTTTAGCAATTTAGGCAGACTATCAGTATATTTAATATAACAAAGACCTAGATTCTGTAGGAAAGACCTGCTGTATACCGCAAACGGGATGCCGAAGTGGATACCTAACACACCTACGTAGATAATGTCTAGGACTATTATTCCAAGGTTATTGGGAATGACACACCAGATACCATAGAGCTACCGGTGAACGGGGAACCGTCGGGATTTCATGATTCCATGGGAAGTTGAAAGAAAGCCGATGCTCTCTGGTGCAGATGTCAGGCAATCCACTTAGTTACTATAAGACCACTTACTTCTCTGTGCTACATATTATCAACATCTTTTAATCATTTCAAACTTCCCGCTTAATACTTTTTTATTTATACCTATTCCCATTCTTACCTTAAGACTTAATCTTACCGCACATTTTACTCAACGCCAATATGTCCTTCGAAATCCCCGACACCCAATGGGCACAAGTCGTCGAAAAGATCGGGGGACCACCAGTGTACAAACAAATCCCCGTTCCCAAACCAGGTCCCGATGAAGTCCTCGTAAAGATGAAGTACACCGGTGTATGCCACACCGACCTGCACGCCATGAACGGCGACTGGCCTCTCGAAGTGAAGAAGAACCTCGTTGGAGGCCACGAAGGCGCCGGAATTGTTGTCGCAAAGGGAGCTCTCGCGCATGGTATCGAAATCGGCGACCATGCAGGTATCAAATGGCTCAATGGATCCTGTCTCCAATGCGAGTTCTGCAAGACCGCCGATGAGCCTCTTTGCCTCGAGGCACAGTTATCCGGATACACGGTTGACGGGACCTTCCAGCAGTACACGATTGGTAAGGCGGCCCACGTCTTGAAGCTGGCGAAGGAAATCCCGCTCGATGCTGTTGCGCCTATTCTGTGTGCTGGTATTACTGTCTATAAGGGTCTCAAGGAGGCTGGTGTGCGCCCTGGTCAGACCGTTGCTATTGTTGGTGCTGGTGGTGGTCTTGGCTCTCTTGGAACGCAGTATGCTAAGGCTATGGGCTTGCGTGTTGTTGCTATCGATGGTGGCGAGGAGAAGAAGGCTATGTGTGAGCAGCTCGGTGCAGAGGTAAGCTTTTTTTTCCCCATTCCCTTTGTTTTTGCTTTGGGGTCCATGCTGACAGTGTGTTCAGGTCTACGTTGACTTCACCAAGTCTACCGATCTCGTTGCAGATGTCAAGGCTGCTACTCCCGGTGGTCTAGGTGCCCACGCCGTGCTCTTGCTTGCTGTCTCCGAAAAGCCTTTCCAGCAGGCTGTGGAATACGCTCGCTCTCGTGGTACTATCATTGCCATTGGTCTTCCCGCCAATGCGTTCCTCAAGGCCCCTGTTTTCGAAACTGTTGTCAAAATGGTCACAATTAGGGGCAGCTATGTCGGCAACCGCCAGGATGGTGTTGAGGCCGTTGAATTCTTTGAACGTGGCTTGATCAACGCTCCCTTTAAGACGGTTCCTCTACAGAAGCTGCCTGAGGTGTTCGAGCTCATGAGTAAGTTTGCAATGTTCCGATTACCTGATATTGACCATATTCTAATACATGCAATACAGAGCAAGGCAAGATCGCTGGCCGCTATGTTCTCGAGATCCCTGAATAGATGAATCATTATCATTCACGACGCCGCGAACGAGTAGACCCGGAGAGAAATTTCTTTTGAGAAACAAGAACGAAGAAGAAACAAGTATAAAGCGACAGTTTTATTTTACTTTAGCCCTGGTGTAATGGTGATTAGCGATGATTGAAAGGCCAATTTGAAATTTGAAATCCCAGTGTCTGTAACTAATGGATATAGAGTAAAACCTTCCACTCCTTGTGGTCATTGGCTATATATATATCGACATGAACAATAGAGGCCCGCCTGACATACTCTAGGTCCTACCCAAAAGACGCCACAACGTATATCTGTATCTTCTCGGCTATTTAGAATCCTGCTCCAAATTCTTCCCCTCATCCTCAGGATTCACAGTCATCTGAGGCCCCTTATATGTATTTTTCGCATAAGTATAGTAATAAAGCACCGCCCCAAGCCAAAGACTCCCGTTAATAACGACTGTATAATTCATCGTTTGAGCTTCAAACGCCTAGTTAGCAAAAGCACCAGAATACATAATATACCATAGTGTAACTCACGCGTCGGATTCGGCCCCTCAGTAGGAATCATAGTAAGAACAATAACGAACATCATATAGATGACCGCAACCCACCCAATAGGCTTACTAAGATACTTCCCCGTATAGAACTCACCGGGTATAAATCTATCACCTCCCCAGAGCAGACGCGCCAGGATTGGCGTTAGCCAAGCGAGGTCGTTCCCGGCTACGGCGAGCGAAAAGAGGGCGCTGGCGGCAGCTTCGTCAATCAGACAGAGGAGACCGATCAATACCGATGCCACAACGATGCCGCACACCATGCGGACTGGCTGGTAGCGCATGAATTTGCGCTGGCTTACTTTGCGGAAAAAGGAGGAGAAGGGGAGGGCGCCGTCACGGGAGAAAGCCCAACTTTGGCGGGAGGCGGCTAGGACCTGTGTGGCTGTAGTTAGTGGATGGGTTCTGTGGTTTGGGTGTACGTTGGTAGAGGAGGAGGGACTTACGATACTCAGTCCCATGAAGAATTGAACGATCATCACCACGACCATGAAGCCCATGGCTCCATTTTTACCGAGGGCGTCGTAGTAGATCTATGCAGAATCCAACAGAGTTAGAAAGGATATTCCCACACAGAATAACAGCAGAAGAATCAAGACAAAACAAACCTGGGTCATAGGCTGTCCAAACTTCGAGTTCAAAATCCCCTCGATATTCCTATCCATCGAAGACGCAATAACCGCCAACGAAACAAACCCAAGAAGACCACACAATCCAGACGAAGAGATAATCCCCAGCGGCACAGCACGCGCAGCATGTGTCGCCTCCTCACTCATATGCACGCAAGAATCAAAGGCGCCAATAGTCCAGATGGGCGACAGCCACGCCATGATAAATGCCCAGCCGGCAGGCCAGGTTGTGAGGTTCTGGATTTCGCCGAATACATACGAGCCCGAGTTGACTGGCGGGCTGTTGTTTGCTTTGCCAATGGGTAGGGCGATGACGGTTGCTACCACGAGAGCGATGTTGAGGAAGATACAGGCGGATTGGATTTTTGGCATGATCCGGGCGAAGAAGAAGATGGCGATAAAGCCGTGTGCGAACACTGTTGCTGCGTATGTGCCATAGATGACTGGTCTTGTTGCTGACCAGTTCCCATCGCGGGCGAGTGATATTACGGAGAGGAGCATGCTGGCGAAACCATCTGATGGGGAAATGGAAGTATTAGTTATGGAGTTCTTGCTTGAACTTATACAAGGGTTGATTTACAGTCAATAGAGCATATGCCTCCGATCAAGCCGATGGTATTGCTATATCCGACGAGGAAACTGAGCGGGTTCTTCCATTTCTCAGATGCGAAGTAATGTGTCCAGAAGTAAAGGCCGCCCGCTGTGGGCATTGCGGATGCTATATCGGCCTGATGGTCATTAGTTCTGCGATTCTAGGATTGGAGATTGAGAAAATCACACCATTGCCAAGCTGACAATAAAGATGAAGCAACTTGCAAGCAACCATCCTGTCCAAAGAACCTGTTAACAATTGCTAGGATTATACTCCTGAAACGATAGTTGCATACCCTATCCATTCTGTCAGTCATAATGTCAACCAATTTCAGCTTAGGGAAGTATATTACCCAAACCATTCCCACCGGACCAGCGGGCATAGAAAATGCCAACGTAGACGCAATGGAAGGCAAAAGCCCCATAATACTAAAAGCAACCGCGAAAATCTGAATCGTTGAATAATGGCGTCGCAATTCCTGCTTGTACCCGAGTGTCGCTATTTGATTGGTCAGTGACAACGGTCTTATATAGTTACACAAGGTTTGCCAATAAGCCCCGCGATATACACACCTAGCAGCTCGGTATCTCCAGCCTGAGGCTTCGAGTCATGACCCGTGGCTGTCGATTGACGCCTCTTGCTCTTCTTCGACGCGACTTTCTCCATCATATCATCCATGGCTAAGGTATAATTGATATCGAGGGAAATGAGATAGTGGATAGGTAAACAAATAGTCAACGCGATCGAGCGCGCCACACCTAATGCCACACCTAATGTTTGATGGAAATGGAGACCTCGGATGAAAGAGGAAGGGAGCCTGTTGGTATTAAAATATTACGAGGGACTCAAGTACTATAAGCACTGATGCAAGAGGTAGATAGGAGGTGCAGTAAGCGCAGATCCTTGCCATTTGCTTAAGGTCTGTCTACATACAGATATAACCTTTTAAATACCTTCCTGAATATAAGATATAAATAGGTTCTATATGATATCTGAGGGGTACATGACACAATCTCTTATCTTTTCAAGGAAGATCGACTTGGGTTAGACGCGGCTGGTTTAGCGGAGCGGGAGAGTGTACGACATTGTATATCTCAAAACGTCCCCTTCCCCTCTTAGAATCATCCCTTGCCGCCTTTTGGTAGAACTCCGCATGCCAAAGCTCTAACTTGATAGGTTTACCACTGCCCGCAAAAAGGATTTATTGAGTACGTCTTTCCATTACCTCGATATGCACAAAGTTCATTGCTTCTCGGAAGGCTCCAGGATGCAGCAGGCAATAGTCCTCATAGCCTCGACAGGACCCTTACGTAGATATGTATTAGCCGATGGAGGGAAATCGAATCAGAACTGATTTGGCTTCTGGTTAATCAATCTCAACTTTTGGCGATATCCTTCTGGTGTCTCTCTTTCGACAGAAATTTCCGAATATTCCTTAAAATAGTATTGGCCAGCCATGTGTGAGCTCCATTGACTTGAAGTTCACCCATAATTAGAGCCAGGAGGCCAAAATAGGATTTCTATACATACTGGTGGGTGGAGGTATAGAGCATGAATCTAACTTCATCCATGCCCTGTGGCTAAGATACTTCTGGAAGGAATATAAAATTTTACATCATTCAAGATCACGGCATACGATATCAGTACCTAGGTAGGCAGTACATGTATTGTGTTAAAAATCTGAATTGCGAACTCGTCCTAATTATGTCGGGGAAAGAGCGGCCTCCGTAGGGTTGGAAAGGGTAGTAACGACCCGCTGCAGTCACTGATTATGTAATACATCAGCTATTTTTACTCGGCTAGGGGGTAAGCACTAAAACGGAAAGGTGTATATGTACTCCGTATGCGCTTCAAGATACCTCACTTCCCACGACTCACTCGCACCTCAGTACCTACTCCGTATAACAGAGGATCACTAAGTCTAAGCCCATGCTGACCTCTACCACTGCGAAACACCCTTATAAAAGCGACGGAAGGTCAAGTAGGAAAGCCCCCTACCTAATCCTGTCTACATTCAGAGCATACATAACCGTAAGCCCGGGAGTTAATACAGCGATCAGATGACTGAGAAGATAGGAATTGGCGTAAGTATGCCTGAAACAAGCATGGCGCCATACATATACATAAGTAGACTCTGCACAGATAGCTGTTGCTGATCTGAGTGGGCGATAAGGTAGGAAGAGATACCTAGGAACGGCATGGCGAAGATCTTGCTTATCGCGGGGCATTACGTTTATTAAATCGCCATGAACAGAGACTAGAGCATTGCTCTTTTGTCCTAGACCTCTTAGACTATCTCGGTTCGAGTGTTTTGACTGTCCTTCCTTTAAACGAGGTGATATACCCCGAAAAGTGTGGGGTAACGGATAACGCCAAAAGGGCGGAGAAACTCAATTTGATATTGCTTTTGCTATTTTTACAGGGGACATGTACTTCCCACTTGAAGATGTCTTGTTGGCTTCTATAGGTTTTCAAACGCGTTTTACACCAGCTCATACAGACAGGTCTTGTATGGAAGCCACAAAATGCAGACCCAAACAACAAAGGCTAAATATACACCCAGATCAAAGAAAAAAAAAACAATAATGAAAGTCATTTGCAAGGTATCGTCATCTCAAACCGCACCAGGCCCAGGTCCCTTATGATTCGACTGGTCCAACAAGAGTGTGGGCTTGATATAGTCCTCATCGAGCTGGCGGAACCAAGCCGCATGGTCGCCAGTAGCACCACCCGAAAACAGGCCCCGCACCGCATCCCGTGCAGACATACCTGCCGGCTGGCGAGTGGGCGAGACGCTGGTCGATGCCGCTGCATTGGTGGGTGGGGCGGACGAAGGGTGAGGGGGTTGGGAAACAGATCGGCGGAGACGCGAGGCTCCACCTGCAGCCGGTGGGAGGTCGTCATCGGAGATGCCCTCAATATCAAGATCGAACTCATCTGGGTGGGTAGGATCGTTGGAACGACCGGGGCCTGAGGGTGGCAGACCAAACTCGTCGTCACTACCTTCACCGGCACTCGGCCCAGCTGCGCCGTTGAGCAACGTCGCGGCGGATTGGCGGTCGCGCCAGGACTGATCTTTGTTGCTGTACGCGGCGGAGTACATTCTGGTGTGGGTATAGGGTGGGCTTGGACGGCGACTGTTGCCGCTGGAGTAGCTGTGTGTTCGCTCCCCAGCTTCGGCGCGTGGGGTGGTGGCGACGCCATCCAAGGGGATCACCGAGCCAGTGCGTCGCGGGGTGTATCCTAGGCTCGTGCCGGAGCGCTTGTAGTAGGTGCCACCATGGGTCACCTCGGTGTCGAATTCATCGTCCGAGTCAAGCTCTTCGACTACACCTGTTCGAATGCCTAGAATCTCCAACATGCGAGCCGTGGTTCCACCGAAGATGATGACAGTCAGCACGACGACAACAAGTACTGTCGCCCGAAGTGCGGGAGCGTTGACTCCTGATAGACCAGCCGCTAGTGCAACACCAACGGCACCACGCAATCCAGCCCAGAAGAGCATCGCTTGATAAGCGAACGGCAGCTCGTCGGGAACATCCACGCCATGGCGACGTGCTCGGTACCGGATGAACCAATTTATAGCCTTGGAAAGCGGGAACACCGCGAGGTAGCGGGCGAGACAGATACCAAACACCGCCACCATGATGAACAGAGGGTTGAACTGTAGGTTAGGCTCCACGAAGAGGTCAAGACCGAGGTAAATAAAGATGAAGTTCTCTGAGAGTTGAGCCATTACCTGGAACAGGTATTTGGTAGTCAACTGCGTACGACGCGACATGTTATAGTAAGCATAGTGCTTGAGGGTGATACCACAGAACAAGAGCGAGACAATGCCTGATAGGTGCACGCCATTGGAGAAGAAGTAGCTGGCGTAAGCAACTAAAATAATCAGACAGCTCTCGATCTTGGGCAAGCGCCGCACGAGGGTGTACTTGAGACCCAGCGCTGTAACAATTCCAACTAGCATTCCGACAACCATACTACCAAAGAAGACGAGCAAAAAGAGCCCCACAGCCTCGAATAGATTCAGGAAGGTCAAAGAGCCAGCTGCGCCGGTCTCATGGTACCTCTGTGCCGTCTCGAAGAGCACGATGGCAATGGCATCGTTCAGGATCGACTCGCCGAAAATGATAGTATAAAGCTTCGGCTCGACCTTATAGAGGTTGAAGATAGCTAGGATGGTGACAGGATCCGTAGCGGAGAGAGTTGCTCCGACTGAAATAGCTTCGACAAAAGAGATGTTCAACCCACTCAGCGGGATCCGTGTCCATAGGTACAGCACCAGACCGAGCACGATTGCGGATATAAAGGTACCGGCGAACGCGAAGGTGAGAATCGTGCCGATATGTCGGAAGAAGTTCGCCTGGTGGAGTTCATAACCAGAGGCGAGAATAATCGGAGGAAGGAGGAGGTTGAAGAAGAATTGGTAGTCGAAAGGCGACGCTGTCTTGAAGGGTGGAGTCTGTGAAACGGATGAGTAGTCCAACGAACATCCCTGGCGACCGTTAGCAAGTCCGTACCAATTTGCGTAGACCGCACGAAGCTTTGTATGTTTCGAGATTATGTCTGCGCCACCCGAGGATGTCGCCTACCTGCAAAAATTGATAGAACCGTCTCATGGACAGCTTGGATCTTCTTCTGTTGGAGGATGTAGCTCGTGAAGAGGGCGAAGATCAACAACAAGATCATGATAAACAATGCCCATGATGTTGTGATCTCCTTGGACCCTGCCTCGGTGGAATCTATAGTTCGCCATACTAGTTAAATCTCCGAAGCTGAATAGCGCTATATCGCGACAAGACGATTGGGGGGAGGGATGAGGGGGTGAGTTCAGGCACGCGTACCATCGGGATCGGAGTCTTCAGAGACCCTCCCTATGACAAAGATAGATATATTAGCTCGCAGTCCAAATGGGAAATCAAAGCGCAGCGTCCAAGGCCACCGATCAGAGGAACATACGAAGCAGGGCATGTAGGCCATCGTTCATAACTTGGCTAGCCATGGCGGCTTACGCCGTTGGAAGTATCAAGGGCCAGGGCGGACTGGCAGTTCACTCCCACTGTGAAATTGAGATAGCAGGACCAGGCGCACATAGCCCACGCAGAGATGGAAAGTGAGAGGTTGCGACAACGTCGAATTGGTTTGGCAGTAATAACACGGACTGCCTAAGTTGCATCAGAGGGACAGATATGAGGTCAGGTACGGGGATGTACAATACAAAATACGGCAGGGCTGGCAAGAGTCAAATTGGTGGGAAAATTGGAAATATACAACGATAACGTAAGATAAGCTGTGTATTGGTATTCGAAATTACACGTGGACCGAGTTTCGACGTGCCGCGCAACTGCCAAGAAACCGGTGGATTCGGGCAAAATAGCCAGACAACAGAAGGTTGTCGAAATTCAGTGCGAGAACACATCATCAGTATTTGATGTCATGATTTGATTGCCCTATGATGCTCTAGACCTGCGTTAGAAGGACCCACATGATATCCCCTGCAGAATCCCTTTATGTTACATATCGTAGACAAGGCTGGGGGGTACTTTTCGCTTGAGTATCAAATACATGCACAGTACATATGTATAGCTATTGCAGCATCTATGTCTGAAACTATCTTGATCCATCCGAAACCCGTCTAGTCAACCATGCAGCCACCAACGCAGCACATCCACCAAACCGTAGTACCCAGCCCACACTATCATCCCACGGCTCTCCTCTTTGCTTCTGAGATGCCTTGAAGATAGCACTGCAGACAAGACTAGACAGGATCTGGGGTAGAGAAATAGCCATATTATGCAGTCCAAGAATAATACCCGCCTGTGCAACATCACCATCGCGATGGTTCTTCGGGTGTCCATGCTCAATGTCATTGCCTCCAACACTGTTATGTTCACCAGGACCCTCGTCCTGGGCCTCAGCTTCATGTTCGTCATAGGTGGACGGGGCTGTGCGGGAATCATTTTGTCTAGAAGGATCAATCCTAGCTACCTCCGCCGCGATAAGAGCGAAGGGTGCCCACAGCGCTACAGCCCAGGAGATGCCGATAATGCCCACAAGTACCGACCCGGCTTGGTGAGAGTAGATGAAGAAAGTACTGAACATGCACGCTGCAAAGAGGAGGTGGGAGAGGAGCCAGACTCGCGGAAGAGTCAGGCCTGGGATGCGCAGACGTGAAAGCCAAGTCGGTTTCCCTTCGGTGTCCTGTGCGATTGGAACAGCGTCGAGCAGAGGTTCGGATGGATTTCCCGTCGGCATACTTGAAAATGACAGTCTTCTTGCAGCTGGTTCTGCCTCATCATCGGAACCCCCGTCTAGAGAATCCCGTTGCGAAACAGTTTCTGGCGCCGGTCCATATAACGGAACCACGAAAAGGGGAAGCAACATATTGGCAAGGAAGGAGATGATAGCATAGATGAGCAGAGCTAGTGTCCCGATGCGAGTAGCATCTTCCCAGGCCTTGTCGACCTCACCCTCGGAGAGATGGGGATTATCTGCGAAAACGGGATTGACGTACAGCTGCCCGATGTAGGTCGTGGAGTAGTACAGGAATGGGAACCAGCCCACCCACGCTGCGAACTGCACATGACAGACACGGGAGATCTGTGTCGGCAAGTTCCGAATAGACTTGATGACCTTTTTGAAAAAAGAGATAACGCCTAGCTTGTCGGTCACAGGTCCGTCCCCTCGGGGATCCCGCTCTTTAATATAGACGCAACTAATGGCAAGAGTTGCGCCCAGAAAGACCGAGGACAGTACACAAAGAACCTTGAACTGGGTATTTCCCAAGGAAGGGACAACTTTCGGCAAGTCCATGTAGCCAAAGATATACCCCAAGATGTTGCCAATGCCGACCATACGACTAGCCCAAGCGTTGGACAGCTCCTGCTGGTGGGTAGGGCAATTGTCGACAATGAATGCTCTGATTGCAGCTTGCACTAGAAGATGGTAATTAGCCGGGCAATAATCGCAAAGATACTAGAGTGTGCACCCACCTGTATTAATGGAAAAATCAAGGCAATACATGAAAATCGTTGCCATGATAATGATAACGACCTTGACTCCAGCAGATGTTGATTCAACACCGAATATAGACAGAAAGCCCCCCACAATCTCTTTCACCCATGCTAGAGCTAGCAACGAAACGACCGTTGCCGCGCCTCCAACAACCATGAATGGTTTCCTCTTACCCCACGCGAGCCGGCAGTTATCGCTTCGAATACCGATGTATGGTTGTACCAGCGCACCCGTCAAGGGACCGGCTATCCAAACAAAGGCAAGAAGCGACTTGCTCATCCCGAGGGATAGAAGGAATGGCTGTATGCGGGTCAGTATGTTGATTTATTCAATCCTGCAACATGGAGATAAAAAGTAGGATGCAAAGGGTAAAAAGATCATGCACTGTAAGTCTTACCGATCCATTAGAAAGTTCAACAGACCAAACAATCTGAAGTCTGTTAAAGTAACATCATATCAATAAATGGCCAGTAGAACAAGTCAAAATAACGCATAAGTAAATGGAATTAAATGATCATATGCAAATACGTACCCACCAATAGACAGAGTCAAAAGACACATGTACAATGCATTCTTAGACGGCTCATCCGCACCGGCAAGAGGGTGTCCACCACGTCTGTCTGCAGGGGAAGTGGCAACCATGAGAGGCGAGCCCTCGTTGATAGAGCTAGGGGCAGACTTATAATCCGATTCCCCCATGTGATAGTTAAAGGGTCGGGATTTCGATGTGTTGAATTAACACCAACCAGGAGTAACTCATGGAACTCTCTGAGGCGTGTTCGGATATGGTTGGGCCTGCTGTGATTTCCATCTGCTGACCGCGGTGCAGGGTTCCGCTGAGCGTAGATACGCTTTTTCGGGTAGTTGCTGGGATCTTAGTCGTAGGCAGTGTAGACTGTGGATTGTTGGAGTGTGGGGAAGTAGATAGCGCTGGAATAATGGGGCTGGGCTATGCTGGGTGTTGGCAGCCACGCATCATTCACCATTCAGATAGGTAGTTAGCTGAAAGAAAGTAAAACTGTACAAGGTATAGCCCTTTTAATCAAAGCGTGGTGTGTCAGATTGATGGATCTACTGGTATCCCTGTCATGACTGCAGGGATGATCGACGTCAGCAACACGTGATGTACCATTTATCAGCCATAACAGCCATAACAGCCCTCAGTCACATCATCGGACCGTATACGATATGATAGTTACTATATTGTTGATACAATCAAAGGAACATTGATGTTTATAAAGGTTTCAAGTTTTTTTTCGATTCCAATTCAAAGTCGTTACACAATGTCTGTCTATATATTGTGATTTGAGGTGTACAAATCTTACCATTCCCAGCCGGTCTTCGTGGACAATGCCTGACGATCCAAGAAGCCAACACAAATCTTTCCCTCCCCAATCCATTTCCCATTAAGAGATAGTCGAACCTCTCTCGTGCCCGTGCCCGCCAGGCAGCATGAAATGAATGTCTGCCAGCGCAACCCAATTCACGTGCAGGGCAACCGACACCAATAATACACGGTGTTTCCTGTAACCATCGCACAGTCCGCAAACCCAAAATAACCCAAAAATAACACACACAAAAAAATAACCCTGCGTCAAAGACAAGCAAGGACATAACACGCGGGGTATACATGAATATCGCGGTATGTGCAAGGCCATCATTGGACCATATGCGATTAAACAGAGGCGGTATAAACCCCGAACCAAAAAAGGGCGCCTGTATAAAACCCCGAAGAGAGAGGAGAGTTGAAACACTTGCTCGGAACATCCCCGATAATGAGGACATCAAGTGATACATCTGATGCCTTGCAATATATGCACCGTGCCCTGTAACATTCTCACATATGCTGTTGGATCAGTTGTGGAGCCATCATGTGTGAAGTAGGCATGCCGGTCAGGGCGGACGGCATGCTCAAAGGAGCTGCCATCGACGTCATGTTGGGCATGTTAATCATTGTATGAGCGGGACCCGGTGGGGACATCTCTTCCCTAGGGGAACCGAATTCATGTGCGTCATTCTCCAGATCTTCGTCAGTTGGGACAATTGTCTGACCATCCTGCTGCGCTTCATGGATCCGACGATGTCTAGCGAATGTTAGCGCAAGTTGTATAAGAAATAGAATAATAATAACTTACTGCGCAAGATTATCGGACCGTGAGAAAGCTTTGCTGCAATAAGGGCAGGGGTACGGACGCTCTTGTGTGTGTGTTCTCACGTGTCTAGAAAGAGGGGGTTAGTCGGCGGCTATCGAAACAATCTCACCGGCGCACGGTGCAGATCGGCCCCACCATCGTGGGTGCAAAAATAGAAGCAAGCTTACCTTTTGAGGTGTTCTAATCTCTTGAAGGTTCTACCACATGACGGGATGGGGCAAGAATGAGCCTTGGTTGGATAGGGTCCCAACTCCATCATGGTTGCACTCCTGGCTCTCCGAGTAGGACCAAGCGCCGAACGCTCGGACCGACCAGCAGTGTTTTGAACCGCAGTCTCGATGGCACTGCTGCTTGGCAGAGATGTCAGATCATTGGATTGGTTTGCCATTGATCCTGGATGTTGTGCGTTGGTCTGATCCATGTTCTGCAGTGGCGTGCCATGACGGGACATCTCATGAACAAGATCCTTTTGTGGCAGCATCGCACTCGGATAAGTGCGAGCGAGTTCCTGGGTAGCTTCATCCCCCTCTGCGACTGGAGCGACTGAGCTAGAAACTGAACGCCGCAGATCACTTGGTCGGTGAGCAGCGTAGGAGACTGACTGAACTCCTGGAGTTGTTGATTGGACGTGAGCTGCGCCACTGGGTGTGACCACGCCGGTACTTGGCGTGATAGATGACCTACGTCTGCGCTGCTTGTATGTCGGGGATCCCTCTATGACGGGATACGCGTTTGCCGAATAAGACCGAGGCGCAGGCTGATAGTGAGCACTAGCCAGATTTGAAGGAGGCAGCTGCATCATAGGATGGTAGGCGGGTCCACTTGAAATATCCGGAATCGCTGTGTAAAGTCCGGTATCTTCGTTGGCGATGTAGGCTGGTTCCCCTCCAAGTCCGACCGAATGCTGTGGTGGGGTGACTGGTTCGAAGGACAGGCCGCGATTGCTGTAATCCTCATATTGCGAGGATACAAAGGATGGCGCAGGAGAGTACTCGTAGAAGGTCGGCATGGAAGAATGGCGCTGATGGGGCCGGGAAATAGGCATTCCGTGGCGATCGTACTGGATAGGGCCGTAGTCCTGCTCGCGCTTAATGATGCTCTGGACTAGATTGTTCGAAAGGGGCATTTGTGGGTGGTTGTACATCTGATTCCCAGGGTCGTCCTGCATCAGAGGGATCGCTGGGGGAGCCATCTGCGGAGGAGGCATTGCGTCAACGGTCCGAACCACGGGGGAGCTGGGCTGGCCATATGTCGTACTTGCGTGGGCAGCGAACGAGTTCATATTCACTTGTTGTGACTTGGTCAATTGCTCGTACAGAGACTGAGACGAGTCGAATTCAAAAGACATGGCCGGTTCGCTGACTGCGACCGTCGTGGCCTCCTGGTTCATTTTCTCGCGCTTCAAGTCCCGTTCCAATGCATCAAGGAATAGCCGGTCGTGAGGCACACCGTACCAGTAAAACACCTTTTGCTTCTTTTGGGTCCGAATACAGTTGTTTTTGTACAAGAAGTCCAGGAACGGGCTCTTGGGATCCTCCAGGACCGCATCTACGCCGGCCTTGAGATTTCGTAGGTCTGAGAAAATGCCCTCCTCGAACTTTTTCGAGTTCTTCACCGGACGTCCAAAGGCTTGGAATCGAAATGCGAGGCATCGGACAATATCGGTACCGGAGATGTGGAAAAGGCCGCTCCTATTACGACGGGGTCAGTCAGATTCCTAGGCTACCACGCTCTAGGTTGAGACGAACCAGTAAACACAAGAGACATAGTCGCCCGTGGGAAGTAAAAAGCGTCGAATGAGTTGATCTGGTTGCCAGTCCACGGGAGCTGACAGAAGGAAATATTTCACTAGCCCCCATGTCAGTAGATTGCTTTGATGCGGGGATAAAAACCACCCAAAGACATACGGTTATCCACTTGCTGAAGAGCAACTTGCGCGTCGTGAGGTAGGCTTCGCTGTGCTTCGGTCGAGAGCATAAAAGTTTCGGGCTTTTGGGGCGGTGCCATAGGGATTGAGGCACCTGGTTGAGGATACATTTTTTTAGTTTTCTGTGAAGCGCACTGTATAGATAGGTTAGCACTGGGGAAAAGACCGCCTGATAATGCATGCGCAAACAAAGAGGGTGATCTGAGTCCAATCAAAAGAACACCCCTTTACGACTTCTGCGACTTCTGCGACTCTGAGACATAGCTGCAAGACCTCATATCAAACTTACCTGAATGGTTCAATAGGATAAGATCGGAAGTGCGAGGATCAACGTCGCCAGCCAGTAAAGATAATATCCGATCGGGAGCAATTCTAGATCTCACAAATGCGGCGGAAAGGTGTCTAAGCAAACAGAGGAACCGGCCTCGTGGAACAAAGAGCAAGAAAGAGAGATTGTCAGAGAATGAAACTGGACCAGCCGGTAAGCCTCTGGAATTTTCGCGCGCAGCGGGAAGAAAGAAACGAAAGTGGATGAGGAAGCTCGAGTTATTGGTGAAGAAGAAGAGAAGGGGGGAGGGGGAGAAGAAAGAAGATACAGTCCAGTCTAATAATAATCGAAGCTGGGAATGGGGGAAGCGCCCAGGGACCATCTGACCGGTCAGAAACTAGTTATGTTATTTTGTTATTTTGGGTTTATTCTTAGTCATAACAGAGGGCGGACTGATTATCCGCTGTTAATAGGTGTGAAGGGTGTTATTTATATTATTAATCTGGTATGGATTATTTATTTACATGGTATTGAATAGTATTGAATGGTATTGACTTGGTCATTTACAGGGTGGAACAGGAAATCAAAGGTCAATGTTCCAAGGTTCAGGTACAATTTGAATTTCATACTTCAGCCCTGGAGGGCGTCAGGGGACTATCTTTGTTGATGATACATAGTATCAGGTTAACACAATCATCATAGTTTGTTCTACTCTTCATAACTAGTTTTGATATCAAAAACTAAATGTAGACACACTGTTCTTGTCAACAAAGCGAATATAACCCCCCCCTGTCTTGAATTCTTTTGTACAATATTTGTTATTTGTATAGTATTGCATGTCAAAATTGATGATTGGCCCAATCCACATGGTGACGAGGCTGCATAAACAAGTGATAAACATATCACTTGCCATATTCAGGGATCCTTCTAGACTAAAAGGCCGTGTGAGTCCAACGGGAAAATAGGTGGAGACAGCCAAGAGTCATCAAACTGGCGCTGCGACCTGAAGCACCCGCCCTGTTGTTTCAGAGTCGCAGTGGGCGCTTACATGCATTGAAACCTCCCGAATTTTCCCCCTGGTATTTTCTCCGAGCTCTGTACCTTTTTTCCATATAAGCGGCTGTGGCTTTGGGGTCATCTATGATATGCCCGACTGATCGATTTTGGTCCAATGGGACTCGTCTAATGGGGAAAAAGTACTGAGTACCCCTTAACAAGGTAGTTAGTACCTCGAAGGATTACTACCTATCAATTGTACAATCGTTGTACATGAATACTTTCTACATGTACTCTGCAAACCACCAAATAGTTAACTAGTTACATAGACATGTGTTTGTGTACCTAGACTCTGTACGAAGTCCCTGTACTCCGTATCCGTTCCACTTTTCCCCAGCCAGCCATGTCGTAAATAAGATGAGCAAAGTGCCGGGTTACATGATTAACAGGTACCTTAACCAGCCAAGAGAGTGGGAAAGAGAGCAAAATTCCAAGCTAGGCACTGGATACACTCCACAGCATGTGGACTCGGTAGGTTATAGCTCGGATATGGACGGCCTCTCCTGATCAGAAATTTCAATGCTATCGGTAGCGTAAGAGCTTGGTCCAACTCCGAGGTGGTTGCACAGCCATGTGTCTAACGAACAAGAATTTACTCTGTTCCGTTCACTCCGTACGCATGCGGAGTACAACATAGATAGCATCTTGCACAGTCATGTTATCTTCCATCCATGGGGATCATCACTATCAGATCAGCGTACATATCTATGTGTCAGAATGTCTCATTCTCGAACCAAAAAACAACCCGCTTGAACCTTCATTCTGGAAGGATCTTGACTTCGGAGTAGTTCGCCCCAGGACCACCCCAGGACCACCCCAGCCAACCATCGAAGCAAAAATGGAACGGATATAGAAGGTGAACCAAGATGAACGTGTATGCCTAGTGTCAGTCCAGCGGAGCCAGCCGTACCAGATCGGACCCGAAAAAAGGCCAAATCCACAATTCTCGTACAGACCTCATCAATATAGCCTCTGGCTAGAGGTTTCAACTTGACCAGGTTTTTCCCGGCCCCCTGGGAAACTGGATACCATTCCCGGCAGAGATATCCAATTAGTGCAAATTTAGTACGGAGCACGGAGTACGGAGTACACTACTACATCTATGCACATACTACAACATAACTAGGCCATCGCACAGGGCACCCTGCAAAGACGTTTGATCGTCGGCCCTGAAACGATCTAGAATTTCGATGATTGAGCCGTTGCGAGAAACGTGGGGACATTATTCCTCTTCTCATGCAGGGAACTGCATGCGGAAAGATGTGTCGGTCGACGACTTGTCGAGGAACAGGGGATACGGTTTAGCCCCCTGCTCTTGAAAGGGGAGCAGGACTAATGGAGTAATCCGGCTATTGCTCCTAGCCTGGTAGTTGGATCGTTGGTTGCAATGGAGTAGCGTTGTTTTGTGGCGTTTGTTTTTTTTTTTTTCTTCCTTTTTTTCCAGTTGGTCAGTATATGACTTAACAAGTATAATCACAACAGAAAAACAACGTTAATCGGCAAAGATCACCTTGCCCCAACGGCAATACCTACACGTGGAAAGAACACATGGGTGTGGAGGTCAAGGAAGAAAGTTCACTTTGGGTTAGCGTCATCCATGAATGGATATCCCTATCGCTGATCTAATCCGCAATCTGAAATAGCTCCGGTGTTTTTGAGTCCGATGAGAATTCCCCCTGATTCAAACTATGATATTTTGTTTGCAATTGAGATCCACTCGCTTCTTGGCATTCAATTTACAATCTAATTGAATCCACGCGGTCCCCATATGTTCTTGCTCATGGAGAGGGTTCATGAGGCGAGAATATTGTCTTAGATTTAGATTAGAGCAAAGTGAAAAATGTGTGGCTTGCAAATTCGCATGGCCCAGCCATTGGGGAACTTTCTACACCACAGGACTTCTCCCCGGTCTTGATCTACTTGTTCACCTGGGTCAAGCTGAGCTGAGGCGCAAAGAGAATATCCAGTGAAGATAGCAAACATATTCTAAAGTCCCTTGATATGTGCAATATGTCTTTGAAAGCAGTTCATCTACAGAGCAAGCCTGGTCAAACAGAGTCGATGCTCTTCCTCCTCTTCTCCACCATGGCTTCCTTCATGAACGGACTCCGTGCTCGGATATTCTTGCCCCAGATAAGCACCAATATCGGGGCAAAAGATAGAGCCAACGCAATGAAGCCTAGTACCGTACTAGCCCACTCTAGGCCAAGATGAGAATACATGCTCATAGTAGCTAGAGGCAAGAACGCCGCCAGGGTATTCTCACCAGTAGCAATGATACCCATACAACTGCCCGCATATTTGCTATAAGCGTCGACCACATAGTCCGAGATTCCCGTCACAACAATGACACTACCGGCCCCTACCATGGCGAGGCCGACGGCCGGTGCGATCCACGGAAAATCGGGGTATGAAGTCCAGGCGTACGTGAACATACCACCTGAGATACCGAATATGCCCCCCAAAATAGCGAGATAGAGCCGGGCCTCGGGGATTGGCGTACCGGGGATTTCTTTGTTGCGGGATGCCGAGTCGAAGTAAAGTTTGCCTGAGAACAAGGTAATCACCCAACCCAGAAGCTCTCCAACCACTACTGCTGCTTGGACGTATCCAGCTTGTGCCGGTGTCCAGCCGTACAGCTCTTCGAATACCTGCTCAACAGATTGAGTGAACAGATACAATGTACCGACGGTAAAGGCGGACCATAGCGTCGATACAAATACCACGGACTCGGTGAAGAACAAGAAAAGAGGCCTACTCGCACTGTGGCCCACGATGCTCAAAATCGACTGCCCTTGTGTGTCGATTTCGTGTTGGGTATAGGCGTTCTTGCCCTCACGGCGTAGAGCTTTAGCCCGCCGTCCCAGGATTGCAATTCCACGGCATTCCTTGAACAAGAAAAAGTACAGAGGGAAGAAAGCACCATACCATATGAGCTGGATATAGCCAATCCACCTCCACGTGAGAGTGTGGTAGATAGCAGCTCCAATAACAGGCCCTATGCTACTACCCGACAAGTATGCAACGATGAAAAGACTGACAGGGACGTTTCGATTTCGCTCCGTGTCCCAGACATTCCCAATCACCGTGCCAGAGGTATTAGCGAGGATGGAGACGCAACCTCCGGCAAAGAATCTTGTTATTACCAACGTGTAAAAATTCTGTGCCACAGCTTGGGGCACGACAAAACAGAGGAAAGTCACGTACGTGCCCAGGAACACCCATCGCACACCAAAATCCTCCATGAGCGGGAGGACCAGCAGGGAGAAACAGCCACCTCCAACGGCCCATGATGTAACGGGCCAGTAGGAGTGAGGAAAATTGGTGTCTGAAATGTTAAAGAACTCATTCATGGGATCGTGGGCTACTGTAATGATTGTGCCGTTGATCATGGTCATGAAGGTGGCGAACACAGCGAGGGCTGTGAGAAGCCATTTCTCGCATAGAGACCAGTTGTATGGGTTTCCGGAATCTCGGGGTCCATCCCAGGACACAATTGTTACATCTGTACTGGGGTCTTGATGATCTGTGTTGCTGTTAGTCTATATTCCAGATCTTCGGGTTGCTGGTGTTGTTCTAGTTTTACCTATTGCCCGGTCATCATGACCGGAGACATCGCCACGCGCGAATACCATTCCGTTTCCACTGTGACTCAACGAACCTGTTCAAGACTGGCCCTGATTCACAAATTCTGGTTGTCTTTGTGGCTCACTTCCGCGTGGTGATCCGAAGTGAACCGAACTTAAAAGTATGATGTAATTTTTCACATCAAAAATATTTGAGAATAGATCGTAGTTGCAAACAAGCAATCTGATTTCTTCAAGCTTAAAACCTCCAGAAAACAGAGAATTCCAGTTATATATATAAACCCTTTCCGATCTACGAAAAAGAAAATTATTGTGCGCATCTCAACTTAGGATCCGAACAGAATGATTCCTCTCCCCACCAACAAGGCCCAGTTTCTCCAGATAATAGCCGCTTTAGGACTAGTGACAATATGCCCCAGGGTCGATTTCAATTTCACACAACGTGGTTGGTCAATGACGTTGCTTTGACCGGCTTTCTATTGATATGCTTAGATGAAGGAATTAGCTAAATGATCTGCTTCTACATCCCACATTGGCTTTGTCAACTCGGTGGGATTGATCCCGAGACGAATCAAGTTCGGTTTACCCTACCTTGACCTAGACCATTTTCGTCGATCGGGCAGAAGATGAATATATCATTCCGCGTTTGGCGATATTGCAGCTTCAATATTGGATAGCTATTCGTTCTATATTGTACCTAGGCTGTATCAAACAGCCAAGACGTGGTGGGGTCTGATAGCTCACCTTATGAAGCCAAGAGAATGGCTTAATTTACCTTAATCACTATCAATCAGAGCGTTTTAGGTAAAACAGTGACTCTATAAATGACTGTTGGATCTTTGTTCGGGTTTGATATGTGATTCAATATCCCTCAGTCACCTTCTAACATACTATCCAAATTCCTACGTTATTCAAATTAACTATCCTTCTATAAAACCATCACTTGGCGGTCGCTTCAGCCGCATGTGAGTCATAAACTCTCAAGGTCCAATTTCGATATCGATTAAATATTCCAACCATCAAAATCTCGAACCTATGAATTCGGATCCGAGCCCTGTTGCCAAACCACCGTTCGTTGCGGATCGATTGCATTCCAGCGATCGCATTTCATTGCCTAATAGGTACTAGTCCTTTTTCTTGTTTAGGCAACTGCTTCCCCGTTTGCATGTATCTTGTTGGAGATGATTTCAACAAACGGACAAACTAACCATCAACCAGGCAGATTTCGGAGACAAGACTAAAACGAGATAAATTCTTCATTCGGTTCCACTCACGATGACTTCCCCAGTGGGCAGCAGCCCGGAATCGTCGGGATGCTCATCAATCACTGTCTCACTCTACTCATACGGTCGTGCCAATGGCCCCTTGGTAACACCAGAAATTCAGGAACAGGATTGAGTTCTGCTATCTTACAATATTCGCCATCTTCCAACTCCGTCTCCGCCGCGAAATCTACGTGCCATGACAACTGGCCTGTCACCTCGACTAAGGAGGAGTTTCTGAAGAATGAAATCGTGGTAAGCTTCCTTGAAAGAACGCAGAATGAGATCGTCAACTCACTCAAAACATCTTCTGATGCATTATCCCAAGAACGTGGTTCTTCCGAGGAACCAAAAAGCTATAGCAGCGAATCTAAAATCATAACAACCAGCACTCACCAGAAACCCAATATCTCACCAGTTGTGAAGGTGTGTTCTGAGGAGAGCTGCCACTGGAGTGTTGCTTTCGTGGAAGAATTAGCGAACAGTCTTTCATTGCTAAGATATGGCGCTGATGTGTCTCATTCTTGGAAACTGAGTGTTACTACTTTCCATCGAGACCTGGAAGCCTTGAAGCCTGCCTCCAATGGTTCAGACTTGATAGTAAGTCAACAAGTTAAAAAGTCCTTTGCTAATAGTAAATGAGAGAAAAGAAAGGACACAAGAAGGGGAATGGATATGAGGATGAGATGGTGCAATGATGTCGTTACCGGAGGCTGAAGTGGAATATCGGGAAAATTATGTGGATGGACGATGATCCAAAAGAGGACCACTACCTACGTCTACTAATCTCAAAGACAGTCGAAAAGACTAGAATATTACTAATTTTGCCATCGGGCCATTCATTGACGAGCACTTGACCTCATAACTATTTGGCTATGATTAACTACTATCTCTCCTTTTGTGATGCCCAAGTCAGCTCCGTGAGTATATCACACTAACTAATCTCCTTTTAGTTTATTTATCCCAAGTTAGAATAGGCAACATTTATTGTTGAAATACCAAGGAGCAAAATGACTCTAATAGGTTGGCAAGAAGTGTTTATATCATAAGTTTGCCACGCCCAACTTATGACATCGAAGACTCCCCGCATTTAAACATAAGATAAATAGTTTATTTTCTCTTCGATTCCGACACATTTTCAAGCGAACTTGTTTTTCAACACTTCACACATATTCAACCATTGATTTGTCACCAATACACAGTTTATTACACTCAAAACATGGTCAAAACCGACAGAGATCAGAATCCCCTAGATCCCAATTACGAAAAGCGACGCAGCTCTCTCGGGAATATGGAGGGTCAACGGCAAGACCAATCCAATGTCAAGCAGGAGGACCTCATGGTGGACAGAGAAGTTGCCCCGTGCGTTTAGACCACAATCTCGCAAGCATCCCTTGTGAAGTATATCCGGTAACTAACCTCAAATAAAACAGATCTTCCCGTGCAATGTGCTCGGAACTCGCACATAAACATGCCGTTCAAGGTCTCCACGAGAACACAGAGCGCCGTTCTTCGCAAGAGGTAGATCACAGTATGTCTTCATTATGCCCCGACCTACGATTTTGGTATTATATTGCATGCATGTACTAACGAGCATCAGATTCCTTCCTCTCTGATCTAAGTACCGACCGGGGGCTCCAAGAGCACCCCGAACAACTTGGAGAGTAATCAGTTTTCATATACTTTGTTGGACCCTGGACGACACTGGAAGTTTCAGAGGGAAGACGTGGATCGGAACTGGGCGGTATGCCTTCATGAATCAACGATAAGCTGTAAATTCAAAATGTCAATCTATGCTATATATTTATTTTACTTGGTGTTCTGTAAATCGTACATTGTGGTGGCCTCAATTGCTTCGTGGGGCAAAAGTATATAGTTACTGGTGATGTCACGGTGGTGTCGACATGTGCACCCGCATAGAAGTACAACGCAACGAAATACAAAAAGATTTCTTCGTATAGCTTTGTATTCTTCATCCTTGTATCTAATTCTAAGTTTATAAGCCACCGCTGTCAATCACTGCAAGAATCAAAAACCCTCTTCCCCCGATACCAAGTCTGGCAGACACGCGCCTCAAGCAATGACTCTGGCATCCACTTCATATCAACAACCAAGAAATCCGCATACAATCCCCTCCGCAGACTTCCAGTCCAGGAATCAGCAAATCGCGCATAAGCCGCCCCAGCCGTAGCAGCCGTAGCCGCCTCGGCCAACCCCAACCTAAACTGTGCGTTTACAGTATCATCAGTCTCAGTCTGAAGCGCCGAGCGCCTCGTAGTAGCATTGTAAAGATTAGGGAAAGGAAAGTGAGCTGCAGTAGGTGCATCGGTTCCAATAGCAATCGGAGCACCCCCATCCAGGAAGTCCTTGTACGCAAATGCGCGCTTACACCGCTCGGGACCCACAAGACCAGGCCAGGCCTTGAAAAGCATAGGATCCGAGTGCACAGGCTGAATCGAGGCCGTGATACCCAGCTGACCCAGTCGCTTGGCGTCTTCCGGGGCTGTCAGCTCCAGGTGTTCAATTCTGTGTCTTCGGCCTGGTGTGCCGACTCTCGACAGCACGTTGATTGCTTGGTGGATGGTTTTGTCGCCTATTGCATGAATCGCGCATTGGATGCCTGCTGAGTCCGCACGCTGGACTACTTCTTGTAGCATATTCTCTGGCCAGATCGGGTCGACGGGATCGGATTTACCAGTATACGGTTGGAGGAGAGCGGCAGTGCATCCGTCGACAACGCCATCGCAGATGAGCTTTATTCCGAGGATGTGGAAATCGGGCTCGTTGTATTGGCTGTGTAACTCAATTGCTCGATCCACGTGTTTGAAGTTAGCGTTTTGATCCGCTGAGAAAGGGACGAGCCAGTGTGCGCCGATATGGAATGGGATGGTATGATCACGACGGTAAAGATTTAGAATCTCCCAGGTTCCTTCGTCCATTGCCATGTCCACTAGTCCGGTATACCCGGCAGCGGTGTATGCAGCAACTGCAGTGTCCAAGGCACTCAGTTTGTCTTCTGTGGAGGTACGACTTTCTAGATGAGGCCATGCAAGGTTCATAATAGCTGATTCGTCAAGTAGGCCTGAAGCTCTTCCATTTTCATCACGGTGGATGGTTCCACCTGGAAGATCGGGGGCAGTATGAGCCCCCATCTCATCGAGAGCAGCTTCGCTGCACCACATGGAGTGGAGGTCGAAGGAGTCAATAAAGATGGGACGTGGGTCGATGCCATCCAGCATACTTGCTAGGGCGACTCCATTGGTAGATAATTGAATCCAGCCTCTGCATAATATGCGCGGCAGAGATGGATTCGCTTCGGCGTAAGATTTGATGGCTTCGCGAATTTGATCCAGTGAAGTGCATGCGATGAGATCGGCTTTGCGCAATGATTGCCCGTAATGAAGAATGTGTACATGGGCATCGATGAAGCCTGGAATGATAGTTTGTGCTTCCAGGTCAATGACATTTGCATTTTCTGGGATGCTTATTCCATCGAGAGAGCCGACATGGGAGATCTTGTCATTCTCGATGATCATGCTCTCGGCAAAATTCCCCTCATTGTTCGAGCCTTGAGATGGCATGAAGATGCGCCCATTTTTGAAAACAGATATCATGATTCCCAGTTTTTTTGTTATTGTCAGGCCTGCGCAAAGAAGAGTACGGCCATTTCTGAAGTATTTATTGCTTCATGCGGGGAACGGAATATTCTTCAGCTCTTAGACCCGGACTTCTCCAGGACTTGCCGCTTGAGAACATTGAAGGGTGGGGATGGTGGGATTCGGGCCGGGCTATCTCCAGTACGGAGACTGGCGATAACTTCGTAAGGTAACATTGAGGGGACATTGCTTGGAAGGACCGGCCATTAAACTACATGGTGATTGGATGATAGGAGAGGGGGCTGGTGGCTTCAAGGGTTCTTGAGAACATCCAAATTTGAGTTCAACAATCACTTGCTTCAACCTTTTGTCATCAACCAGCCAAGTGGTCGAGCAGTAACTCAACCATCGCATCTTCCTTGGTCTAGTGGTGATGATTTCCGCTTGTCATTAACACCGATAAGCGCGGGAGACCGGGGTTCGATTCCCCGAGGGAGAGATTTCTTTTTTCTTTTTTGCTTAATTGATTTTTATTTCTATAACTATTGTACTCCTTTAAATCGGATGATAAATGGTGTCTTTTTTTATTTCAACATTTTGGTTTGCCAGGATTTTCTCCTATTGTTCAATTTCTCTGGAATGTCAGTAAATGAAGGCAGCAATTGCCAACAAAAAAAAACCCCCTGATCTGAACGTATCAAGTGGGGCCGTATAGTAGCCTTGGTCTGACTGACGGTGAAGGGCAATAATAGTTACTCTTTGACACGGGACTCACTACCTTCATGTTTCTCTACCAATTGAAACAATGTTTGATGCGTTAATCAAAGGGAATATGGAGTTGGATAGTTTATGCCCAATTAGTACTTTAATACAGTTAGTACTGTTGGTGCGAGAGAGATATATATATGGTGCCACTTCTACATCTATCCAAACATGGTGATCAACCGTCATCTTTAATGGAAGATGCTGACTACCAGGCTTGAATTAGGTTATGACCATTACGAATGCCGAGAATAAACATACGTACACATAGTGGCCATATAAACCTTCCAAGCACTGCGGGTGTCCGTCAAAGACCACTCAAACAAGACCCAACTTAATATGTCTCGGCATTGAGGTAGGCTGATTCGTTTTCATTGGAATCTTACTGCAGGTATATATTACCTTTTACCTAACACCAACAACATGGGCTCCAGGGCTGTGTATTTCGTAGTCCATTTTCGATACTTTGTGCTAATGACTTTGCCCCGGATGATGATCAGCGATATGTTTGCGTGGGCAGTGCATAAACCATATTATAGATCCAATAATAATATGTCATCTCATTGAACCCTCGGATCGCACCGACAACCCCATGCACAAGACCAGGTGGGGATAACACCACCTTGCCATCACCAGTCAAATGCCGTGCAAACAAAGACAGCAATGAATATTTCCGAGTAAAAATTTCCCGCCCCCAGAAAATGATGTCATAATAAATATCCAAGAGCCTCCAACTCCAATGATGGATAGGCGTGCAAAGAAGGCGTGCGTAATGCCAGTCCTAGGGCTTGGCAATCGGATAGAACGCCGAATCTTCAACTCACGACTGCAGTGTCAAGCTCCAGCGGAACATCATGACCTGTATGAGTTTTGAGAGCAGAAGAAAAAGAAAAGGGGGGGTGCCTCTGGGAGCCTCATCCTAGATTGTACTGTGTCGGGTAATTTCGTAGCAGGGGTGTGGACCTAACCCCCAACGCTCAATATTGTAGGGCGAAGGATTGCACTACAACATATGAAATATCCCAAGTGCGCCTTGTCCCAGTTGATCAACAGCTTTTGGGGGCGACGAGGCCCCGATTGGCCGTTGGCGGTGGAACCCGGGAACATAGCGCGATGGGCTCATTTGGACTATGCCGCTAGAGCCTTAGCCTCACGATACCTGCTAGGGTTTATGACAACGCACCGGGCGTATTTAAGCATAATAAAGCCCCCAAATGCTGGTTGTTTTTCTCTTTCCTTCTTGCAGTTACCCAATCAACCTACAAATACCTCCTCTTTACATCCATTTTATCTTCTCCATCTTGTACCCGAAGTACATACTTCCAACCGCCACCATGCAGTACAAGTCTCTCGCAGCCCTCCTTTTCACCAGCATGGCCATGGCTGCCCCAGCCGACACCAGCGAATCTGCAGAAGACAGTCTTTCGGATGTTATTCCCCCGTCCATTGCCGTGGTTCTCGCAACCGCCGTCCCATCCTCATTCTGGGCTGAAGCCACCAACACCGCCAATTTCCTCTCCCAAGTCGAACAGGGCATGGTGTCTAACTCCTGGCCAACCTGGTACAGCAGCCTCCCCGATAGCGTGAAGGATTATGTCACCACTGCCGTTGGGGGCTACTATCCTTCCTTTGCATCATCCATCGCCGCCGAGATCACCAGCTCCGGCGACAGCAGCTCTAGCCCCAGCACTGCCTCTGCAACATCCACCGGTGCTTCTAGTTCCGACGCTTCTAGCTCTGATGCGTCGTCTTCTGACGCTTCGTCCTCTACCGATTCTACTTCTACGGATTCATCTTCCTCCTCCACTGCCACTGGCTCGGACGCTGCTTCGTCCTCGGCCTCGGCTTCGGCGTCCGGATCTGCTGCATCCACCACTGCCGATGGTGCTGCAGCTCCTACAGGTATCGCTATAAGCCTTGCTGGCGCCGCTGGTGTTCTGGGTCTTGCTCTCGCCCTGTAAGAATGTAACATTAGACATTCTCAAAGCAGCTACGGTAGATTCGCGCCTCTTTTTCATATTTGTTGTATACGTTCGTTATGAAATGGCTTTAGTTTCCATGTTTTTAACGAATTATTGAGCCCGTATGGCGAGCTCATACCTTATGTACTTACAACCTAATTTTGTCAATACTAACTATCGCTTTTGAGTACATCTTCATTATGATTATGAATCTTACAGTAGGTGTAAAGTAGCAGTTTTCTATCATGTATTCGGCCGAGTAGCACCCACCCCACCACTGCGCTATCAATTTCATTCCTCGTGTCGAGAGGGAACAATCCACCCTCGATATCAACACAGAAGTTCAAGTATTTTGGGGGTATTGTATATCCTCTCCCATTTCCTCCTAAATGCCGTCTCATCTCATAGATATACTCTCGTCGCGCCCCAACCCCATATAGTGACCATCTCTCTCGATCCGAGCAAGCCTATGCTGCGTAGAAGCATTTGTCAGTACATTTCCATAATAAGAGTGAAGTAATTGGGCTCGGCACCATAGGCTTATTTCCAGATCCACTGAGAGTGGATTTAGCCGGTGTCCCTCAGTTCGGGGTCTCTTTTAACCATGGGATCTCATCCCATGGTTCTCTCCAGCTATAAGTTGCAGCGGGTGGCTGCTCGGTGTCGCCCTGGTGAAGGATGTCGGATCCAGTTGATTCAGCATAGTCCTCTGTATTACCGGGAACCTCGACGTCCATCAACCAGAGGCGGATTCCATCAGAAGTAATGCCGGATGTGGGGCCAGATCTGCCGTTGATCACCCGACAACTCAATGGGTGATATGCAACCAACCTGGCATTAGAACTCTCGTCCCTCACTGGATTCACGGAATTTCCTGTGCGAGCTTCCATTGAGGTGGTATTATCGCGCTCGTTGCGCGCGGAATCAATGGCATTGCTTGGAGCAGTGTCATCTGGCGAGGAAGGATAATCCGCGCTGTTCACTGATGCGGTGGAATCGGATCGAATGGCGTGCCGACGAGAGAAAGACAGGGTCCAAAACAGGAGGAAGATGGGAGATATGGGGGTTTCAAAACTTGGACAGAGGGCTCAGAAAATTGCACGGCCATATTGAATAGAGTTGAGTGCTGATAACCACCTCGAAATACATTGGGATATAACTCGTCATAAAAGCGTTCAAACGTTGCTTCCATACATGTGTAGGCTTGCATTTCACAATAACGTTTCGATGATACAACTTATGTATGGTAAACACCCAGGCCATTTAGATCGGCCATTATGGATTATTTTCTCTACTTTCGAGTAAAGACGAAAGGAGTATGCAACAGTAAGTGCCTTCAAATAGTAAGAATGGTATTATGTATTACTAGGTAAGCATCAGATGAAGTACTAGTAGCTGCACATCTGCATGGTATGAAGACAAGTGTTGATCACTTGTACCCATATACGAGAAACTCCCCGCTAGATAAAATTCACTGGGAACTTGGATTAGTCAAATGTGCGGGGTATTATCAAATAATGAAACATACCGCCAGCAAACTTCTTGGGCTCTGGAAACTCGTTGAAAAGTTATGTCAGTTGAATGACCTGCAACAACCGACATCCAGGCCAACGTATCATCAGTAAACGTTCGGAAGGCCACTCTTGATTGGCGGTGATCCAGCCGTTTTGGATGGCCAATCAAGCTCGTACATGACGGATGAGCCCTGAGGCCCGGAGGGCCGGAATATGGGGTATGGGGATAAATAGGGCGGGGCGGCGGCATAAGTGGGTTTTGGGACGACGGGTGGTGGCATTTTCCGGCTCATTGGGAACGCCCGAATCGGCTAGGAGGGATTGTCATTCAAGAAGGCCAAACGAAGATGCGACGGGAGTTGTACTTTTAATACCACGATTTTGCTTGGAGGTTTAGCTTTAGCTGCCCTTTCCTCCAGCCGGTCGACCCAAAGCTTCAGTGTGAGCCAGCGGTGGAAAACACCGAACTTCGTATGGTAGGCCATCTCAATATCGGCCGGGGTTTTTCCTGCGTCTACCTGCTTCTTGAACCAGGCTGGGGCGTGTTGCTTCTCGTAGTCGGTGAAGTTATTCCGTGTTCGCTTTTGTCCTTTGCGTCGCTTTCCTGTGGTAGAAGATGGGGGCTGCGGTTTGATAGGTGTATCGACCTCTTCTTTCCACATTGGCAGTTCTTCACCAAGGTCGTTGGCTTGGATATTTGTTGGGGACGGGGCAGTCTCAATCTTTGGCTTTTTCAGAGGCGGTTGCATCAAGTCCGAGCTACCATGGAGCTGGTGTTTCGCTGACCCGTCTCCTTGGAATTCTTTGAACTGTTGTGTACCATCCCGGCTTTGTGCAACCTCGGGCTTTCTTTTGCCGAGGAGTCCAGAGACCGATACTCCCATTTCGTTATCAAATGGCTTCCGATTGCTGTCAGCGACGAGATTTGTGGGATTTGAATGCTCTTGTTGGCGTGGTTTGTCAAACACATCATCATGATCATCACTGTCACTGTCAAAAGATACTTCTTTTGAGACAGGGACGGTGAAAGGGATGTCGGATCCACTTGAGACACCCGAGCTTTCGGATGAACTGCGTGCACGGGTGAAGTGTGACTCGACAGAGATCGCGGGACGACGTGACTCGTTCGGGGTAGGGTGCTGGATACCGGGGGTTTGCGGCGTACGGGACCTTTTCATGGGGTCTCCAATACCTTGAAGCTTAGCTCGGCGTTTCTTCAGTGCCAGCTGAAGACGCTTCAGTTTCTCCACGTCTGTTCCCATTAGTATGTCTCTCACGACCTACGCGCGTAAAAAAAAAAAAAAAAAAGAAAAGAAAAGAACAAATTAAACCAAGACAAAAGAGAAATGGGAAGTACGAACATTTGATTTTTTTGTCAAGTTCTTCCAAGACGTCTGCCTCGATGGCCAAAGTGATTTTGGACTCCCTCTCGGCGTCAGAGGGACTTGGCCACTGGTAGGAGTTTGCCGGGAGGAAGCATCGGTTGAGAAGGATGCTTTTGTGAAGAGACTCATCAATCTGAACGAGGTTTCCTTGATCGTAACAGTAGTACGAGCCGTCACCTTGCTTTTCGAAACTGCCGTGTCGGAAAATGTTGACCCAGCTAATGGATGCATCGTTTTCACTTCTAGACGGCCCAGAGTCCGACGAAGAGGGAGAACAAATGCCCAATGTTTTCCTCAGACGTGTCTCGATCATGTAACTTTCAAGTGGCTCGTCTGAGAAATATTGGGTGAAAGTCTCATCGTTGTCAAGGACAGCTTGATAGGACTGCATTAACATGAGATCATCCTGTGGCAGGGATTCAAATTTTGGCAGCTGGGACCGGACACCCTCTCGATACGTCCCCCATTTGATGGGATGATTGGGACTACCATCCATTTTCAGATGGTTGTGCTGTTGGTAACGTTAGTTTTTAGTTAAGTGTTAGAGTTGGCTAGCTGGTCTCACGTAAGGCACTGTAAAAACTGTCACCTGTGCAGGCTTCTGTGGGTATGGAAGCGTGAACTGAAAAGTGAAAAAAGGTTGGAATGTCGAAAAATGAAAGACGCGAGCGTGGTGAATAAGAAAACACTAGAAATTATTTCCTAGACCTTCTCAAACCCCCTGTCGTAGAATGTGCCCAGGAGTGTTTGGATGAATCGTGTGTCTCGAAGGCAGTTGTCACAGACGTAATAAATACCAGTACTGACACGTAATTTTCAACACACTTCACACTATCAACGAAAGCTAGTCGAGTTCACTTCAAGTGAATTTATGTAAAATATATGGCTTCTAAGCCTAGATATTATAGGAAGTTAAATAGTTCTCCTAATTGACGAGGGGAAAATTTCGACACAATTTTCTGGTTTGCGGACACTATTAATTGAGACCAACAAGCGAGGCCCACACTTTATTGGGGAACCAGGCGTATAAAGTCCACTGCAGTCCTCAATCACACCTTAACTTGGTCGTTTGTGGGGGTTGTTCGACCTATAAAGGGATTCCTACAAACGCCGTGAGTGACAGCTTTAACCTTCCCCTGCTGTATATCAAGACTCGATTACTCGCCGACATGCGCCCGGCCTCGGGAGTCTACGTACATATCCAACAGCGCTTTCACCGCTATGTATGATTCATTGGTAGATTAGTCTTACCCAGATACTGGTGTTTCAATTAATCCGGCCCCAATTATATGATTGGTGTACATTAATATAATTTGAAAGTCATTAGACTCGAAAGGATAGGGAAACCAGCAAAATATAGTGTAGTCTCAACAAATGATGTTAAAAACATAAATATACTCCAACTTTACATTCAATGATGATTTGGTTTTCAACACTTGCCCGCAGAGTTTTCAGAAGGCACCTATGTACTCTCTAAGGAAATGGAAACTACAAATCGTTACCTTATATGTACCCATCCTCATATCCACGACATATTAATTACATAATTACACTATAACTTAGGTGAAAATAATGTAAAAGACTGAAATTATTGCGTATCTTTCTTAGACTATGGCTTTTCAACTTTCTTTAAACACATTCAAAGGATAAAAATACTAGCAAACATGGGAAAGATTGAACAGGTCACTTTCCCCCTTTCAAGGATGGACAACACCGAGGATGATGGTGGCGGCCGGAAGCCCGCGTTAGGCAAAAAATTTGCCGTCGATAGTATATTAACCAGCCTTTTCATAAATTACATTTATTACAGACCTCGCAAGCGAGAGTCCAACTTTTCTTTTAGTACATTTTTACATTGATCACCTACCACTTTACAAACCATACCTAATACGAATAGAGATATAGAGCAGCAGCTTTAACGGGAAACTGACTCTCTATCCGATCAATCCAAGCCTAATATTCGGCCGAGTAACTCTTGTAGTATTACGACTTAAATTTTCAACCTTACTATCCACCTAATATAAGATATAGAAATTTTAGAGGCGTCCCTAAAACTTAGCTTTAAATTTTTATAAAAGCACTAGAATAGTAGAATTTTAGTAGTACAATTAAAATAAAGGGTTGTAATATAATATTGTTAAGAAAAAGAATCATTATATAAGTACCTTTTGTATGGTTTGCCTAGTAAAAGGTACAGTGCCGTTTGGGTGGCATACCTGTGGCGGACCGTATTTTTTGAAAGGTTTTTTTACAGTGGTCGATTAATAAGTGGCCTACAGGTTAGTTCTCACAGGGCATTGAATATGCAGTAATCATAGAGATAGCGACCAAGGCTGGGGTAAGAATTTAAACCACAAACCTCCTATATAAGTGCCCCTATATAAAGGACCAAATCGAAAAGTGGAACCATAATACAAAACCATCACGTGATCGTTAAAATCAATCGAGGCGAAAAGCCTCAAAACAACCCCATCCAATTACGCCAAACATCCCTCAAGCGACGCTTGCCAAAATCAAGATGTGGATCAACTGCGGGAAACTCTCCGACTTTACGCAGGCGCGATACGTGGTCCGTCTGACCACAAACAAGAAAGTGGTCTTATTCCGGCTTCCGACGATCGACAAATCAAGCTTGAAATCAAACGAGACCAATGATGGCTGGTCGTATTACGCCATGGAGGCAGAATGCCCACATGCCGGCGGTCCGATGGCCGACTCCTCAGTTGATATCGAGGACTCGGCATATGTCGTGTCATGCCCGTGGCACGCATACGATTTCAACGTAGAGACCGGTGAATCGAGCGTCGGTATCAAGGCCTGCACGTTCCCCGTGGATGTCCGCGGCGAGTTTGTTGCGCTGGATTTCCCCGTTGAGGATGGGGTTAGCGTGGGTCTTGCTAGTGTTGACCCTGTTAGTGAGAAGGTTAAACTCAAGCACCCGCGACCTGCGGAGAAGGCTGCTGCCGCCACCACCACCACCACCACCACTACTGCTCCTTCTGTTTCTGAATCTTCCTCTGCGGGTCGAGAGGATCCCGGCATAGCGACTTATCTCGGCGAGGACGCGACGCTATGTGACTGGGCCGCGCACGTTCTCAATACCGCCAATCCAGAGCACAAGATCGAGCTGACTACACATCTTTTCTCTATTTTCGCTGCTAGAGAGACTTCCGATTCACCCATGCCGCTTGGCAGGGGCACTGTCGCCCCGCCTGACCAGCCGCCACGCGAGAAAATGGAAACCGTTGACCCGGGCCACATGCCGAAGGCAGGACGAGGCGGGACCTTGAAGAGCCGCATTGCCATGCTCCATGCGCTGGCCAATATCGAACTCTGGGCCATTGATCTGGCTATTGATATCTGCATCCGCTTCGCGACGTTCCAAACAGAAGGCACGTCCCAGGAACTTCCACGCGCATTCTTCTATGACTGGTTGAAGGTCGCGAATGACGAGGCTAAACACTTCTCCCTCCTCCGTACTAGACTAGAGGAGATGGGATCTAGCTTTGGTTCGCTTCCAGTTCACCACAGTTTGTGGCTATCGGCAACTGAAACTGCATACGACCTCCGAGCGAGAATTAGTATTATCGCCCTGGTACACGAAGCACGGGGGTTGGATGTCAACCCCATGACGATTGAGAAGTTCCGCAAATCTGGTGATGGTGAGAGTGTGGCGACGCTGGAGATTATTCACAACGATGAAATTACACATGTTACTACTGGTCACCGGTGGTTGACGTGGATCTGTGCCCAGGAGGGAACTGATCCTGTTCAGGTTTTCCGGTCGAATGTGCAGAAGCATTTCAAGGGTCCGATTCGGGGTCCATTTAACGAAGAAGCACGCTTGCAGGCTGGAATGGACAAGCGCTATTATGAGAACTCGTGTGTTCCTAGTGCGGGAATTGCAGCTTCATGACCCGGGACGTGGTGATGAAAGAAAAGGGAAACGCTTTACGTTGAAACATGATGTCACGCGGTTGATCAGCGATTTGATCTGCTAGTGTATTTTTTTTTTTTTTTTTTAATATCCCAATCTTGAACTAGCAGAATGTACATAGAAAGAAAGTAAGCATTTCATATTCATTATTTCGCTGAAATCGCTATTAACAGTAAACATTAGGAGGTCCTGACTCCCGAACCATCGATCATTAAGTGCCATTAAAAGAGCCAAATCATCCAAGCGACCGTGGGGAATATCTAAACGTATTCAGCCTTCAGCTGGACCTTGGAGCAGCTGGAGGGGATGGTGGGGGTGTAGTATCGGTTCAAGTAGAACAGCTGGGGCGCATTGTGATACCAATCACAGACTATTTTGGAGATGTTAATGCCATGGTCTTAAAAATGAGGAGAAAGGACAAAGACGGGGGTTTTCTTACCCAGCCAGCCACCAAAGCCGTTGCTTTCCGACCATTGGAAGTTGTCGCCCTTGATGGAGTATCCCGTGCTGCCGCCGCTGCCGGCGTTGATAACCATTGGTTCCCAGGCTAAAGAGAAAGAAAATATCAGGTTAGTCTAGACTGCAATGTGACAGGGAAGATTTTTCCAATGTAGCTAGCGATACTCACAACCATAGTTGGTGTTTCCGGTGGCGATTAGTCCCCAAGAGAATTCAGACTTCAAATCAGCGAGTGCATTCGTTCCATTCAGATAGAAAGGACTGGCTGTGCTGGCGTCCTTGGTAAGAACGGCGTCGTTGAGACCTGCGCCCGTGTGGTAGGCGTAGACATATAGGTCATTGTGATCCGCATTGGTGGCGCCAGTAGACTTGAGGTGGAAGTTTTTGGACTGTCTGGTAGTGAGAGGAGCTGCGATGGCAGAAGTAGCCAGCAGAAGAAGTGATGCGAGGAACTTCATTTTGGGGGTTTTTGAAGTGAAGGTTTTTTTTGGTGAGAGGAAGGGTTGACGGGATGTGAGAAGTTAAAAAGGTAAAGGGAAGGAGGCTGGAGGTTGGGTTGGAGATATAGGAGGCTGGGGTTTGAAAAGAAATAACAAGAACATCCAGAGGGGGAGGTGGTGATATTTATGTGCATGGAACTTGTTTACGGACTTTTAGATGTGGAGATATACACTATCATAGCATGTCTTGTCTATTCTATAGATGATTTTCTGAATTACTTGCTCTTTTGGAAATTAATAGTGAACTCCATTTCTGTATAGACCCTCCACTCAGGAGTTCACATTCTAAAAGACCGGGCAAAGAAACACCCACCAAGATATGATCAGCCTATTTACCCTATTGATCGCTGGAGGTCATGATGTCAACGGAACAAGTGATGTGTTGGAGTGGCGAAAATCTTACTCCATCAAGCCTAAGTGGGACTGGGGTTGCGAGGGAACTAAACAGAACTAGAGAATTGGAGGGGAAGTGAGACATTGACATTTTTATTCGGCTTTGGGCATCTATGAGAAGAATTACCATGTTTATTATCTTCTTCGAATCTCAGCAAACGAACAAGCTATTTCCATCATATCATATGACAGTAAAAGATGATAGACTGAGACAAAGAGGAGGATTTACTGTAAGCTGCCGATGGTGGAGACGTTTTCCGAGTCCGCCTGTCTTCTTCAGGAAGTCGAAGTCTCTACGCCTTGAAGTAATATGGCCGACTATTTAAAGGTTAACAAACTAGTTCCACCAAGACAATGGTGTTATAGCTTATTTATTTGAAGCCTTAGACATCGTACCAATGTACTAGATCTTATGTCTCCAATTGAAGTTTATGCCTTAAGATGCGTTGATTTTCCCTGGCGCGACCAGGGGTTTTCAGATTAATTAGATCGGGTACATCACAATTACCTCTACGGAGTACTTTGTAGAGTAACTAGATTAAACAACCTAGATTGTAGGAAGCATGATCGTGGATCTACAATACTCCTTCTATCAAGTTCGATCATTTCCCGTGAATGCTAACGGTATCAACGTTGTTTATTTCCGACATTCTTAGATAATCTCTCTTAAACCAATTCTACTTAATATGTAACAATTCAATGACCAGAAAAGCACTCCAACGTTATTAACAATATCTTCGTCTGGTGCAGCTGGCACTCTATCAGCCTAAAACTTGAAGTGATCACATCGCTTGAAATGTTTTAGAATGGCGAACAATATCTCCATGAGAGAATAACTGATAACTCTCCAAGAAGTCTTAAAATTGCACAAGCTCCTCGAAGACAACTACAAACGAAAGCGCGCCCCACCAAAACAAACGCCCCAAGACTTCCGCAAGGTTATCAATCTGCTTGGCGCAGCGGAGGCTGGGATCACCCCCCGACATCGGCTACGGGCAATATCTCATACAGTTGCGATGTTTCTCTTCAAGCCTGGAGTACTATGCGACGTCCAACAATGTTTTTAAAACTCGTGGCGTTGCTCCTGGTGACATGCGAGTCACTGGCTGATATCCCTCCGCTGTATCGGTCGCGACCATATGACCTTGGAGCATTCGACCGATGGCCTCACCAGCTGTACCACTCATCCAACGCGATTGGACCTATCCTGAATATTCACGAGGAAAGTGGACAGTGCTATAATGAGAGCATTTACACCGTTGTGCCCTACTGGGGAAAGCAAGTGAACATTCCGGGAGTAATGCTTCTCGATACAAAAGGGTATCTCGTCTGGCACTCGACCGGGTATGTCACAGCAGACGTACAATCCTTTCGAGGAGAGGACTATATTGTCTCCCTTTCTATAGATTCAAGCTATTATGCATTGGTAAGTCGTCGATTGGCGTCACATTGGGAATGGTTCTAATCTCTTTTAGATAAACTCCCGCTACGAGGAAGTTTACCAAATCCGTTCAGGAAACGGATGGCAGCTCGATGCCCATGAGCTAACCTTGAGCCCCTCAGGGACAGCACTGCTGGTTATCAATGGTGTCTTCGCGGTGAACCAAACGACGTTCGAGGCACCACCGGAAGTCGATTTTATTCTGGATGCAGGGTTCCAGGAGATCGAGGTCCAGACAGGAGAGGTATTATTCGAGTGGCGAGCATCAGACCATTATACCTTTGAGGAGTATTATCATTTCCAGCCGGGCGATGGGAAAAGCGAAAACACCGCGCCGGATTTATTCCATGTCAACAGCATCGAGAAAGACGATCTTGGCAATTACCTCATCTCCTGTCGAATGATGAGCTCCATTGTCTATGTGGATGGTCGAACCGGTGCCGTGATCTGGAAGTTAGGAGGAAAAGGGAATATGTTCAAAGACCTATCTGGTGGCGCGATAGATTTCAATGGTCAGCACCATGCCCGGTTCCACGAAAATGGTCGGATTGTTTCAATCTTTGACAACGGGAACTGCCCCGGCCGTCCAGTAACAGGTCCAACCCGGGGTCTGACGGTGGTTCTGGATACAGAGAAGATGACTGTGCAGTTGCAGCATGAATATATCAGCCCGAACAGTGTTCTCACGGACAACAGTGGATCGATGCAGATTCTGGATAGCGGCAATGTGGTTCTAGGCTTTGGCCCGAACGCGAACTGGGCTGAATACGCATCGAATGGATCTCTGCTCTGTAATGTTCATATGGGTCCCGAGACATTCTTCAACAGCGGGGAGATTCGCAGCTACCGGATCTCGAAGAGTGCTTGGGTTGGTCATCCTCAGACCATGCCGGAGATTTCTGTGGATGATGGACGAGTGTATGTGAGCTGGAATGGAGCCACGGAAGTGGCTATGTGGTCTCTGAATGGGATTGATATTGAGGGTGTCGGGGGAGAATCAGTCATCTTGGGGAGATTTCCTAAAGACGGCTTTGAGACGGAGATACCTGTTCCTACCAGCCCGACGGGTCGGTATTTCTTTGTCAGTGCTCTGAATAGAGCCGGTCAGGTTCTTGGGTCAACTTCTATGGTGCAGTGGCCTTCTAAACCTAGACAAGGTATTGTATACCAGGGTGTTTGAAGTTCTAGCATAGAAAATGCCACCCTTCACATCCATGGAGGTAACTGTCATGGCAACTCCCGGATATTGAGGCCAGATGTCACTTTGTCTGTATTTTGTTCATTCTTCGTATAGAGTACTTGTTTTATCCTCTATTTTTAGACCTTTGAAATGCTGTACCTAGGTGCGCTAGTTAGTTAACTGACCTTCTGCACCTTTAGGAAATGTAAATCATCATAAATCCTATTCGATAAACGTTACGAATTACTTTCTATAAATTCCTATAATTAAAACAGTACATGCACCTATTATAAATTAGCTTGATTTTTCTCCGCCAAGTGTGAAGTTGCTGGGATGTTCAGGGGGTTTCCCCCTGAATCTAATTGGAATGATGTACACAGTATATAGTACGGAATACCACAAATCAATGATTCATTGATAGCGAAACCTTCCAACTACTGTCGGATGTCAACGGATAGCTTGATCTATAATTCAATATACATACGATCGAATGTTAGAAACGTTTAAAATGTTGTTTTGATCGATTCACATAACTTCTAGGACCCACAGTTGAATCCCGAAATCTCTTCGCGCCCCCTGACGCGTTGTCTGATTAGGAGATTATCCAGCCTAGCCTACTCGTTAGGCATCGATCATTCTACAACATACAACTGTTGTAAGTTTTATAAATCCTGAAATTCTGGAAATTATCTAATTTTGGTACAAGACATCCTTGGATAACAGGTTAGTACCCACATATGTACCTGTTCGATTACATTTGACATTAGACATTGACAAGACTAGCACTGCTTTTCCGTACTAAGGCATCATGGATCCCTCTACATATACAGATCCTGAGCTCACTTACCAAGATCGGTTGGTGATCGATGCTATCGTTGAGCCTCAATCCAGTTCAAATGGTAACCGCCCCTGCATTGTCGATCAGATCAATAAACTAACAAAAATCCAGATAAAACAAGTGCACAGTCATTGGACAAGCTGAGCACGGAAGAAACAATCCAAAAGCTTCACAATCTCAACGATCCTTCTCATGTAGAATTTGATCCCACCATCTCCCAATTCTGGGATACCCCGCTGCTGCGGGCCAAGTTACCCGCCCCTATCCAGAAGTACGTGCTCACGCCATACATCAACTGGGCAAAGGGCATCGCGCGATACCAGACCGATGTGGTCATGGTAACGCACCTTATTCTCTACTTCACCACTATTGTCCCAAGTGCTGCATTCCTATATTACCGATTTTCGTACCTCCACGGTGCCTTGCACTGGCTCATGCAAGGCTTCTATTGCGGCGCTTTCACCCTGATGAAGCACCAACACATCCATATGAATGGAGTCTTGAACTCAAAATTATATCTATTCGACACGCTTTTCCCGTACCTGCTGGACCCCATGCACGGACACACATGGAACTCTTACTATTACCACCACATCAAGCACCACCACGTTGAGGGTAACGGCGGAGACGATCTGAGCACAACAATGTACTACGACCGCGACAGCGTCCCTGACTTCCTAACCTATGTGGGTCGGTTTATCCTTTTCATTTGGCTGGAACTCCCACTGTACTTCTGGAGAAAGGGCCAGTTCAAGTATGCAGTCAGATGCGCCTTCTGGGAGGTAGGTAGTTACGTTGCTATTTATATGCTCTACAACTACGTCAATGCGCGCGCTACGACGTTCGTGTTTATTCTTCCGCTCAGTGTCATGCGCCTGGGCTTGATGGTCGGTAACTGGGGACAGCATGCTTTCGTTGATCCCGCCGATCCTGATTCCGATTACCTATCCAGTATCACGCTCATTGATGTCCCGGTGAGTTTCCACCAGCCTGTTTTAACATGTAAGAACTGAGACTGACAAATATCAGAGTAACCGATTCTCTTTCAATGACGGCTACCACACTTCTCACCACTTGAACCCGCGTCGTCACTGGAGAGATCACCCTGTCGCTTTCCTTAAGCAGAAGGACCTCTATGCTAAGGAAGATGCTCTGGTCTTCCGAAACGTTGATTACATGTTCATTACTGTGAATCTACTTCGGAAGAACTACGAGTTCCTGGCTAAATGTATGATCCCCATCGGTGATCAAGTTAACTGGACCATGGAGGAACGAATGGAGGTGCTGCGTCGTCGGACGCGAAAGTTCCCCAAACCGTCCACGAAAAAGAGTGAATAAAAGGTGTTGCCTTTGAAATCTTATGCCCGATAGACAAGCCTGTTCTACGTTCTTGATTTATTTGTATCTAGAAATTTCGCACTGAAATGTATATTTTACCAAGAGGTATTAAGTTGTAATTTATCTCATTTACATGTGTTTTGTGATGGCCGGCTCGGTGGTGAAATACTTATAGAGAATAAGGCACACGAAATAAGGAAGGAAGATTGACATTGTAGAGAATGAGCTCGTCTTGGATTCGCCCATGGAGGACTATTAACCGGCCCCAGCACCAACCACGTTGAGGTGCGAGCTCGTCACCAGGGTTCTACCTACTCTATCTACTCTGTATATACATGAAGAATCGAATAACAAATGCCAGCCGCCCCCCCCACATCGTCGTCGTCGAAAGTCTGAACCCCTGCTGGGTAGCTTTCACTTCTGTCGCTTCAAAAGGCGAAGGGAAGCTGGCGAAGGAGTCAGGTCCATCTTCCGCTTACTAGGCACACCGTCAAATGGGCCGGACCTTGTCGACTCTCGCGTGCGACGAGGTGTATCTTGTCCACGGTGTCCTCCTTCTCGACCCAAAAGATCCAGCTCGTCCTGGAACAAGCCTGTTTTTTCTAGCGCTCGTGTGAATTCTTCCTTCTCCTTGGCGTTTTTAGGCGGGCTGGCGATGAAACGAGATGCATCCTGGACCGGCGATTTCGAAGTCTCTGGGGAAGACTTCCCGCGCCGTGCTCTTTTTGATCGCAGAATCGGCATCGAGTTGTCGGTTTGTAAGTTATTAGTTATTAGACGAAAGTCATTGCCTATTCTTAGCTGTTTTCCTAGCCACGGGGCCGGCTTATCAAAGCATGCCATAAATTGCCCGTTAGGAATGTCGTTGAGACGACAGGAAGCTCTGTGGCAGATAAGATTGCGTTTCGCATATCCAAATATTGCCTTTTTGGCCACGGTTGACCGAGGGGATCGCATCACTGAATATAGAACCTTGTGACCACGCGGGCCACGCTGCAAGCCCACAATAACACCTTCGGAGCTATTTTACGATACATTAGCCTCTGTGCATATATAGGCAAGGATCCGCCAATATAGTTTCCATGAGAATCATGGTTTACTACTTACGGGGTATTCTCCGGGTTCCCTTGTTTGGAGGTTGCCCTCCTCCAAACAAGATAACTGGCCCATCGATCGGGGGTGGAGAATTGGACTCCTTAGCAGAGGCAGCTTTGTCTGTAGAGATGTTACAATTAGGGTCAACGGGAACGGAGGGGGGCATACCTTGCGTCTGATTGAGGCCTCTTCTCGCTCGCCCTGGAAACCCAGTCAGTAATGGATGAATATATGGAATACGATAATTCAACTCACTGCGAGGAATTTACCATTTTGCCACAACAACGGAAGGCCCTTTATATATATATATATATATATATATAAAGGAATGTCGAAGGAATTTACTGAAACGGAGCAGTAATACTGAAGCAGTTGGGAGGAAAAAGAAGAGAAATCAGACAGCAGAATCAAGAAAGTATTTATACGGCAGACAAGGTAGGAACTATTGTAACTAGTTACCTGTTGGGATCATATCATATGACCTTGTTTGTCAGGACTGTCTGTCACATGTCAACTACCAGATAGTCTCCTCTCTCTCCTCTCCTCTTCTTTTCCCCTTTCCATCAACCATCATCATCCAACGGTGATGATCAGCAGTTAGCACTAATACCATTTGCATTGCTGATCTCTCTTCTCCTGACTCGCTGTCAGTATCTTCCCTCGGCCATGTTGATGCCTTCGGTCTCCCGCTCCACCGGGAAATGTCTGATTTCATCAGCTACAGTAACGATAGGTTACCCAGGTACCCAAGGTGGTGGACTTGGAAGGTGCCCCTGGTAGGTAAGAGCAAGAGCTGAACAAGGACTGAACAAGCAGTGAACAAGAAGTGAACAAGGACTGAACAAGGACTGAACAAGGACTGAACAAGGACTGAACAAGGTCCAGCCAGACCCAAGGTTCAACCACGAGCTTTTTAACTGCAACAACTTTAATATACGCCATTGGAGCTGGAATTACCGCGGTTGCTGGCACCAGACTTGCCCTCCAATTGTCCCTCGTTAAGGGATTTAAATTGTTCCCATTCCAATTACGAGACCCAAAAGAGCCCTGCCTTCCTTGGATGTGGTAGCCGTTTCTCAGGCTCCCTCTCCTGAATCGAACCCTAATTCCCACCACCATGGTAGGCCACTATCCTACCATCGAAAGCTGATAGGGAAGAAATTTGAATAAACCATCGCCGGCCCAAGGCCATGCGATTGGTTAACTTATTATGATTCACCAAGGAGCCCCGAAGGGCGTTGGCTTTTTATCTAATGAATACACCCCTTCCTGAAGTCAGGGTTTTTAGCATGTATTAGCTCTAGAATTACCACAGGTATCCATGTAGTAAGGTGCTATCAAATAAACGATAACTGATTTAATGAGCCATTCGCAGTTTCACAGTACAAGTTGCTTATACTTAGATATATTGCTCGTCTGTTTCTATTACTCGAATTTCGTCTGTAAGGGAAACAATCTTGTCTTCAATTGCCATAGAACTCAGGGGTTCCATCTGGAGTTCTCTTCTGAGGTCGTCATCTGGGTTCAATCCCATTTTCGCGCCACTTCCGCACACTTGTGACGAGGTCGGGGCGCAGACCATTCTCACTAGGTCCACGCAGTGGAAACAGGTGAGGCCCAAGGACTTGTAGTCAGATTGACCCGGTAGCTTAAGCTCTATAAACCCGCCGAACGTTTCTGAACCATGCTTGCCTCTCGGTGCCAGACTTTGACTGATCATGGACGGTTGGTGGAGAGCACGTCGGTCAAGCTGTTCGTCATCGATAGCTGAGGCTCCCCGAGTAAAGTCCCCATAGACAAACTCGACTGCCACACTTGACAGGCAAATTGTGTCGAGGAGTGCTCTGATCTGGGCAGTCGAGGTGTATATATGGCTTGGGGGGTTCGAGGGACTGAACAAGGATTAAACAAGAAGTGAACAAGGACTGAATAAGAAGTGAACAGCAAGTGACCTCTGTTAGACGTTGTGGTCTAGAAAGTAGGAGGGAGAGAGCAGCTGGCCTACCTTAGTAGCCCTTGTGTCATGTCATGCACTATATATATCGGAGCCTGGTCTATCTGAGCGTAATGCTCAGATATAGTGGTCTTTTGGCCGAGTTTGTAACTCGCCAGTCCAGGGGCAGGTTGTGACCTTGCCTGTAGATCACGAGATACAACCTTCTTTGATTTCCCTTTGCCACACGGCTCACAATCATAGTGCTCTGCTCCGACGTCACAGCCAAGCTTCTCCTTGTTAATCCGGCCTTTATAGCTTCCTACATGGCCTAGACGGGCGGTAGGCAAGCGCTGCCGAGATCGTTACATAAGCACTGCCAACAACTGGCTTTGGCTTAGGATAGGTACCTGGGCTAAGATGAAGCCAACTGGCGAAAAAGATCTAGAATTAGGAAGTGAAACTTTTCTTCTCTGGAAGGGGTCAAGAAGCTAGAAACTAGAAGCTGGAAGGCTAGTCCTTGTACTAGGCAATCACAGAAGTTTTGACGACTATGTATCCAAAAATATGAAGTTATCAAGATTCCAACGTTGTAAATGGGTTCCAGGTTGATTAGTGAGCAGGGTGACTCACGAAAAAGCCACAGCCCAAGAGCCGTATGAAACCCTTCACCAATATCTCGAAGAGATCCTAATAATCAACAATTAGAATCCCAAACTGACAAAATGGCGTTGGAATTTACTCTTCCGACAGCTTTGATCCTGATAGACAACCAATCAGGCTTCTCCGATCCAAAGACAATATCCCATTGGGGCGACACACGATCCAACCCGAATTATGAAACCAACCTTCAAGCATTTCTCTCCGCATTCCGAGTTGCAAGATCCTCATCTTCAACCCTGCTGGAGGTGATCCACGTTTTTCACTCCTCCACAACCCCGGAATCTCCGTTCCACCCCTCCAACCCTAGACAGGGTATCCGTCCTCTAGACTTCGCCACCCCTGCCTCAGATGGATCAGAGCCTGTCTTTTGGAAAAGTGTCAACTCCTCTTTTATCGGTACTGGGCTTGAAGCGCATTTGCGGGAAAAGGGATTCCGTCAGCTTATCATTGCTGGGTTGACGACTGATCATTGTGTTTCAACTACTGTACGAATGGCCGCTAATCTTGGGGTTGTGGATCGGTATCTTGGAGATGGACCTGTCCGGCTGAGATTGGATGGGACTCATGAGAATGATCCAAAAGTCGATAAAGGGCGTATTGTGCTTGTCGGCGATGCCACGGCTACCTTTGGGAAGGCTGGAATTGATGCAGAGACTATTCAGAAGGTTTCTGTCGCTAGCCTCGATGGTGAATTTGCGGATGTATTTGCCACAAACGAGGTTATTGAGGCTTTGGGCAAGATTCAAAACTAGCAGGATAGTGTCTAAGAATATATTGGTCTTCATTCCGAGTAGTTGAATTCACGTGAGACTATATCTCCTTCACATAAACCTTAGGCTATCTCGATCGTGAAATTGGAAACGAATGCCATGACAATTTAAGATACCCAAACCGATGCTCACATCTACTCATAACCCGTGCAGGTCAATCAACTCGTTGGGATAGGTTTTTGATTCTATAATGAATAGCATGTAGGAGCGGGCCGTAACATAACCAGTTGGAGAAGGCCGAATCAGACGGCCGTCAGGAATAGCAGTAATTGAAGCTTTGCCAAGAGTAGTCTTTGACTGGAAGTCTCGACAGCCGGGGAACCACTGGTGACTAAGATTGCCCGCCTTCATGCACAAACTGCGCAGAAGAAGAAGGCAAATTAATTGAACATCACCCTCGATGTTGATTTGCTCCCTCTTTTCAGGAACAGTGGCAGATTCACCCGAAAACTCTTGGACGTGGCGCGCGAAGCCACCTGATTCACCAGACGTCTCTTAGGAATGCATATTGCGTTTGGAATTGGGAGATTCGGCGTCGGAATCGAGGCTCATAGAGTCGAGATCGCTAGTCGGGTCTTTAGCTTCGCCCTTGTCGTCGTCTTACAATGGAGCTCTGACAGTTCCGGAACCCGCCTAGTCAGGGCTAGCATGCAAGGGCGCGTCAGCAGTATCCGAAACTTCGACTTCTAGGCGGGTCCTAGGTCTGAGATCACGATTATTGTTAGGCTCAATCCGTCTCTCATCGTAATAGCGAATCGAGAGTTAAACACTACGGGTAGCTGAAAATGGTCCAAGGTTCGATATATCGAAATCCCTATTCTTAGGCTTAGTTCCACCATGTTCCCGGATGTGATCGCAGTATTGCTCGAAGTGATGATACCACTTGGTGCACTTCATGGCTCTCTTTTTGATATCTGGGTCAAGTCCGAGAGTTTGACCATCGGAATCTAGTTCTAGCAGACTCTTCACGGGTTCATGCTTCCAAAGAATTCTCGTTGTCAGAAAATAGCTCTTTTGGACTTTCGACCCAGAGCCGTATCCACCGAGCTGCCGAAGAGAGTAATCGAATGTAGGTTGACCTTAAGGGTATCCGGAGTAGGCCGATTGGCCCTTTGGCCATACTCCTACTGCAACATTGGTTTCCTTTGCATGTATTTCCCACTAGTGAGTTGTTGAGGGAAGTTTGACAAGGATTGACCACAATGCCGGAGGAATTGCTGTTATCCAGTATGATTAGAGTTGGAACTCAGCAGGTCATCAGTGGGAACTTACTTAGACTCTTGCTAAGACACGTAGGATGTAGGTGTGACTTACAAAGTATGAAAAAACCGTGAAAACCGTGAAAACCGTCAAAACCATTAGTGTAATTGTCCCAGCGAGAGAAAGTGGACCGGGTCGTACCTACAAGGCCGAGAGCAGCGGACAGAACCACAGAAAAATCGACAAATGAAAATGTCATCTTGATGAAGTTCCAAGGTTGTGATGATTGGAGAACTTGACTGAAGTCAGGTAGGACTAACGGAATAGGAACGTTTCTGGCAGTCATCTGGGGGAAGGCGCCCTTGGGGTGGAACTAGGCAAGAGAAAGGCTCAGTCTGTAGCAAACAAGCAAACAAGCAAGCATACTTGGGATGATGCTCCAACACAAGCGACTATAGATCAATATACCAATATATATGTGTGAGATTCTCCAAAGTAGCAAGGTCAGTCGGCATACTTCTTTATATATTGCTCTTACTATGTTCTGACGTCCTGAAAGTGGTGCTCAAAGACACTTGCTTCTTACTTTGGAATCGGCCTTTCTTCACCTCACTCTGAGCTTACTCTCACTTACCTCTTACTATGTATTTTAGCCTTCTTCACTCTCACTTTCACCTCGTTTTCAGGCCGATGCCCTATAGTGAGTCGGAGTATACAGGGTCCTATTTTACTGTAGTATCTTTGTTCTTATGTATAAATTATATCATTTATTGAATAGGCACACAGGCAAGAGCCACCCGCTACCCAATACAGCGTCCGAAGAGCTCCAGGCATGAAGAGTAAGCTTTATAGGTTGGAATCAGTCTAATTTAGGATTGCTTCTTGTTGACAAACGGAGCAAATCCAAGGGTATAACCCAGCCATTATCTTATTTAGGCATAGTAGATATAGTCCTGGAAGTCGGAGCAGACCCAGAAATTGACCAAGGGACAACATAAAAGAGCCCCCGTTGACTGCACCTTCTCTTTTCCCCCTTCCCTCTTCATCATCTCAATCCCCAGGTGACTTCACAATGTGCGCTCCTCTCTGGGTCTGGCTCTTTGGACAAAAGGAGCACAGTCTCCGGAAGCTCTACAGAGAGCTCCGTCACATGCTGCCTGGTTATATCTCAAACCAGCGTGCCGATATTGACCTCCACCCGATGGATTTCTGGACAGGGGACACCGATCCTTCCCTTGTCCAATTCTTCACACCCGACACAGACACCAACTTCAAAATCGCCAACACTGCACTCGACCCCGAGGACCCCGTGGATGACCCCTTCACGTGGGTTCGGGTGATGAAGCACACTCAAGACTTCATCCCCCAAGAGATGCACCATCAACTCCATCAGGCATTTTTGAAGTACCTCCGCAAATCCCCTGGGGGCAGCAACCCCCCCCATCTTCTGGCAACCGGTCCCGTGAGTATAAATACCCAATAGAAGAAACCTCCTAAAGGCTAACTTTGGATAAATGTAGTATGTATGGAGAAGACCATAGTCTCTTCAACAGCAACGACCGGCACGGCTTCACCATTCAAATGGGAGCCGTAAGCGCCGATGCAAAGTCCGCTCACCAGCTCGTCGTCATGAAGAGCAACAACTGCTACCATGACACCCACCCGTCAGTTGGAGAGCTCGTAGCACTTGTTCGATGGATGCTTAGTGGAATCAAAAGTCACAAGCACCAGGTCGGCAGGTACCACCGACATGAGCGTCCCCAACTTGACTTCCCGGTAAATCCTGTCACCCTAAATTACTTCCCAGGCCATGATTGACTGACTCTTATGTAGACAATGGTCATTTCCTTCCTCCCTGATGCTCGAGTTCGAGTTTTGCATGGGTATTTCGACAGCGGCCGACTCAAAGTGGCCTATACCCAGGCACTCAACTTCGATGCGGAGGACTACGCTGACAAGATGGATGTCCTACTTCAATGGGCGTGGCCCCTCATTAATGGGGACACCACCAAGCCCATCCCCCTTCCCACGATCGAGGATGATGAAGAAGACGAGTGGGACGAGTGGGAGAAGTGGGAGCTCCGATATAGGGAGGACAGCGAAGACGAGTTTCTGGGGGGTGAATTAGAGGGGGGTGAATTAGAGGGGGGTGAATCAGATGAGGGTGACAGCACTGAGGTAGAACAAGACCTCAGTGACTGTGAGTCGGAATCCGAAGAGGATGAGAGCCCCATCAGGGGGAGGGACGATGAATAGAGGGGTGGGGAGTTCGTGATGTCTGCGGACATCAAAAGAGAAATCATACAGAAGCTGGGGGAGAAGATGAAGATGCGAGAGTTGACCGGAGCTTAAAGGCGAGGGGGCTAGGACTCAGAGGCACCCTGGGACCTAGTCTATCCTTGTCCATGGGCAAAGGCAACTGTTTTTCATGTAGTGGCAACCCGCCACACAGTTCTGTATTTGTTCATTTATTCTGTTCATATACAAATGCACAGATGATGAGAGAGACAATCCGTCAGTCCATGTTCTTGTAGTCTGACTTGTAGAATTGTACCTAGGCAATATCTGTAGGCCACACACAAGTGAGAAGAAATAGAAATGGAAATGTAGATCAAAGGAAATAAAACTTAGGCCAAACAAAACGAGTGATAGTAAACCATCGCTTAATTTTGTTCATATCAGTGACAGGAAGCGGGCCTCTTCTGTAATGCTATCAACCATGATAACCTGAAATAGAACTGGAGGTATTTCAAGAGATCTCGAATATCTGGTCTGCCTCCCATAGGCTCAGCTGTTCAAACTGAAATATTGGCCCCATCCCTGGAATTATATGGACTGGTATCAAATTTCACTTTCTTCGAGAACTGCGACTGCTAGCTGCCCAGGTGGCTTTTGTTCTTCTCTGCACTTCATGCGGGCTTCTAGGCCCATATATTTTACCATGGGTGTCCGATATGAGGATTGGAATGAAAACAGGTCGAAGTAAATAGTGAGGGAGGAACCGCCCAAGGAGCCTCCTTCGTGGACTTGAAAAGGATGGTTTCCATAAATTTACATATTTCTACCATCTACTCTGCACAGGCAGCACAAAGTAATAATTACACGAGCATGATTACTTCAAGGATCTCTAACACAAAGGAGAAAAAGAATACAGGAGCAGCCGAAAAGGAACAGCCCATAAAACCCCATAGTATAAAATGGCACATATACCTCAGATCCCCGTCTTTAAAACCAGGAAAACAAGACACGCGATGCATCAAAAAGGGCGACAATCTTAAACAAGGTCGCGCTTGACGAACTCAGCAAGAAGGGTCTTTCCGAGGGAAGCAGGGCTGCGCTCGACGATGACACCAGCATCGGTGAGAGCGGCGATCTTGGAATCGGCACCACCCTTACCACCGCTGACGATGGCACCGGCGTGACCCATGCGGCGGCCGGGGGGAGCGGAGATACCGGCAATGAAAGAGACGGCGGGCTTGTTGTGGATGTTGTTGGCCTTGAAGAACTCGGCGGCATCCTCCTCGGCGGAACCACCAATCTCACCAATCATGATGATACCGTCGGTCTCGGGGTCCTCGAGGAAGACCTTGAGGCAGTCAATGAAGTTGGTGCCGGAGAAGGGGTCACCGCCGATACCGACGACGAGAGACTGACCGAGACCAGTGAGGGTGGTCTGGTTGACGGCCTCGTAGGTCAGGGTACCGGAACGGGAGACGATACCGACACGACCGCGCTTGTGGATGAAGCCGGGCATGATACCGATCTTGCATTGACCCTATTGAACAAGATGTGTGAGTATTTGGCGCGACTCGAGTTAATGTAGAAGTTGGAGTGGTAGCTTACGGGAGCGATGATACCAGGGCAGTTAGGACCAATCAGGCGGGTCTTGTTCTGGGTCTTAAGAATGTCGGTGATGCGGACCATGTCTATATGGAATCAATCAGTTTGCGCACTTCAAATTTGGTAGTCGATCGATCCATACCGTGCTGGGGGATACCCTCAGTAATGCTGTTGGACCAGAAGCTGTTAGAAAAAGTTATTTGCAAGGGGGAGGTCGATTGAACACGTACCAAACAACGAGGCCCATCTCAGCAGCGATGGCCTCCTCGATACCGGCAGCGGCAAGAGGGGGGCTAATTGCAGTTAGCATCGTTTTCCTGGTATTTCGAGAGAATATGTTGATTGATCATACGGAACGAAGATGGCGGAAGCTGTGGCACCGGTCTCCTTCACGGCATCGCTAACATTGGCGAAAACGGGACGGTCGAGGTGCATGGTGCCGGCCTTCTTGGGGTTGGTACCACCGACGACATTTGTGCCTGTTCTGTGTAAGCTATTGTTTGGATGTGATCGCGGTTGGACAAATATTTACCGTAGGCGATGGCCTGCTCAGCGTGGAAGCTATGTCGAGGTCAAAAGTAAGCATTATGCGCGTGCGATAATGAAAGCGCAAAGATTGCACTTACGTTCCCTGCTTTCCAGTGAAACCCTGGTAGAGAACGCGGGTGTCCTTGTTGATCTTAAGGTTGTTCAAGGTCTCGCTGTAGGCAGAGGTGGCCTGAGTCCGACGCTGGGTGGCACCGACATTGCGAAGGGCCGAGAGGGTGTTACGGCGGAAGGCCTGCATTGCTGCAAGATTGTATGTATGAGGGGAGAGGTGAGGTATATGAGGTGAAGGTGGAAGGAAAGAAAAGGACAGGATGAAGGGCAAGTGTTCGGGATACGCACCCGGGAGTTTTCGCTCGGGACAATTATTTTACTTAAGCGGAACTGAACTCGGACACAGGCCTCGGCGACCACATTTTTCGATCTAATCAACCTCAACCCCCACTAACTACACTTCATCGCTTTTGGTTATTGAACATACTTCCCGCCTAGGCGCGGTGTTATTCTCTTCACCATGGCTACCATGACTATGACCTCGCAGGAAATTAAAAGGGCCGCCAAGAAGAATGCAAAGAACGTCCCAGAGAACGAGCGATTCATGCGAGCATGCTCCGACATTGCAAATGCTCTCATTCAAGACTATGAGTCGCACAGAGACTCTAACAAGCCCAAGAAGGATCTCAATCTCAACAAGTTGCGGGCTACCTTTTCGAAGAAGCACAGCTTGTCCAGCTCCCCGCCACTGACGGCCATTATCGCGGCAGTACCTGAGCACTACAAGAAATACATCCTGCCAAAGCTGATTGCGAAGCCGATCCGTACGTTTACATCCAAGTGGTAATTCTGGATATTGCTAACCTCGTTTATAGGAACCTCCTCTGGTATCGCCGTGGTGGCGGTTATGTGCAAACCCCACCGATGCCCCCACATCGCGTATACCGGTAACATCTGTGTCTATTGCCCTGGTGGCCCCGACTCCGATTTCGAATACTCGACTCAGTCATATACTGGATATGAACCAACCTCGATGCGCGCGATCCGCGCTCGTTACGATCCGTTTGAGCAGGCCCGAGGACGTGTGGACCAGATCAAAGCTCTCGGTCACAGCGTGGACAAGGTAGAATACATTATCATGGGCGGCACATTCATGTCGCTATCGGAAGATTACCGAGACACCTTCATCTCCCAGCTTCACAACGCGCTGAGCGGATACCAAACGGACAATGTTGACGAGGCCGTGCTGGCAGGCGAAATGAGCAACGTGAAGTGTGTGGGTATCACAATCGAAACCCGGCCAGATTACTGTCTGGATACACATCTGAGCAGCATGCTCCGCTACGGTTGCACGCGGTTGGAAATTGGTGTGCAGAGTCTGTACGAGGACGTTGCGCGAGACACCAACCGTGGACACACTGTAGCGGCAGTAGCTGAGACGTTCAGGCTTGCTAAGGATGCCGGTTTCAAGGTTGTCAGCCACATGATGCCCGATCTGCCTAACGTTGGAATGGAGCGCGATCTGTTCCAGTTCCAGGAGTACTTCGAGAACCCCAACTTCCGTACCGACGGTCTCAAACTCTACCCCACGCTTGTCATTCGAGGCACCGGTCTCTACGAGCTCTGGCGCACCGGTCGTTACAAGAACTACACACCCAACGCACTTATCGACCTCGTCGCACGCATTCTTGCCCTAGTTCCCCCGTGGACCCGTATCTACCGAGTCCAGCGTGATATCCCCATGCCACTTGTTACCTCCGGTGTGGAGAACGGTAACCTGCGCGAACTGGCATTGGCGCGTATGAAGGACTTCGGTACAACCTGCCGTGATGTCCGCACGAGAGAAGTCGGTATCAACGAAGTTAAGAACAAGATTCGTCCATCGCAGATCGAGTTGATCCGCCGTGACTACGCTGCCAATGGCGGATGGGAGACTTTCTTGGCATACGAAGACCCGAAGCAGGATATTCTCATCGGATTGCTTCGTCTGCGCAAGTGCAGTGAGACTCACACATTCCGTCCCGAGTTCACCGGCCAGCAGACGAGTATCGTCCGCGAGCTTCATGTCTACGGTTCTGCTGTGCCGCTTCACGGACGTGATGCCCGAAAGTTCCAGCACCGTGGCTTTGGAACTTTGTTGATGGAGGAGGCGGAGCGTATTGCCCGCGAGGAGCACGGTAGTCGCAAGATCAGTGTTATCTCCGGTGTGGGTGTGCGTAGCTACTATGCTCGTCTTGGGTACTTCCTTGATGGTCCTTACATGTCCAAGATGTTGGATCCATGGGAGGACGAGGAATAATTGCCTGCAAGGAAACAGAAAAATCAAACAAAACAAAAACAAAAAAGGAAACCAGATGCCCAGAGGCTCGGTATCTGATTTTGCATCTACTGGCGTTGGCGGTCTCACAAAAACTTGATTTTCTTCTCAACGAAGGACAAATGATTGAATGTCTATACCAAATTTTATCTTTAGATGCATCCAATGGACAAAAAATGAGATATCAAAGAACTGGAAATAATCATGAGTGTTCTATGTACAAGTCGCAGGTCGGCCATCTGTGTATTCTAGCAAAGGAGACCGGGAAACCTGCCCGCCAACGCCTTTCAAGTGATCCTACTCATCTATAGCATAGATGAATTCAGGTCGCACAGAGTAGAAATGGGGGATTCATACTCCAGAGAATCGAAAATATTCTCTCAGCCTCGAATCACTCCCAACGCATCAAATTTGAACCACCGTGTTGTACTCAAGAAACCCCGAGATATAAGCTCCAAGATTGAAAATCGACAGATAAAGGTGTCATGAAGACATCGAAGGAAAAGGGACCAAGGCAATTTCAATGCAGTGATATAGCACCTCCCCTACTGTCTCGCAAGTGAAGGTAAGCCTGGAAACCGCAGAAAACGAAGAAACCCTATGAGCCCGAAAAGCGCATTGTCAGTAACCGATTCCTTTCCTCGTGCAACGCTTAGAGAGGGGGAATGACGTACAGCGTAGACGATCACAGCGGTGTAAATTGAGGCGGCGACTGCAGGGCCATCTTCGGGTTCCTCTTTTGATCCGGTGAATGCGTGGTTGTTGCTCTATAATTAGGATCTTCGCGTTAGCCGATGAACCCCATATTACGTAGGTCCGTGACAATGGGTCTTCGGAGGGTTTGATGGGTAAGCCAGAGTCGGGGAGACGTACGTTGTATAGCGAGCCGAGGACTGAGAGGATGACGATTGCGAAAGCGGAGATAACAACACTATACAAGAAACATGGTGTTAGAGCAATAGCACTTTCGATGGATGGATGCTGTCTGGGATGGAGGAGCGTACCAGGACCAGGCGTTCAAGGCAGAGACGACAGGCTTCATGTTGGCGATTTGATGATAGTTAAGGGGTGTTGCAGAATGAGTGGGATAGGTAGTTTGTTGGAGAAGGGTGGTCACAAATCGGCTAATACAGAGAGTTGAGGTTGAAGACTTGAGATACGGAGGCGGGCGGGCCTTCAGTTGATGCAAGCCCCTAAGCCGCTTTGGGACAAGTCCAGACACACCTGTGACTCGTCTCCTCCTTGTTGTTTTTTTTTTTCCATCTAACTATTTGATCAAATAGTAAACGAGGATAAGGAAATATTATTTAGCTGGGCATAATCTTTTTGATACAATCTATTTGTTTTGTTTTTATGTCCTATTTTTAATGCGTTTTGTTCCATTCGATACATTCATCGAACGTCACTCCAGAGCCGCCAAAGATATCTAGAGCGCTGCCAATCGTCAAATCCACTTTTCCTTTGCTACTGATGTGGACCTTTTCCAGATCTTGTAAATGGCGTGCACCTCCTGCGTAGGTTACAGGGATAGTACACCATTCAGCCAGTCTTGAAACAAGTTCCTCATCGACGCCTTGTTGCAAGCCCTCTACGTCTGCAGCGTGGATTAGGAACTCGGCGCAATATGGTTCCAGCATTGAGATAGATTCTACACAGAGTCAGTGAGCCAACAATCAACCTGGGTTCAGCACTAGCAGGATATACCTTGGTTGATCTCCATCTCTGTGATGGTTTGCCAGCGGTCCATCGCAACGAACCAAGTATCGTCTTTTCTGCGGCAGCTCAGATCCAAGACCAGCTTTGACTTGTCGCCGCCAAGGGCAGCAAGGACCGACTCGAGCCGCTCGAGAGAGAACTTGCCCCCAGGGAACAGGAATGAAGTGATGATCACCTATTGCCCGCATTCCACAGATTAGCGTCATCGGACTCTTGCTATGATGGAGCACAACCAAACAGGAATTGGAAGTAAAAGGATAGATATTGTTTTGTTCTCGGCCAAGCACAACACCAAGCGAACAAATAGTAATTCGTCCGGAGTCAGATTGCTTACCTTGTCTGCGCCTTGATCGATCCAATATTGCGAATTCTTGTCGGTGATACCCCCGGCCACTTGAAGCCCACCTGGCCATGTCTTCAACGCTTCCTGGGCTGCCTCTTCATTCCCTGGTCCAAGCTTCACGACGTGCCCGCCGCGCAAATCATGCTTCTGATATAATCCCGCATAGTGGCTGGCCGGGAACTTGGATACATAGTTGGTCTTCAGGTCTGTGGCTACCTGGCTGAGCGTACCACCCACAATTTGCTTGACCTGCCCTGAATGCAGGTCAATGCAGGGCCTAAACTTGGTCATTTTTTATAGTGAATTGGTGAATAAGTTGATTTACTGACGATCTCCAGGGCTGTGAATCGAGGGGCGGCTTATCCTTATCACACGTGATCTAGAGCTTAGTCCGAAAAACTTTTGGGCCGAGACGCGAGTGTTCGATTTTATAATTTAGTCGACAGCATATCCACCATGGTCGTGAAACGAAAGAGAGAAACTACTGTGGTTTCCAAGCCCAAGACCAAGGAAGACAGCCCACCTCCAGTGGACAATGCGCAGGACGTATTCCGCAGATTATTCGAAGCGCAATTCGAGCCACTCGATTTGCCAGCCTCTACCGCCAAATCTACAAATTCGGATGAAGAAGAAAATGAGGATGACGATGACTCTGATCTCTCTGGGTCAGAGGGTGACTGGGATGGGAATTCCGATATCAGTGACGAGAGCAATCAGGTCGAGGTGGTCGAGCACACGGATGCCTACGCGGCACCAGAAGACAGAATGGACAAGAAGACTTGGAAAGCGTTTATGGTATGTGCCAGATCACCAGGTCTCAACGCATTGAAAGTCAATGCTAACGCTCAAACCTGCAGAGTGGAAAACTGTTGTCCGACTTAGATAAGCCGAGCACCGAACCAGAACCTACATCCAAAAAAGAAGAAGAAGAAGATGCCCACGACTCTGCAAACCTCAAGCACGATCTTGCATTGCAAAGACTACTTAAGGAGTCACACCTTCTCGACTCCGCCGATGACCTCGCTCCTACTGGAAAGAACCGTTTGAAGGCTTTGGATATGCGCATGCAATCTCTTGGGGCCAAAACGTCGCTCTATGCGCAAACTAAAATGCCTACCGCGCACCGACGAGGCATCAAAGCTAAGGCTACCTCAAAGGAAGACAGGCGCCGCCAAGAAGCCAAGGAGAACGGCATCATTCTCGAGAAGCCTAGCAAGGTACAGAAATCGAGCAACAACGGGCGAAGAGAGCGCGGTGTGGTCGGATCGTCCGTGGGCAAGTTCTCAGGAGGCACATTGAACCTGAACAAAGACGACATCGATCGCGTCCAGTCGTCAGGACGCCGTATGATGGGTGGGAGAGGAAGGGGCAAAACAAGAGGTGGCAGAGGGGGCGGTGGTAGGGGTAGAGGCGACAAACGCTAAGATCACGATATTTGAGAAGGCTTCTTCTCCCATTCTCAGGCCAATACGCTTCTTCGTGTGGAACTGCCCACCCGCGCCACTTCAACACAAGAGCTAGATGGGTTCATGATCCATAATTGCATCTCGCGCCATGTCCCCTCCGATCTCGATCTCTCGTGGGTCACGACCTACAACTTCAATCTCAACCCGCATATCATCCTCGCCGAGCCTCGTTACCCCAATACATGCCCAAATGGGCTAATGGCTCGGTATCCATTTCTTAAAATTCCACACCATCGGCCTCGAGAGCCTCATCGTTGATCGGGACGTGGTACGAGTGCAGCCGAAATACCTGCTCCCAGCTTTTTCCTCCACGGTTCTTCAGACTCAGATCCACGTTGGCGAAAGCCTGGTCGATCTGTGCATTGATTTCTTGGTGGGTCACAAAGGTTCGCAGGTCCCAAACGCCTGTTCACGATGTTATCAGCACGATCTATTCATTCAGAAAGCGAGGCCTCGTGATTCGTGTGGATACTTCGGCCTGCGTATTCGATGCGATCACCAATGCGGATGGCTTGGGTGTAATAGAAGTCTCGTTTTGCTTTCTAGCCCCAGCCGTCGCAGTTGAAGTATTGGAGATAGGCATATTTAATAGAGATAATGAAATCCTTTACGGTCTATAGGTCTTCGGAAATGTGTATTCTTGGACAAAAATCATAATACCCAATCTAAATAATAAATGAACAGTCGGTTACAGTTCCACGTCTACATCTAGTCAGTGCTTTAATATCTAAATACACTTACTTGCACTCGTCAATAGGAGCGGTTGGGCGGAGAATGAGAACACGGACATTCCGATATCCAGCAAATCCAGCAATTTGGTTACGGCTGTACTAACGATGATTTTAGAGACGCAAAGATCGGTCATTCATTTCTTAGTTGGTTTCATAACAGCAGGTGTGTCTACACCGCTGCATCGGCACTTATGTAGCTAATATATATTTGTAGGTCATTATTAGGGCTCATTATTTGACCCCATGAAAAAAAAAAAAAAAAAAAAAATTTCTTACACTAACTACTCCGTAACTTGCAATGTTATAAAATGTCTTTGTATTTCGGTCTGGCTATGTCTACTTGTATTCCCTTTGATCCGAACAAAAACCGAACTATAATTCTGTCATGTATTGAGCATGGTCGTGTGTACTTATTATCAACCTTAAACTCTAACTATAGATATGTACCTAAGTACATATATATCGTCCGTAAACAATTATATCTTTTATTTAGTTCAAGCCACTATCTTACATTGAAGTAATCGGACTACTCGGGCCAATAACTCTCAAAGCCGAATTCATCACGGCTCGGAAATTTAGACTTCCAAATAGACGTATAAAAAGCGTTCTTGGATACCCGTTTCTTGTTTCACCTAGACTAGTAGAGAAATCTAGGCCCTTGGCGCTGTAAATACTCCGAGAGGTGCGGACGTCCCGCCAAATCCTCACGTTTGGGCCAAATGTGCCAAGAAATCCCGAGTGGGGCCGTGAATGTCTTCCGCTTCTTCCGCCGTAAAAAGGATACGCTAGTCTACATTAGGCGGAATAACGGATGGCTTATTCTTTAGTTGAATATCTAATGTGTCATCATATTAAAGCTTATACATAGAAAACTCGTTTTGCACGTTTGTAGTCAGCTGTATTCTAACTACAGCATTAACATGGGGGAGAAGAATACCGCCCAAAAGAACATATCAAAATACATCTACACAAACTCTGTCGAACTGACCACCAATAAATACGTGACAAAAGTGTATATGCAGCCGACTATTCTTGTAGGGTAAGTGCAATATAATATAGTTTCCACAATAACCTCCTTATTGTGAGACATGCATCTTCACGCCACAGCGTTATCAGATTATGATATCAGTAGGATAAACTCACGCAATCGCAGGATTCACCGATATGGGCCGTTTTGAGGATCCTGCATGGCCCCCTCAGGATATGCATTCAGGAAAGAGAGCGCGTCAGTATCCCGGTCCACGGGGTCCTATCTATGTTGTAGGTTTTTGTTTTGGCCCCAACGACATAATGCTAAGTAGGACCATTACGTTGAACTCCTCCCCAAAAAAAAAAGAAACTTAATATTGAGCAGCAATTCAAATGTTTTTGTTAATAGAGGAAACTCGGGCGAAAATGATGGAATGATTGGTAGTTTCGGAGGATGACATTTAGAGGACATCATTTCATATTATGACGACATGCTGGGTGTCTTTTGTTGTTGATTAGCCCTGCATTCTTAGCAGGAAGCTCTGGAATCCTTTACAACATATATTAGCTTGTGTGTGTGTCAGCTTCCTTTGGTGTATTCAGAAAGCTAGGGGCTACTTCGGATCTGCAAATCCCCTGGTCAAAGCGCTTGTTTATTGAAGCGCTAGGCCAAATAGTTTAGACACAGCCTCATGTGTTCGTAGCACAGACAGATTTGAAATTATCAGCTCTGCTTTCATTGCCACTATCACTAGATCTATGTCACTAGACTGGGTTTCAAATGAGAATAGTCGCACCTGTCAGGGGGATCTACTACATCTGCCAGATTTGAAAGCTATAGTAGATAGAAACTATTGTTTCAAGAATTTGGAGAAAACGCGGAAGGTAAAATCCAATTCTGACAGGACAGTTAGAAGAAAGAAAAAGGAAAGGAAAACTTGTATCAGGGGGGCCATGGAGTGCTTGGCAAGTCAGCAAATGTGGATTGATGTCAACATTGGAAGAGATGAACTTTTCTGCTCCAAGACCCATGCAGCAGCCATAGCAGACATTTAATCCAATTACATGAAGTTCTTGGACATGTATTCATTGTATAAGGAGTACGGAGTATATTAATTATTTTCTCACTAAAGACGCTTCTCAGCTCCGTTGCGACTTGTGGGGCCAATATCTACCGGATTAGGAGGCTTTCGATATTCTTCACGTAGATCCTCGCTACAACAGCACACGGGTACTTTACCAAATCCAGATGTGCGTGCAATGTTATCATCACAATAATTTAGGCCTCCGTCCATAAAAGGAGTCTTTTCAACATACAACATGCATGATATGACCCGAAAGGCTTAGAAGGTTTGGAAAGGATTGAAAACAGCTGCAACTCTACTCCAACTGAGGGGTCCAGACCCCTATATTGTTTAGAAGTGGGGATCTCGCACCATGCTAGGCCAATCTACTAATTGAACTACCTACCCAACGTGCACTAACGGAGATGGTGTCGGCCCTGTCGGGCACCCGAGAATCGGCCAAAGCCGTTCTCGCCGTGAAACCGAAAGACGGGCTTGGCGTTAGGCATCAAAATTGAGAATCCGATAGTTGCTGAGTTAGGAAACTGCATGCGATCAGCCTTACAGGGTAGAGACAGCCCTGTCCAGCCTTAACCGAGCTGATGGTTGAGATCGAGATAGAAAAACATCCCGAAAGTGTAAATGTCGACGCTGAGTTACGAAGCGATGTGCAAGTTAATGCTCAGCCAAGACGAGATCTTGGCGTCCCCGCTACGGAAGGGGTTTTGCGGCGGATCAGTGGAGTCAGATATGCTTCACCACGCTATAATAATAGACTATGTGGAAAAGCTTACACGGCAGGGGCATCTTGTGGGTCTGATCGACACGTTGATTGGAATAGATATGCAAAGAACATAGTATATATTGTAGTTATACCCTAATTACTAGTACGTATGTATGTATGTAGTACATACGGAGTACGTTGTGTACTCAATATAGATTATTCAATTTGTCGATCATCTCCTGTCTACATAGTAGTACGAACCTTGTCCCGAGAGAAAGTCTTGGACGCATTCTTTCTACCCATATCCGTGTGACAATGCAACTACATTGGTCAGTAACCTGTGGATATCATCTATCTGGAATTATAATGCATCGTAATTGGGTTATGATGTCAAATCCTGACTCTAGCCGCCCCCTTTGCGGATCGCCGATTGGTGACTTATGCGCAGTAGGGGCCAATACCCCCTATGTTGTATACAGATTTATCAAGGGGGAATGCACACGTAAGCCAATGGCATATTTTGTCCAGTAATCTCCTTTGAATCAATATTGATCAGGGCAAATGACGAAGCTTGGCATTTGCTTGACAGATAGTGATCGTAATGGCTGATATTTCACACGTGGATGAAATGAGACCCTGGAAAAGGAAATCGGGTTTCAGCTTCTCTTTCCTATAATCGAGATAGCCATGCCGCCTCGGCAAGACATGGATGGCTTGGAAACCGTTCGTGAATTGGGTCACCGGCTTATCAACATCCCTGGTCTTGCAGAATTTCGGGGCCTTTAGGACACAAAGATGCTACGGAAATACGCCGAGTAGACTTCCTCCGTATGCAAGTGTTGAACAGATCTTCCCGTCATCTTTTCTCCGAATTGCACACCTTGAGGGTGAAACCGGACTTATGCGATGCAGATGCAGTGCAGATCGATTCCTTTGTACACGAGTCTATGGAGACCGGAAGGAATCCTTGTGGGTATTGGAATCTGCCCTATAGGCTTAGACATCAAAACTATTCACCCATAGTCAAACAGACCCCAAATCACTCGTGGGGAGCTCAGGAATGTGCTTTCCCTGGGGTAAACGTCAGCCTTTGAGGCTTAGAAATAACACAATAGACATACAGCCATCCACACTAGAGACATAAGTTATTCTGCAAGCTTGTGGGAATCCTGGACTAAGACTTTGAGTATTCCAAGTGCGGATCATGGCTCGTACGTATCAAATTGAGCGACATCGGGTTTACCAGATTTGTCTTATCCGAGCCACTTTCAACCATCAAGGGGATGGTGTAGTGATTCCCCCTGGTCGAACCCACTGTGGAGTACGTTTAGTAGACTCTCAGGTGCATAGGCCTGCTTAATATTTTGTTTGTAATTTTAAATTAGCCCTATAGGGGTTTCTTGCTGGAATTGGGATACAAAAAGGCGTCTCCATTCCATCATTGTAACCTCCTAGATCTCTGAAGCTGTCTAGGCCGAACGAAGCCATACTTCCTCTTCTATTGTCAATAATTCGTGATTGTCAATAATTTGTATCTGTTGATACATCCAGAGTTGTCTTCATTTTATATAATAAATTTTCCATCATGACTTTGTCCCAGTTCAGTTCAACGGAAACCCTCAGGGATCCTGAAGTCATAGACAAGCCGGTCATCTCAAGCCCAAAGGTCACGCCTTGCGATGAAAAAGACGTCTCAGTATCGACAACACCAGCAGAGTCATCCGATGTTGAAAGCCAAGCCACAGAGTCACCACCCTATCATGTGTTCACACGGTCTCGCAAGTTGTGGATCGTCATTATTGTATCCTTCGCTGCCATCTTCTCCCCGCTATCTTCAAACATTTACTTCCCTGCGCTTACAGACGTTTCAAAAGTTAGTTGGCTTGAGCAACACACTTGGCCACTTTTTGCTAACGGAAACATAGGAACTCAACATCTCCATGTCTCTAGCTACATTAACAGTCACGGTATATATGATTGTCCAAGGTCTTGCCCCGAGCTTCTGGGGTTCTTTCTCCGATGTATTGGGCCGTCGTATGCTTTTCATCGGAACATTTGGTGTATACATTGTTGCGAACATTGCCCTGGCCGTCTCTGTCAACTATGGTGAACTTATGGCTTTCCGAGCGCTGCAGGCTGCCGGAAGTGCAGCCACCATCTCCATTGGTATGATACAACAATAGTCCTTGTTTTATGTCTTAGCTAACTTGCCTAGGCGCTGGTGTTATTGGTGATATTACCACTTCAGCAGAGCGTGGTAGTCTGATTGGAATCTTTGGTGGTGGTAAGTAACCCGCTACTCGGATATATTGCTATGTTCTATAAGCTAACAGTATCCAGTCCGCATGTTGGGCCAGGGAGTTGGACCAGTATTTGGTGGAATCCTCTCTCAGTACCTTGGGTTCCGATCTATCTTCTGGTTTTTGGTTATTGCATCCGGACTCAGTCTTTTATCTATCATGTTCTTCCTCCCAGAAACTCTCCGTTCTATCGCTGGCAACGGCACGGTTCCCCTCAAGGGCATCAACACGCCAATCATCTACACCATTTGCGGACAGAAGGATGCGCAGAAAGATTCAACACCCTCTGAAAAGAAGGGTAAAGTGACCTTCAAGACCATGCTGGCACCTTTCACCTTTCTATTCGAGAAGGATGTATTTATCACCTTACTGTACGGAAGCATTGTGTACACAGTCTGGTCGATGGTAACTTCCTCGACATCCGACCTATTTGAAAAGCACTATGGTCTGAACTCACTGGAAGTCGGCCTCACCTTCCTCGGCAATGGTTTCGGATGCATGACCGGCTCCTACACCATCGGATACCTAATGGACTTCAACCATAAGCGAACAGAACGGGAATACTGTCAGCAACACAACTTACCCATCGACACTCGCATCAACTTGAAAAGCCACCCCGATTTCCCCATCGAGTACGCCCGCATGCGCAATACTTGGTGGATCACTGTTACCTTTATTGCCTGTGTCGCTGTCTACGGTGTGTCCCTCCGTACACACATTGCAGTGCCGATTATCCTGCAGTTTATCATTGCATACGGCTCTACCGCTATCTTCACCATTAACAGCGCCCTCGTCATTGACTTGTACCCCGGTGCGAGTGCTAGTGCAACGGCAATCAACAACCTGATGAGATGTTTGATTGGTGCTGCTGGTGTCGCGGCTGCTCCGTCTATTATTGATGGTCTCACTGCTCAGTTCGCATTTGTCTTGCTGGCTGGCATTACCCTCGCGATGGTCCCTCTTCTCATGGTTGAGACGAAGTGGGGCTATGGATGGCGTCTTGAGCGCCAAGACCGCCTTCGAATGAAGGAAGACTCGGTTTAAATAGGCGATCGATATATCTTGGTGGGAAAACGGGACAAAATTGGAAATAGAAGGGGATAGAGTACATACTCGGGCACGGAGGCCTATCACGACTTGACGACAAGCGGTGACTATATGCTTTGACTTCTTACTTATACTTTTGACGAGTATTTATTTTTCGCTTCAGCTGCACCTATATAGATACAGACGAACATTACAGCTGCCTTCGGGTAACATTTCACTTTTGGGATCTTGAACAATCTTTTTATGTAGGGCTATATCTATGTCGTCTAGGCCGTAAGAAGCTGCTGTAGAGACAAATCTCGACGATAGCAGCCACTTGGAACCTCTTTCCTCTCCGCCTTCTTGATTGAGATCTATATATATCACCCCGAGGCATTCTATTTCTTTATCTTAGACTTCTCACGCTTTGTTACGTTATATAAGTCTATAATTAAGGACAGTTATTTCTAAAATCAATTATAAAAGTTGATATAGGTCATATATGTTCTTATGTGGTTTCTGCCTGTGTACAGTCAAAGTTCCTCATGGCTGCTCTCGCCATCCGTAGCCACTTGCCAACATCAGCTTCCTTCATGCGCCGTGGACTTTGCTTTCTTTGTAACCAACCACATTCCAATTTTATCAATAACCTCAAGTACCTCCACAAGGTAACCCGGTATTGGTCATGGAATCTGCCCGAAGCCTTTATAAAAATGACATCGATTTTGCAGCCTTGGCGCTGCAATCGCGGGACTTCGCCAAGCAGTACGTGAAACGGGCTGTGCTCTGAGAAAAAGACCAATACTAATTAAATACAGCTTGAACAAAAACAGCCAACTGGACTTTACCGATCCAGCCGCCGTCCGGTAAGCCGGAGGTCTCACAATTGGCATTCCGAGAATGGATCTGATTTGCATCACACAGACAACTCACCACCACCCTCCTGCAACAAGATTTTCACCTGAAAGTTGAAATCCCCGAGGATCGATTGTGTCCACCGGTATGCACATAGTTAACCTATTTCATGGATATGTACTGACTTGATTTTCAGGTGCCAAACAGGTATGTCGTCCCGAATGACGGCCTGGACCCACACACATGTCTGACATGTAGTATAGACTCAACTACATCCTCTGGCTGCAGGACCTTCTCGACTCCACCGCTGGAGGCCTGCATGAGGGATACGACCGAGACCGGGATGTCTTCGGCCTTGACATGTGCGTAATGAGTCTCTCCAATTTCCTTATCATGTCTGACAAAGTACAGTGGGACGGGATGTATCGGCATCTACCCCCTTCTGGGCTGCGCGACACGGCCACGGTGGAATTTTGTAGCAACAGGTACGTCTTTGAGTCCGAGGATCTTAAGTATCCACTAATCAACCTGACAGACATTGACTCAAACAATATCCGCACTTCTCAGCATAACGTGGCTCTGAACAACCTGGAATCACGTATCCAGGTCGTACATTCCGACCCCACAGGACCACTCTTCCCGCTAGACAAGCTAGGATGCCAAAAGTGAGTCTTCTTGAGTTTATACTTGCTAGAACCTTAATTGACCATCCACTAGCCTTGATTTCACCATGTGCAACCCACCCTTTTACACATCGTCCGCTGAGCTGAAGCAATCGGCCGAGCAGAAAGAGCGAGAGCCCTTCTCAGTGAGTGTCACTAGCTCCACTTCCCGTGCCAAACAACTATACACAACCCGCCCTATTCCACGTGCGTACCGTTCCGTACTAACCTACATGAAGGCTTGCACCGGTGCCGAAATGGAAATGGTGACCAGCGGTGGAGAAGTAGCTTTCGTGAAGCAAATGATCGACGAAAGTCTCCAGCTGCGTGACCGCATTCAGTGGTACACATCCATGCTTGGAAAATTGAGCAGTATCAATGTACTCGTAGAGGCGCTGATCAAGCACGGCGTCACCAATTTCGCAGTTACCGAGTTTGAGCAGGGAAGCAAGACGAAGCGTTGGGCCGTGGCGTGGTCATGGGGAGACCGAAGGCCTGCCATGGTAAGTCATACTTTACTTTACCACCTGTTACTCACTTTGTGCTTGTGTTCTGTGCGTCATGTCTAACCGTTGGTCTAGCATATTGCGCGTGGAATCCCCGGCTGCCCGAAGAGTCTTTTACCTTTCCCTACAGATTACACATTCACCATGCCACCCGGAACGTCTATTGACGCAACCACTGCTACGATAAATGCAGAACTCAGCTCGTTGCCTTGGTTTTGGGCCTGGGATCAGACACGTTCTTCGGGTACGGGATTCGCTGCTGAGAATGTGTGGTCGCGATTCGCCCGCCGAAAAATGAAACTTGCTGGTGAGGAGGATGCGGCTAGATTGAAGGTGATTCCCGCCCAGGTGGCGTTGGGAGTACGTCTGCAGACACGGCTAGTCCGCGGGCAGAAACCGGACGAGGAAGAGGTGAGAGTTTTAGTTCGCTGGGCGCAGGGGACTGACACCGTCTTGTTCGAGAGCTTTTGCGGGATGGTGAAGAGGAAGTTGGAATCAAAATGATTCCCATAAAACCATGACTCTAGCCGTGCACATGTGAAAAATAACCTCGATTTATCAATCAACTGAGGAGACTTGAATAATGTTGAACTTGGTATATGACTTTTGTAAACATTGCACTTGCTAGATGAGCGAGCTAATCTATATGAATCATAAACAGCATGAAAGGTTATATATGTACTATCCTAATTGCCCGTAACCTCAGACTGCAACTCCTTCAAGCGGTCCCAGCCCTCCGTGCCATCCCAGAAATCCTTGCCCTTGCCCATGATTCCTCTAACGGCACTTCGAGCCTTGAACCGCCAGTCCTTTGCAACAAGCTCGGCATCTTGATCACCCTCAACGTTCTGATCTTCACGGTCCATAGGACCAAACTTGGCATATCCATCCCTAATAAGCTTCTCCGTAGCCCGCACAACCTCAAGCCAGGGCTTCTCATCGCCCATCTGGAAAGCACCCTGAGCATTGGCAGCAATAGTAGCACGCCACGCCTTCTCATGAGCCTCGAACGCCTTAGACGGACGACCACGGAAGACTTCAACGCGAGCAACGATCTGCCATAGCACCGAAGAGTGCGTGATAAGCGGTACGACATTCTGATCGACCAGCGAAATGATCTGGCCGGGAATAGTACCAGTGCGAACAATCGGGGCTTCAGATGGATCGTCAGAGCGAATGAGCAATTCCTCATACTCGAACGCCACGTTCAGGAAATCAACGAGCATGCCTAGGATCGCCACGTCAACGCATTTCTCACCCTGCTTCGTGCCGACGAGCTCAATAATGCGCTTCTGCGCGGTAATCACATCGCGGAATGGTGTTACCGGCGGCGGGATGGACGCCGCAACTGTCAGGACGTTATCCCAAATGCGGGCGTCGGTACCCTTGAGTTGCGCTGCGCGCTGGAGAGCTGAGAGGGCCTCGCGCTTGCGCTTGTGGGGGTCGACTTCGGCGGCGGAGACTTCGCCGGTGGCCTCGTCGATGACCTCTGGGGCGGGCTCTGGGGCTGGCATGCGCAGCATCGCCGCAGCAAGGTTACTCCAGGCTTGGCCGTCGGTATCGTCGAGTTGGACGGTGCGGGTGAAGGTATCTGTTGCTTCTTGCCATTTCTGGAGCTCGAGCTGCACACAGCCGAGGGCGAACCATGCGCCCTGGTTCAGGCGGTTGATGTGCAAACTCTTCTTATAGGCTATCTCGGCATTTTCCAGTTGTGGTGGTGTGGAGGTGAGGTAGTGGCGGGCCAGGGACCGCTGGGCGCGGGCGTATCGCTCCCCAGAGACCTCCCAGGCGCGCTCGTACATCTTTTCGTCTTTGTCGATATCTCCCATGATACAGAGCAGGCGTGGGGCATCTGCTGGTAGTGGTGACCGCTCTGGTCCGTCAAATTGCTCGTTTTCATCATTTTCGTCTGGGCCGGTGGCCTGGTAAAGCTGTCGGCGGATGATGTTCTTCGCCTTGCCTTCGCGCTCGGTGGCGGCATAGCAAAGCGCGGCCTCGGCCCACAGGTGTAGTCTCTCATAGATCTCGAGTGCGGTGCGCAGACCACCGAGATCAACCCAGCGCTTGGCAAGCTCGGCCTCGAGGCTCCAGCGTGTTGAGAAGTTTAGGATCCAGATGTGCTGCAGTCGGTCAGCGGCGGGGGCAGACTCGGACTGCTCAGGACGAGGCAGGAAAGTTGTAGGGTCGCCTGATTCAGTCTGAGCTGCGTCGTCGCTAGTTGCGGTGTCTGCAATAACCTGATCCACCAAAGCCTGCATCTGCAGCACGGCTCTCTCAACAGTACGGGAACGGTAGCCCTCGACCCGACTGCGGACCAGAAGTGCTTGTGTATAGATCTGCCAGTTGGAGCTGCCGCCATCGAGCACTCGAGTGGCGTAGGGGTTTGTTTCCTCGCGGGTAAGGCCGTTCTCAGGCGAGGTGTTAGTAATGGCAGATGCCAGTGCGAGGAGGAGAGCAGAGTCAACGGGGTTGAGAATGGGCTGGTTGTTGGCATCGACAGCATCCAAAGATGCGGAAACCTTATCCTGAATGGCCAAGGATTGCTCGTCGGGCTTTTGGTCGGAGAAAGAGATGGCCTCGAGAAGGGTGTCGTCATCCAAGTTGAGGTTCTTAGGGCCAGAAGGCTCCGAAGGTTGTGATGTCTCATCAGCACTCTTAGCCAACACGACCAGCTGACTGATATCACGGTCTTGGAATTTCGTGCGCTTGCCCATCTTTCCAGTCAGCGCAAACTCGAACCTCCGCACCTTAGCCGCCTGGTCAATATCTTCCCGTGCCTTGATATCGAATCCGTGGTGCGTGTGGATAATGGCCCTTTCCAGCAGGAACCGACTCCTCTCGTCTGAGGTCAACTCAGCCTTGTCCAGTATCTCAACATCCTTGTAGATCACATCCTGGAGAGTACTCGTGACCTCCGAGAGCATCTTTTGGTGAAGGAAGTTGGTGCGCATACGCGCGGTCCTTGCTACAAGCGGTCCATCGCTGCTCGCATCGGCCAATAGAGCCTTGGCAACAGCAAACAATTCCGGGTTGGGTGTGAGTTTGTAGGCAGCTTCTCCATCCAGGGTTAGGTCACGGATGATCTTTGCCCGCACGGATTTGAGGGTTGTGGGTTCGGTTCGTAGGGTAGAGGGCAAGACAGCTTCAGCCGAGCTGAATTCAAGGGGAGGACCGGTGACGTTGGACTGCAGGAAGCTGAACAAGGCTGCTAGTCCAAGATGCAAGAGTTGCGATTGTTTTTGTTCGGTGGTGAAGTCATCACTAGACTCGAGGGCGGCGCGGGCTTGCTCGGCGACGAAGGTAGTGTATGAGATCTCGCCGCTTGCAACCTGTGCAAGAGACTCGTTTGAGGCATCGTGACCCAGCACCTTATGAGTGAGGGGCAGGTTGAGGATCGGGACGACGTTGTCTGATGTCAATCGGATTGGATCGATACTGTTTTTGAGGGGTGACGCGGCATCGTAGATACTGTCCAGATTGGACGGAAACGCAGGAGATTCAGCCATATTAAATCCCTCCAGTAACCTTTAACGATCTTGAAGTCGAGAATGTGCCCCGCGATCTTTTTCGATTTTTCTGGCTTATCGATAGTGTGTGGATAACAGGACTGCGTGGAAGTTAGACAAATGTCACGATGTCGCCAGGAACGGAACTTATTGCCACTCCCTGCTTATAGATCATCACATTTATTATTAAGCCAGCCTCTCTCAACCTTCTTAAGGCATTAGAATCAAATTGTGAATGTCCAATTTATTATATCATGCTATATAAAGCCGACCCTTGCCCGGACTCAACGAGATGCATGTGCGTGGTCCTTGAGTATAAGATTCAAACCCTCTCGCTGCACACAACCCTCAAAGTGGAAACTTCTAGCCAACTCTTCCAAGTCCTTCTCACTGCTTCCTCGGAACAATTCAGCAAACTCATCCACGAACGACGCCGCCAAGAAAGTGTAAAACACGTTCCGCATGACATGCAACTCGGTATTCCACGACGTGGGATAAGTCTCCTTCGCAGTTGGACTAACATGGTCAATCCACTCGAGCAAAGGTCTCAAAGCCGCCTCAGGCTCAGACTTAGGCCGACGACCCCATTTATCCAGCCATAAGTCCCTCTTCTTGTCCAAGAAAGGCTTGAGCGTCTTGTTCCACTTGCTCTCGGGATTCGTATAGATCATACCCTGCAGACCAATGTCCTTGTAGAGCCAGATCGACCAGCTGATGTTATACTTGTCGTAGATGCGCAGTTGGTCGCCAAGGAGATTGTATCGCTCCTGGTTGACAGTCTGGGCATCGACATCGAATACCTGGTCCGCGTAGACGGGTCCGAACTCTCCGTTCCAGACAGGGGTCTTGTTCTCGCTCATGAATTGCGCTTTGCGCAGGTACACGCGTTCAAGCCGTTCTTTTTGTTCAGCTATGCCCTTGTAGCGATCACCGGTGGGGAAACCCATTGACTAGAGATTAGATAGTATTAGTACACTGCACTAATGTGTTCTTGTGGACTCGGAAAGGGATTGCGAAGCTCACCGAGTAATCATGCATGGCATACACGCTGTTCGGCAACACCTCGTCAAAGCCCTTCCACTCCATCGCAAAAGTATTCCCATCCAGCCACAGGATATGATCCGGGTCGATCTTTCGAATCGCCTTCTCAATACGAGCATAGAATGCGGGTAGCCGCACATGCTCAGGATCGCAAGGTTCATTGAGCGGGTTGTATCCAGCAACCCAAGGATTATCCCTGTACCTGATGGCAATCTGCTCCCAGAGCCAAATAGTCCGGTCCTGGTGGTCCTTGTAATCCCAGAAAGCAGCATAGCCGGTAGGATTGTCTGAGTGCCAGTCTGGGTTCTGGCCGCCGGGGACAGCGTGCATGTCCAGGATGGTATAGATCCCGTGTGCTGCACACTATACGGCCATTACGATTAGCCCATCTCACGATACCATATGTAGAGGGATATGTGCAACACTGACCAGGTCAACAACTCGGTCCAAGTGTTTGAATCCTGATTCCTTCAGCACACGGGGATTCATATCATCCTCGAAGTGGCGGTAGTTGAAAGGCAGACGCAGACAGTTCAGTCCTAGCTCAGCGAAGAATTTGGCATCCGCCTCGGTGAAGAAGTACTCGAGCCATTTGTCGAAAAAGAATTCGTATTTCTCTTGTCCTAAGACACGACGCATGGCGGCGCGATGCTGGGCTTCGTGGCCTGCGAAGCCTGTGATGAAATTCTCCATGCTTCAAGACGAGATGTCAGTTCGGAGGCAGGGAAATACATATGGCAATTTGGTCGTCTACATACTTCATCCATCCTCCAAGTGCAGCTCCTCGCATCACAACCCCCTCTCCCTTCCCGTTGACGACAGTATCACCCTTCACTTTCAGGAATCCGGTAGCCATATTGTTAATTCAGCAATGTAATGGCAATTATGAAAAGCTTCAATGATGTCTACAGAGGTGTGTAGAAGGTGCTAGGCATGACTATAAGTACTTCTCCGCAG